ACTATAAATAGTGGGCAGTTAACGAATCAGTGAGATGTCTGGCGTCTCTTCGTATATCCCTCAGCAGCCATAGAAAAAGAAAAAGAAAATATAAAAAAAAGAAAAGACTCAGATGCTTGACAGAATCTTTTTAAAACCGGAGGGCTGAAACTTTTGCACAAGGTCAAAGACCTGCTCAAAAAGTTTCCCCACTATGGGTAGTGGCCAGTTCGAATCAGCAGAGCATCCGGCGTCCCTTCGTATATCCCTCAGCAGCCATAGAAAAAGAAAAAGAAAATATAAAAAAAAGAAAAGACTCAGATGCTTGACAGAATCTTTTTAAAACCGGAGGGCTGAAACTTTTGCACAAGGTCAAAGACCTGCTCAAAAAGTTTCCCCACTATGGGTAGTGGCCAGTTCGAATCAGCAGAACATCTGGCGTCTCCTTGTAACGACCTCCAAGGTCAAAAAAAAGAAAAGGGAGAAGGAAGCTGCGATGTTCTCATTGGATCGAAAGATTCCGCGTCTATTCATCGTAAGAAACCAGAGATTACTCACAAATAATTAGGAAGCGCAGGTAAATGATAAAAAAAAGATAGTCTATTACTTACTTGATGGAACTCTGTGAATTTGACGATCATCATGTTTGATTGTGTTGCGTGAGAGCTAGAGTGAAGGTAAGGAAGCAAAACATAGTGACGCATAACAGTTATTCAACGTCAAAGCCACTGACCTCTTCCGTCGCTCGGCGTGCAAATAGAGGACAGCGAGCCAAGCTTGCAAGTAGCGAACGACATCGGATTTAGAGTTGCTATTCAATACAATTCAATTTTCGCTTGAGTCTATTCAATCAATTTAAAAAATATAAGGTATCGTGACCAAATGAAACGGGCTATATTATATTTTATCGATCCCAAGAATTGGTGATGATCTGAAAGACTTTTCTATTTTGCATATCACTGCGGTTTGCCGGAGCAGATTGATTTAAGGTGCCCAAATTACTGCATCTGGAAGAGCCCATTTTCATCAAACTAGAATTTTATGTCTTTTGCACCAAATGTTTGTCTAACACTTTGACAAAGCATAAAAAACACCTTTCCATCGGCATCATCATAGCCAAAATGCTTATTGCCATCTTAAATAAAAAGAGTGGAGCAGCTGGTAGTCGAAACCAGTGCCTCTCCCATGCGAAGGGAGCGCTCTACCAAATGAGCTACAGCCCCGAACCTACGGCAAAAGCCTTCAAAAGGCATTTTTTTTTGAAGATCATTGATCTAGAGATTATATGGTTTAACAAAGGATTTCCCCGGATCCCAGGCGCCTTTGAGCAGTAGTTTACCACTCGTCAACGACAGGCCAGGTTCAGTTGAGGTAAAGTGAATCCGTGGTCATAGTAACAATACTGGCAGTGTGTTTGCTGATGACCCTGAGGGTCCTTGTTATCAAAAAAAAAAAAAAAAAAAAAAAAGCCAACTTTTACTGCGGCAGAAGAGGACTACATTTGGGGAACTCTGGAGATGCATATCGATGCCCAGGGGCCGGGTTCGAGTCCTGGTTAAGGCACATAAAGTGAAACAAACATGTGCCAGGTCAGGGATTTGCTTGAGTTTTTATACTTTCTCTCCGAGACAGCCTAGTGTTCTCCGCTAAGGCTAAGATCGTGGGTGCACTACCCTAAGTCGCCTGGCTGGCCACATGTCTTAGGTATATATTCCACCCCCCAGCCGAACCAGCGGTACATCTGGCAGCACATCCCCCCATCCACCCACTTGACTAGGACAGCGATGATCACAAAGTTTGACGGAGTCCAAAGTAGAAATTTCAGACCAATCCCGCAAGATTTGGGTCCACATGCCAGTGGATTTGATCGAATAGAAAAAAATTAAAAGTCGTCCTTAGCTAGAGTCGGCACGCCAGCCTCCGCGGCTTTTCACGGGCGCAACAGGCCACATCGGAAGGATGGACTTCGAGTACCGATCACGGTGTACATTGGTAGAGAAAAACATGGATACGAATTGGCTCTTCACAGCCATCCCGTGCGAACTTTGAGAGTTTCGCTTGTTTCATAGTTGAGGGCGATATCATTACTTTAGAGCGAGATTATGAAATAAAATTCCTCACCTCTGTGGGTTCTTGTTAACAGGAAAAAAAAAAAATGGAGATGCATATCGATGATGTGCGAGAAGTACGACGCCATGGTGATAGGAACGGCGATGATGAGGAAGAGAGAGAGCACACACCAGATTGGTTTGTGCAGGACATTTACCATGGACTTACGCCCAAGTCCATTGCTCAGAGTTGGAAAGTTGGCTTCAAGACAACAACAAGGATAGCTACATATATGGCAGGGCGCTTCGTCAAGGCCATAGAGGAATTCGGTCGTACAGAAATCTGGAACAAACGGTGTAAAGTCACCGTTGAATGGGAAAAGGCTCGCGGAATCACTGCTATGAGCAAACGCGCTAGAGGACGCAACTGTGTTGGGGAGCACAGACGTAGTAGCAATGATTTCCTTGTCCCTTCCCTCAGACAAAGACAGAAGCTGAATGTAAAAGAGATCTACAAGATCGCGGATGACCGAGTCCGGGACAGTTACCTTGGGAAAACCAAACTAGACGTGATGGAGCGGCTGGGTGGAATGAAGTTTTTGATAACTATGGATAGCGGATAATTTGTCACGTTGCGCGTAACAGGCCACATCGGTAAGGTGGATTTTGAGTACCAACCACGGCGGTCAGCGTTTATGAAATCATGAATGCAGCGGCTCTTGCCGTTTGCGCAGTAATATCTGTTTATTGACTATAGTTTCTGGAGCATTTTGTTCATAGAGTGTAAAAAATAAATCCCATGACCCTGGGCCTTGTTATCAAGAAAAAATAATAATAATAATCATGGATATTATAACTACGATATTGTCTCCCAAGAAAGTAGTTGGAATTACTTTTCAGTATACTACCTTGGTTAAATAGAAGTTTGGTCTGTCAAAGGCACACTACAGAGTTTTCTCTATCATTGACAGTTTTACAGCCTTCATCATTTCGGAGATGCTTAGGCTGAGGAACAAATTTTGACTACACTTCTACGACCCATTTGATGAGGGCCTAATTGATTATGCCATGACTGTTAGACGAAGCAGAGCATCGTCTTCCTGTGTCTTCAAGACATACACCTCCATTAGGTGCTCAGTACATGCAATGCAGTTCATATACTGGACGTGGTGTTGACATTTACTGGCTATCAATTGGTTACAACAAGCGCTATGCAAGGGCGACATGTGCCAGCTCAATGGAGTCATTACCGGCAACGACAAAGTTCTTGTACCTTGGTCTATCTTAAGGTTGCATCTTGGGATTAAGAAATCAACTCGGCATTGGTATAGAGACTTAACAGAGGCAATACGTGAGGTACACGACGTCCGCACCGGATATATCAATAACAGTGCCTGTGTGAGTATGATTTTACGCACCAGTTTGTCAACAGCTTGCATCAGGTAATGATCATCAAGTGCCACCTACCACTTACGACTCCAATGCTGACAGTGATGCTGAAGGACGCGTCACTAGAGGGCCCACTACGATGTCAGCTATTAGTGGCAGCAGACAAGTTCATGAGTAAAGAATTACAACAGAGAAAGCACCAATAATGGCGCAGCAATTGTCTGGTGGTATGTGCCTGGATGTAAAAAATAAAAAAAGTCTGGCCATGAAAAAATATAACCCCATTGCCTCCTTCAATTGGAGCACACGCAGTTTTGCGTACAGGCTTGCTCATGCTCCTAATCGCGAATAGGCCTTTAGCAAACGTTACCGAGGCATTGCGCTGCTTAGTTTGATCGGCAAATGGGGTCCTTTGTTCTGCACAACACGTTCAATCGCCTACCACATGATCCACAAACTCTCTGGTTACTTTGAGCAGCAGGTTACAGTGTTGATCTAAAAGCGATATGAAACTGAGCCACAAACGTGCGCCATATATACAAATTGGAGCGATGGATATACTTTATGATAGTTGATGTTTTTTACCCTTGAGCAATAAAGCACCGTGATAGGTATCGCCTAGGATCTTCGCTTGGCTCTGCCCGCCACAGACAGGGTTTTGTTGTCTAGCTTATTAGAATTGCGGTAATTGACAATCACAGGAAGGATGAGGTGATTCTTTTCTTTCACTGTGTGCTTTTGCGTCAACACAACGATGGGCTGTGGCAATAGTCGCGCAACACCTGGAAGGGGCCTACCAATGAGGCATAACTAGGCCTATGGGCACTGTAAAGCGGCCCATTTCAGTGAATGGGACGCATTCTATGCAAGTTTGTTTTTCAGTTTTATAGTGTTGAATGGCTAAGAAGACATGACATGAAAATAAAAGGTCGAGGGCAAATTTTCATGCGGTTCTCCGCTACTAACAAAAAACTAAAAGTTATATTCAGTTCCGGATGAACGTGAACATCTATCAAAAAGACAAATTTCTATGGAGTTAAAAATCTTCAACTTTGCATTTTTCTGGCTAAAAAAGTCTTTATCGTTAGAATTTTCTGAAGGTCCACCTCTTTTCTTGATGGAAACATGATTTTGGGAAGCTCCTTGCTATCATATACCATTTATACCGATAGTGGAGGGACTGAGAGATCATCACGGTCAGTTTATCCTTGGTTGGGAAGGCTAAGGATTATTTCCTTAATTAATTCCAGCTGTAGCTTCAGGTTAGGGCGCGAAGCAGTAGGAAGCAAATGTAAAGAGGAGAGCAATTTTTTAGTAATGTTCAATGGATCATTGAAGGCTAAAAGTATAATAAATGAAACCCTTCAAGCTGGGGGTCGCAGTGTTCACATGAACATGGGGGTTTACGATTTCATAGAAATCTACAGTACAGGAGTGCCGAATCCTTCCTGTAGCCAACACAGTGACAGACATAATACCAAGATATAGATCCATAATACTTTAGGGCATTTAGATATAGGGCTTAAAGTAGAAAAAATTTCGTGTGGCCGATTGTTTTAGGAAATAATATTATACAATTGCTATGGTACAAGTAGGAACTCAAGAAGAAGAAACCGAGGAAGAGAAGAGAAGAAAAAAGGCTTTAGTGCTGAGACGAAGATAAACTCAAGCCAGTGCCCTCTATCCCCATTTCCAAGTCTCTCATGCTCGCAGGCCGAGACGTAGTCGACCCATTTTTCATCCTGCTTTGGTGATTCTGAGTGCTCAGATAATTTCTGTGAATGGGTAACAGCAATGCCTTTTGTTTGCCCTCATATCTCCTGCAGTTGATGCCATTGTTATTGTTATTACCATTGTTCTCGGCCATAGACAATGGTGCATAAAAGTCTTCACGATTTCTGTAAAAAATGTAGTGTTGAGTTATAAAGACTAAGTCGAATAAGATGCTCAATAATCCAAGGCCAAACTTGACAGGATCACCCGAGATTCCTGACCAGTCACCAGATAGAGCAGCATCCAGGATCAATTGTGTGATACTGAGGACGCCTCCTGTAAAGTCTAGTAAGACGTTGTGAACGCTCCATCCAACTGTGGACTGGGCGGAATAATTGAGATAAACTTGAGGACAGTACTTAATAAAGCTGATGCCGAGTTTGATGTAGCTGAGATAGTAAAGCAAATCAATCCACTGAGATGATCGTATGGTAACGGAGTAAAGAACAATAAGCACACCAGATGTCGAGATGATCACGAGGAGCTTAGCAGGATTGGATATCTTCTGACTCTCATTGCGCTAAATAAGCAATTATTGAGACATGTGTTTTTTAGACCTTTGTTTTGTTTGTGATAGCGACATAATAGTATAGTTTGTTTTCTACATACCTTGTAGATGAATGTCTGAAAGAGAGTCAAAGAAGAAAGGATGAGAGCATGGACAGCAAAAAAGACGTCGTTGGCGCGAACCAAATTATCCTGCCCACCATTACGTTTCCTGTATTCTTCTTGGACCTCTGAGCTGAAGAAAAAGGTGAGATTGAAGATCTAATCGAGATTGAATTCAGGCAACATGCAGCGGTGGTATTGTGAGAGATGTGTCCTATTGAGAGCCATAAAAATGTGGGAGGCAGTAAAATAACATTCCCCAGTAACATACCGAATAACACAAGAAACCAAATACATTGAGGTAAATGAAGTCCAAAGACAATCCTTGCACGGACTTTCGTCTGTAATTTAGAATGGCTTGTGGATAAAAAGAGGCAGACCAGGCAATGAAATAAGCCCAGCCAATGAAATGAGAAATTAAGGATCCGAACCCTTGAGAGGAAGCGGTGTCAATGGTATTCATTATGTATGTGGAAGAAAAGAAAGTGTGAAATTAAAGGGTCAGTCAATGGTTCTATTTGTGTTTCTTCGTCGAGAACAGGTATGATTTGCAGAAAATGTAGGACAGCAGGGAAGAGGAGAGGAAAGAAGGCGATGCTAAAAATGAATCGTGAAGGAGAGAGAAGAGCGTCTTTGAGAAAAGTATCCTCGCGACATGGATTTGTCAGTTGGGCGAAGGCCAACTGCTCAATCACGCCATCTCTGTTTGGAAATCAAAATTATGACAAAATTGGACCTAGAAGGAGGGCACATGGTACCACGTGACCAATCCAAGGAGTGGCTTTCATCAACGCAAGTAAACAGTGGCAAACAACTGTCTTCAACCTTTCGGGTTTAGCCTGATTCCTTTGTGAAGCATTGGAAGTCAAATTCATATTCTTTTTTTATCTCATTTATTTTCTGACTACTCCACTCCACTCCACTCAAGACGAGGTTGAACGCTGAGCAAAGGATAATAATAGTTTCTACATGGCATCTACAGGGTTGTGGCAGCGTTGCGTCGCTGCATCCACTTTGGGAGCAGTAGCCTCCGTCAGGAATGGCAAGTTACACCAGCAACAAACTGTAGCAACTAACTTTGGTTCATTGGAATGTTTTACTCAGAGCTACGCACACAAATCCTAACAAAGTGGAATCCTGACAAAAAAAAAGAAAAAAAAGGTTTTCTAACTCTTGATTTTTTGTTTGATCCAACATGCTACAGTTATTAACAGATCATTTGCGACCACAGCAGTAGTTACTATGGCTCGTCAGCGCTCCGCAGTTCCTAATGTCGCCCGTGTTCCAGGACTGGATAGCCCTGCAGACCTGCACGATCTGGCTCAGATTCACCCTCTATTAGATCATTACCCTCGCAAGATGGATCAAAACGGCAACTTGGATCTGGAAACACCACGTCTGTGGCCATCAAATCCACCTCTGGATGACATGCTCAAATCTCAAGCAGACGATGATGTGGACGAGGCTTCACTTCCTCATGGCTTATCCAAAGACGATCTCAGAAAGTTTTTGAAGCGTGCATTGGTGGTTAAGCGCACATCTAATATGACTACTGCAGGCAAAGTCCCCAGTATGTATGCATTAGTTGTCGTCGGAAATGGTCAGGGCATTGCTGGATATGGCGAGGGCAAAGATGATGAGGCTGCCAGGGCTGTCAGGAAAGCTACCAATAGGGCCATGAGAAACTTGGTGGCCTTTGATCGCTATGATGATAGAACCATCTATCATGATATCGATCACAAATTCCACGCCACTAAGATCCAGTTCCGATCGCGTCCACCAGGTACATGATAATAAACCGTGCTGCACTGCTTATGAAAAGGGGACTGTGGTCAGCTCTGATATCCATTGTTTCTAATGTATGGTCCAATTATATTTCTCTCTTTATCATTACATCTTTTTAGGTTTTGGTAACCGCTGCAACCATTATATTCACGAAATTTGTTCATGTATTGGGATCCTGGATATTAGCGCCAAAGTCTGGGGCTCCCGTAATCCTATGAACGTCATTAAGGCGACTTTTGAGGCTCTTAGTCAGAAGCAGAAGTTACCCGAAGATATTGCCCGCGCGCGTGGCAAGCGTGTTGTTGATGTGCAGCACACCTATTATGGTGCTAGCGAGTAAACTCTTTCATATCTTGAGATCATAAGGAAGGGAAGCTGAAGCATGGATTAAACAGGATAAATGGATCATCATTTGTATAATATCTTATAGAGGTGCAGAGGAGGAAAGATCAGTAAAAGGCACATTTGTTTCTCCTCTTCCTTAACGAACGCTTTTTTTTTTTTTTTTTTTTTTTTTTATGTATTAATTCCTTTATAGCAGTAGTAAAGTGTTCTGCTCGATTGTTTATAATGCACTTGTTTTAAGAATATGGACTACTGGCCTTTCCTTTCTCCTATTCTTTCTCTTCATTCTCCCCTTTTACTTTTGCCTTTTCAACTTTCACAGTCTACATCCGGCATCTAAGAGCTGAACCTTGAGCTCTACATTTGAATCCCATTTTAATACACTGTTACCATTGCTTTTATTATTATGAAGTTGAAGGTGTAAAGATAGGCGGAGATACAATAGAAGAAGCAGTGACGGAGATGTCCTGCAGGGACGAAGATAAAGGAGTGATGGCAGCAATGGTTGGGGCTAGATCTTTAAGTCTGATAGCCCTGATAATTGGAATTTGCGCGGTTGCGGTCATCACTGATGTTGTCATCGCCATCTTGTCGGTCGCTGGAGTGGTTATTGCGAATGATCCTGCATTTATCATCATTGTAGGGACCGTAGATTTCTCTAGACGCGACTTTTCTCTTCCGAGATTAAGAAATGCAGCCCAAGGTGGCTGGCTTTTTTTTAACTGCCCCTAGATCATGTCATCCTCGTGCATATCTTCCTTCTGTAACGTCTTGGTTTGTCCTTCATTCTCTGTTGCTATCTTTTTGTTCTTCGATCGTTTTGGTCTCAAACTGAAGCCCATAGAGCTGGTAATATTCTAGGAATAACCCTTCTTTTAACCCAGTCAAGTGTCGTTCTAGTTCAGTGACCTTGGCTTTGAGAGTTGAATTTCCGACAGGAAATTTCTTGGCATTGATATTGGCATATTGCTTCAAGTTAGCATTTGTACCTGCAATTAGAGTTGACAGAAGTGGATATTGTCGAAATATCGCCTAGTGTTGTTATTTTATGCAAATATTCGAGCCTCTGATGCTCGAAAGTTTTTGTGGAGAAACGAATGTTGTTTCGCTATGGATACTGTTGTTGTAAAGGTAGTTCTTTTTATCATTCCCATTTCTAATTTTGTAATCAATGATACCAGATATCGCGAGGCGAAAAAGGTATTGTGAACTTATTTTTTGGCTCCATGGCACGTTGGGACGCTTTTGAAACATAAACTTTGGGTCACAAGATCAAATAAAAAAAAAAAAAAAATTGGCTCTACGACATAATGTTGGTGAGACATGAAAGAGATAGAGGCCCTTGCAGGGTAGTAATGCAAGCTCGTTGGATATCGTAAGGGTTTTTTTTTTTTTTTTTTTTTTTTTTTTTTAAAAAAAGATATTTTGATCGATATTATGCATTGAACCAAAAACAATAGAATAAAGGGAAGGCATTTAGTATCAAGTAGGAGGTATATCTTTGTGTCAGAGACGATCTTTAAAAAAAAGCGTTCTGCAAAAATAAATTTGTTTTTGTTGTCAACTATCTTTCCATTGGTATCTTCATCGACTTTCTACCACTAACTCGTTCTCCCCTCTTCATGATACAAATCTCAAGTCAACTAACTCAAGTTTGCCTTCATCACAGATCTGATCCATTGATGGATATGTAACTCCAATCATGCTTCTCCGACGACGGTCTCTCTTGGCTGACATTACTTCATTTCTCCTTTGAATATTTTCCCTATATTGATCCAATGCGCCTTCGAAACGTACGATCCATTCATCATATAAAAAGGCAGAGTCCGTGAACGCATAAAGCTTGTAATCCATATCTGTCAAATCAAATTCAGAAGCATTCGACATGTTCACGCCGTCTGAAGCGATTATCAATGAGAAACAGTTGGAGCTCACATCGACCTTGTCATAATCAGGAGGTTGCACGTCCAGTATATGGGCCAATCGAATCACAGCAATAGGATCGCGTTTCTGTTTTTGAAAGTCCCAAAGAGGATAAATTAATGTTCGGCTGTCGCTTATGAAAAAAAAAAAAAAAAAAAAAAAAAAAATAGTTCAAGTAAACCTAGTCAGCATTTTTACCAACTGATACTCCGCATCATAGAGCTTAAACGCGCTTCCTTGAAGAACCGCCCAATATCTCTTCCAAGACTGCATGTCGTTCAAAGAAAGATTGATGTTGTATTAGGAGCAATGTATTACAAACAATATAATCGCCATACATAGAAGCTCTCTTCCACTTACACCCATGCGCGACCCCCTGGTCATGACAGTCAAGTCACCTTCGTAGAGACAATCAGTCTCCCATCTCCTATCTTCGATCGGCTCTTGTAAGACATGAACACCAATCATGATCACTATCTCATAATCGGCTTTTTCCTTGTAGTGAACCTTGATTCCAGTAGGTTGGCTGCCCTCCGTAGAGACCACACGTTGCAATTTGTAGGTTCGGATGGATTTCTCCATGGACTCCAAAGGAAGAGATAAAGTTAGCCGGCCAAGATGCACGGTTTGTGTGCTGGAGAATCCAGCCATTGTGCCGAATTTAGTCGCCACAGGTGTACCCTTCACCTCAAGCTCGAGTTGGAATGGCTTATCTACATCACTGCAATAGAGTAATAAAGGACATATCGGTTCGGTTAGAATACCGTTCTATGAAGAATAATGTAATTAAAAAAAAAAAAAAAAAAAAAAAAAAAAAAAAGTACAATAAGAAGACTTCGTTCATGGTAGCAGTGTTGCCTGGGCTATCTTTAAAAGACCTTGAAGGGTGAGACATACGCTCCACACTGCCGATTCGCAGAATGCACTCGATGTCATGGATCTTTGAGCTCGCTCTGTTGGAGACCTGCATCACTACGTGTTCAACAAATATTAAAAGAACATCGGTGTCATATTCATCTTCCATGTTCAGCTGATATCGAACATAAATGGAGGAAAGAGGCGCTTACGCTTGACAAGAACAAGGCCAGTAGCTTCGTTGAGATTGTTGTATCCTGTCTTTGCAAAACTAGAGATTGTTTGCAATAAATGACACAACACAGAAGAGTGAGTTTTTTTTTTTTTTTTTTTTTTTTTTTTTTAAAAAAAAAAAACATAGACAGAGCAATCAAGTACCTACCTCAGCCTAGATGTTATGAGGTCATCTCTGCTATGAATAAGATGTCCCTCCATTGTATCCCAAGCTCTCCCTGACTTGAGTACGTTGTTGAATTGTGAAAGTCGCAGTTGTTGTGTAGATGCAGATCTCTTGTTATTCCCTTGGTTCAAACAGTCTCTCACCCATACTTGCCTATCCGGTGAGAACTGGTCTATAGAAGCGACTGACACAGGGCAATGGACCAGTGCAGGCTCTTCACTCAAGTCTGGGAAAATACGACCATGACTACCACCTCCACCTACTCCATGGTTACTCCCAAATACCCCAGGGCTCAATGGGCTTCTGAGAAAACTGCTTGCGCGGCTACGTCTGCCAAGAGATTGAGATTGAAATTGTTGTTGACTACATCCTGCTAATCCAAGATTACTGCCGTTTGAGGAGGTAAACGAATGATTATCATCATATGAGGTTTTACTGATAGTAGAGAGTGAGAAGTTGTGAAGCGAAACACAATCAGAGGCAGAGTTTGATCGGCTTTTGGAAGAAAAGCGATCGCTGCTGCCGCTATAATCCTTCAAACTGTTAGGCGTCCCTATAGTTAGCGCCGGCAAACCCGAGGGCTTTTTCTTGCCGATTATGCCCTGATCTTCGCCATTACCAATCGTTACTGGCTTCTTTGTCTTTTTGTTAAGATAATTGACAGGTACGACCAACGCCTCTTGCAGGTCCTTACTAAAGCGTTTGAAGGTATCGTTCTGCATGATGCCCTTTTCACTTTGGAGGGAGCAATCAAATCTGCGAAAATGAAAGTGTCCGATACCGGTATATTGAGATGACCTACAAGACTGAGCGCAGTTGAGGTAGGCAATAGTGAGCGAAAAGGAGAAAAGGATAGGGTATAATGTAGACGAAGCGACAGTAAATGGTAGGGGAAAAGATGAAGAAGTGATATTCAAAAAATAATTTCGAATGCCAAGGGTATATCAAATACCAAAAAAAAAAAAAAAAAAAAAAAAAAAAAAAAAGAAGAAAAGAAGAATAACAAGAATAAAATGAATATCAAAAGGACTTTGGTCGATTTGCGTTTATTCAATGATCGATCGAACAAAAGAGCAGACAAAGAAATGAATGAACAATGCAATATAAACTCATACCATATTTCGTTCTCATCCATCCTGATATGGCTCCTTCCTTTCCATGCCGTGCAGAAGAGACCTAAGGCAAAAGAAAAAAGAAAAAAGGAAACCACGACATAAGCTTCGGCATTTCGGTTTGAGTGGGAGAAAATGATAGCATCAGCACGATAGAGCAATATGCAAAAGAACGACATGATAGAGAGCGTGTCTACAGAACATCTACATGCACTGATGTCGTTACAAAGCTTAGATATGCAGCTTTATTCTACTATGGATATATTGCTTTAATAACCGTATATTCTCTAGACTCCCTCAAAAATAAGCAGCGACCGTTAGACCCGTTGTATTGGATTGAAATGAAAACTTGAAAATGGTAGCTATTTCTATGTTTTTATTATTATTATTATTATTTTATTTCTTAGATACTGACAAAACCATGCGTTTAGAATGATATAATTCAGGACATGCAAAAATATTAGATATACCTGCATATTGGGATATTTCAGGAATGAGGAAGTTGCGAGCCCAGCAATGCCCTACCTTGGAGGCAGTTTAGTCCCAGTATCCGTCTGAATTACAATAATTGTGGCTTATAAGTATACCAATCTACTCTGGACAACACACTGCAAACATCGCAGCTCTAAAAAACATGCATAAGTGCTGGTCCTTAGAAAACACTGCTACCTATATTATTACTGCTATTGTTGTTTTAGCACGCGAGGAATAGATAGTCATTATAATTTGGTGTCTTGACGTCCCAATCCATCTAAAGTGGTCGAACAAAATAAAATTAATTATTGTATTAGTCAGAAACCACTGTTGAGTAAAAATCGTATTATCACACACCAAGAGAAAAAAACAGCGAGTTGAATTGATACCTGACAAACGGGGTCGTGGAGGCCCGCTTACACTTAGCGATCGTCCGTTGGCTGTACTATCCCCTGATGGTCCTCCATTCACGCTTCCCTTCAACCCTGGCTGGTTCCCACCCACAGCCCCAGCGGGTGATCCAGGGGGCGGCGGAGGGCCTGGATGATGCCGAAGGTTTTGTTGCTCCAGTAGTAAATAGTGCATCTGCATCCGAAGGCCATGACAAACAGCCCGCAGACTCTGAACCTCCTCCTGTATCCGCATGCTCTCTGTCATGATGGCCATGTTCTGCTTAAGCTCCAGTGAGGCTAGGCCAGCCGTAAGCGTCTCTATCTCTGACCGGATGCGCTCGTTCTCCGAGATCAATAGCTCGTGGGCCTCTGCAGCATTCCCAGGCGTCATAACGCCACCCGCTCCAGCGCCGCTGGACATCATGGACTCGGCTCCGATACTGTTGTTCCTGTTCATAGTACTTGCTCTTTGCCTTTCCATTTCCATCTCATTATCAACACCATTAACACTAACTAGATCATACGACTCACGCCTATCTATCCGTGGTGAAAATTGAGGCCGGTGTTGGTACTGGTGGTAGTTCATATCCATGAATCCTCCAAGCGTCCCAAAGGAGATTCCGCCGCCACTATTGTTAATATTTGAGCCTGCAGCCTGTTCTTGCTCCTGTTCCGCGATCAGCTGGAGCGACTCTTGAATCTGCCCAACCTGGTCGCGCAGTTGTTGTACCTGCGGTCTCAAGTCGTGAAAAATCCCTCTCAGATGTTGATTTTCCTGTTCTAGTGCCTCCATTTTTGACTTTGATAATTCTAAAAACCCGCGAATAGCTTCATAAGGGCATTGAGGAATGTGGATTGCTTCCAAATCAAATCGAGGGCCTTTCCATGGACAGCCGAATTCTGAAAGCGTGCAGGGAATGATTTGTTGTGGACATGTTTTAATATGCTCCAGATGTCGAAGTCGTGCCCGAGTTGTTTCGCAATGTGGACAGGTCACACTCTCGGCTGGGCAAGTCTTGTGGTGCTCCTATTTATCAATATACAAATACACATTGAGTAGGCAAAAGGCTGCAGGTCCAAGCAATGTAGTCCAACTGATGCTAGAATATCAATAACAACAACAGCCCACAAAAAAAGGTAGTCCCCACCATTCATTCGCCCTTTGTTTGTATTTATCTTTTTTTTTTTTTTTTTTTAAATAAAAAAAATACTTACTGAGAGTTGCGATTTCATGACCTTTGTATTGCACATCAAACAATCTACTCGTTTATAAGGACAGCTTTCCATATGCTCTGAGAGATCTTTCTTAAGTATTTTTTTACGACACTCTTCCACACGACATAATGTTCCAATGTAAACGCAGTCATCCTTGAGATGCTGACCAATCTGGATCCTTTGGCAAGTGTGATTGCAGCCAAGTTCTTTGTGTGGACAATACACCAACAGTTCGTCACAAATTCTAGACAGTGCAATCACTTCATACAACATTGCAGGATCAATCTTTGTTCGGCAGAGAGGACAGCCATTACGGACTTCTAGCGCTTGGAGAATACAGGCACGGCAAAATGTGTGCCTTTGTGGCCGTATGGTTTGTATTATGATGCCTGAACGTTAATATATGGCTGCCGTGTGAAAAATAAAAAGATGTAAAATTTTTTTTGTTTGTGTAGGATAAAAAGCCAAACAAGATGAAAAGATGGGATGTCTAACTTACCCACAGGGCGCACTAACAGGCTCTGTGAAGTACTCGCAGCAGACAGAGCACTGGAGACTAGTCTGCGTGGGCTCGACATACTGAAGACCGCGCGGATCATACAGAGCCTCTTCTGTCAACGTGGCCGAAAAAGATATTGGCAGGTCTTTCGTTTCATTGTAGTTGGTAGTATTGCTACTACCGCTGTTGTTGTTGCTACTGCCGTTATTGCTGCTATCGATGTTACTATTGTTCCTGTACACACTGCCGGTTGCTGCCATGGTGAAGTGGAATTGAAGTAGAATGTTTGTTCATGCAAAGAGATGCCATTAGGAAAATAAGAATAAAACGAACATTCGGCCCATCGAAGCCGAGCAGTCACTGAGTTTTCTTTTGATTTTGTTTTAATTGCTTAATTCAACAAATGTCCTAATATCCTTGTTCACTTTACCACGTGACGAAACTGCATGAAAGAACTCATATCGATCTTTTATTGCTTTGAACCATTTTGAGATGTTCTATAGAAACATAAGACATATCACAGCACTGGTATGCTTTGCATCGCGTTTCTTTTGTGATCACTCTAGATACCAATTCTCAAACGCGTTGGTACTTCTATTATTACGACATCACACATTTATTGTGGTTTAGTGTACCATGTTGTATTCCATTTGCATGCTTTTGTAGACTGGTGCCCACTATCAAACTCACACAAATATACACACGCACACACCAAGCGAACTAAACCCCCTTCTCTCTCTTCTGCTCTCTCATCCATCCACGAGGCGCTGTACAAGATCATCAGCAAGGAGAGGATGATTAAATGGCTTTCACTCCAAGCAATAAACACAACCAATAGCGTCCCCCTATCCCCCCATTGATGCCAGGATCAGTGTGCCAACGAATGTCTCTGCTTTAACGCAAATGAACTAGAGCTGTTGCGGCAAAGAGCAACATCTGAATCCATTCTCTGATTAACAAAAAAAAAGGGTCTTTTTCGTTGTTATTGCTTGACAAGGATTTAATCACCTTCTGTTTCAAAACCAGTTCCTACACATCTTTACTGTTTTCTATCAACCAAGCAAAATACTGAAATTTCTAACAGGGCAAGAGCCGACCGTGGCGGAGCCACGGGGTTGCGGTTCATTATTCTTTATATATATTTTTACATGCTGCAACTTGTTTTAGTCCCCATCATCCACCACTTGCTATCATTTGCAAAATATCTTAGGACGACTTCCAGGCAACATAGAATTGAGCCAACGCTGCAATCCCTCCAAAGATACCGACACCAACATCAGGGAAGCTGCTCTTCTCCAAACTCCAATGGACTGTTAAGGGCAAATATCCAGTGTTGATCACAGTATTAATCAAAATACCCTTCTTCTCTGCCTTTAATGCCGCTAATTCCCTCTTATACTCTGTCTTGTCCACAGGCTCGCCTGTCTCCCTGGCCTTGGCATCAGCAGCCTTGATGTTTGCACGAGTTGACTGTAGGCGAACCTTATACAGACGGTACTCCTCCGCCAAGTGTGCAAATTGTAACACAACATAGGCTGCCCAGAAGCGGCAGGACCAGATTGCGATCTTGTTGGTCTTTTCCATCGAAATCGGGATCACTTCATGTGCTCCCAGCCAATAAATGTGTTCGAGAGGATAATAAATTAAGTTGCAAATGTTTTGAAGGCGGTCAATAAGCAAGAGCAAAGGGCTAGAGGAAGGTGTGCTGTCGACATATTGCATCCACTGAATCAATGGCAAGAGACCTGAAACAATAAAAAAAAAAGAAATGTCAGCTTATTTAGCTTATATGAGGGAAGAAAAAAAAAAAAAAAAGACGAACCATAGTAACGGAGAAGGACACGGAAGTCCGAAATGGGTCCAGACAGGTTCTTGATACGCTGAGCTGTTGATTCACGACCACGTTTCAAAAAGTACCAAACAAAGATTTTGGAAAAGTATTGTACAACCTAAAGACAAAAGCTTATTGATGTTGAGTGCTACAATTCTAAAGCCTTTTCATCGTTGCTCCTGAGTAAGAGACTGAGAAAGTGAAGGGAAAACGAGCAACATATGCTGGATGGGTCGGGGAAACACGGTTGCCTTTTTTTTGTTAAGGTCATATAATAACGAGAACAAAAAATGCAAAAGAGCTGAAAGTGATTAATTTGCCCGCAAATTTATATTTATCAAGGAAAGATCACAGCCACTCTTCCAACATTGGGATCAGTTTAGTATGACCAGTCATCATGTGCAGTTAACAACAGATACAACTGTGGTATGATGATTTATCAATCACTTTTTTTTTTTTTTTTTCCCAGCAGCTACTGAGTATCGATATGCGTCGAAATTTGAATATCTTCCTCTCCAAGTATGCTATCCTGACTGTGCTTATAGTCACTCAAGTTCCTGTTCAAATGTGCTTAGGCAACCTGCTTTCATGGTCTGTGCAAATGACGCAAACTCTATCCACTTTCTTCCTCTCTCTCTCTCTCTTTTTTTCCTTTGCCAATAGATGATCGTCTGGGATGTATATTTGTATTGATGAAATAATGTATGTAAATATGCACTGTACCATGAGGGTCTTATCGGTGCCTCGAACTTGATTCAAGAAACGGACTGTGTGGTCAAGAGTCTCGCTTTTCGGAAACAATTTCCCGAGCGCAAGGATCGAGGGTGATTCTTTTCGAAGAACTGGAGTGTGAACCTGTTCAGCCGAGTCGACCTCTTGTTTAGATGCAGCTACCATTGTTCAATGTATTATTTTTTTTATTAAATGAATCTGTAATGAATAAGTTGGTGTCAGTGATGTGTGGGGAAGAAAGAAGGAAAAAAAGTGAAATTGGTCGGAGGTTCACTGGTGGACCAACTTCTCCGGCCGAATCAGGATAATGGCCGACACGTGAGAATGCATACAAATGTCAAATGCCAATTCTCTTCGCTTGGCACAGTTACGCTCAGATCAGTCTTATCTTTATTTTACTGTCTTTATTAAGGCAAATCATACAACTAAGGCATGAAATCCAGACATGAGCTCACTTCATGGATGAGATGCGACAGTTGTAGTTGTCGGCTGTATCATGGAGACATTATCATTAGCAATCATAATGCTGCTATTATTGTTATTGTTACTATTGATGTTGCTGCCATTGTTATCAGCCACCGTTGTCATGGTAGCAGTCGTTTGCGCGCTGCTCATGCTGTCTTGACCGTTTGGCCCTTGAGCTTGTTGTGTTGATGAAACTGACGGATGAATGTTGTTGAATTGGGCAGAGGTATTCATCGTTACAACCCCAACTTTGTACTCCAGAAATCGCTTCTGGAGTTCAGGGCACAGCTCCACAAGTACACGACGGGTAGAAAAGCGGTAGAGTGTTGCCATATCTGTTACCAGCAGGCACTGTTTGATCTCGAGGACTGCCAAGTTTGGACAAAGCTGCATCAACGCACGGACTGATGCACTTGTCAGCATGGGACAACTATTGAGCGAGATGCTAAATGAATATAGAAAAATATCGATTAGATAAATATTCATCTTAACTCAATTCATATAACAACATTATTGCTAAAGTAAATAAGAGTTATACCGGTGAAGGCCAGAGCGTGAGTAACGTGCAATGTCAATAACTGCATCGTCTGTCATAGCACACCCTGCCAATCCTAAGGTGTTCAAGTTTGTGTTCTTCGCAATCTCCACGATGCTTTTTCCTGTCACTTTTGAAGCCGCACTCACTCGTCCTACGTTCAAGTGCCAGAGCTCAGAACAATGTCTCGCTACCAGAACTAGCGATTCATCCGACACATTTGAACATGCACGCAAATCCAAGTGTTTCATTCGAGGGCAATGTAACGCAATCTGACTTATCCCTTGATCCGTCACTTTAGCACATCCGGGCATCAGCAATTGCTGAAGTCTTGGACAGTTTTCAGCTATGGCCGCCACAGTCACATCCGTCAGTTTCTCACATATGTAAAATTCCAGAATCTGAAGATTATGGAACCAGCTAGTCAGAGGCATGATATCCTGATCTTCAATCAACTTCAGCTTGTGCAACACAATCTTCTTAACTGCCATAGCTCGCTCGTGAAGGCGCCTTTGCATCGCTTCAGGAGCCATGATTGATTCTGTTAGCTGATGCTTCTGTCTATATTGGATGCTTTCGTGTCTCTGCCGTCTATGGGTGCCCTGCTGCTGCCGTATACGATCCTTATCATCAATCTCTGTTAGCTGGATTTGTTGTTGTTGTACCGAGTAATTGGTCTTCTCTGGACTTACTCCTCCTTTTCCCTCTGTCCGCTTCAATAGATCGATAAAACATCCCAATTTGGTAGGGGTTTTGAATCGAATCTCGTGCCACAATGTCTTCTGTGCAACCAAGTACCATTGTTTTGAGACCAGCATACAGTTATAGATCTCGCGCTGTGAATATTCCTCTTGTGGAGTAAAATCCACCACAAACTGGAAAATAAGATGCAAAATCTCTGGTAGTTGAATCGGTGAAAGGCGATGAAGATGCTCTTGTTGCTGTTCGATCAAAGGCGACGACACATGATCAACCATACTGTCACTATTATTTTTAAGCAACAGACTATTGTCCCCGTCTGAAAGTAAACCTTGACAACGGAGTTGATGCAGATGTTGTAGACGTCGGACTGTCTGACGTTTCATGCTCTTTTCCTCACGATGGCGATGAAGCTCCAATTCCATCTCTGTAGTTAACATGGCGTCGTGGGTCGCATAATAGTTATTTTGGCTTTCTTGGTCTTGTTCTTTATCGGAATAATCATGGTCATACTCGTGTTCATTATTATTTTCATCACCAAGAACCGCATCCAGATCCATCTTTCCGCCATCACCTTCGTACTCTTCTTCATCATTCCCTTCATTTGGCTTTTCAGACAGATGGAGGTTGATATCTGTTAAATTAACCGCAGTTTCTTGTGATTTAGTTGAAAATGCAGACCCACGACGAGAATAGGAGCCACTGGCGCTGACACCGACAACTGCCATAGACTTGAAAAAACGTTTCATGATGTCATGTTGATGATTAACGGTCGGAGACGACATATACCCATGGCCCGTAAAGTGCTGTCGATATTGCTGATGGTTTGTAGTGAAACCGGGATGCTTGCTGTTCCTCCCAAGGTCATAGTGGATGCTTTCTCCTCCAATACTGCTGGTCACAGAGGATCGCCTGCTTCCTGTTCTCTCAGTAGATACACTACTACTGTTTCTGCTACTGCTGTTGTGATCGGAGGCATAGCCTCGACGGATACCTTTGGTACTATGACTATCGCGACTGCAAATGCTCACGGTGGATGAAGCAGAGACGGTGTTATTGCTACGCTTCTTTTGCTGCCGAAGCGAGGAGTATTTAGAATGATTTGATTGCTGCTCTTGTGGGCGGGACGAATCAAATGTAGCTGTCATCATTGGTCTCCTCCTGTTGCTAGTACTGGTACTGTTGGCGTTGCGTTCGTATTCCTCACACGACTCACTTTCATCTGTCTGGGTCTCAGATTCTAGTTGACTCTTATCGCCAATTGGATGCATGGGAGAGGATGGTGCAGATGCAGTACAACAGATGGGTCGCTCCAAAGGATGAACTTTGTTGAGGCGTGGGTTATAGGTTTGATGATGCTGAAGGGTGTTGTTGTTATTGCTGCCCACAAAAGCCTTGAAAATCCGTTTGAAGAACGAAGGTGATGGACTAGTCATTGGCGTTGTGGCAGATTGTGTGCAGTTATGGACGTAGCTGTGGTTGTGGTTATGCCTGTTGTGGTAGTGGTGAGCATGACAGCCATGGTAACAGCATTTGGACGAATGCCCACGATCACTTGGGGAAGACAGCGACGATTGCGATGATAAGGGCGATGTAATGGCTGAAGCAGAGCTTGTTTGGATAGAAAAATGACGACGATGGCTCTTGCTGGTCGTAGTAGGTGCTGGTGACGAGTGGCAATAGCGGTCGCAACGATGATGACACTCAGCTAATGTGGGTGCCTTGGTGTGTGTTCTGTAACTGTGTATGCTGCCGTTACTACTACTAGAACTGTTGCTGCTGTTGTCTTCAGGATCAACAGCAGTCCGGATGGAAGCGTTGGCGGTCGCCATTGTTTCAGATGGGTTTATTATTATTGTTATTATTGTTTTGGAATAGTGCAATAGAGACAGAGACTGAAGAAACGCAATTTGAGTATTGTCAAGGGTACGATTTAAAAAGAATAAAAATGTGTCGTAAACAATGAATCGATAGCGATGTGGCAGATGGCCTGAAAAAAAAGAAAAAAGAAAAGATACGATCAACTCGAGTATGAATACACCATCGATTATTGCCGTAATAGCTGTGGTTTGTGTCTATACGCCAGAGGAGGAGAGATTGTTAGTCATAAAAAAATAAAAAAAAACGTGTGGAGTTCTTTCTATTGACAAAGAATAGGCAAAGGAACTCAAACATGAAAAAGAGGAGCGTAAAAATAAAAGTAAAATAGCAAAGGGGAAGGAAAAGAGAATGATCAATATCAGCGAGAAAAGAGAGGGGAGAGTGATGTGAGAAGAATGGCATTATGTGTTTCGCCCCGTGTGTCTGGTTCACACTGAAAGGAACGATCAAACAAAACACACAAAAAAAAGGCATTGCCAGTTTGGTATACAACAGTGCAGATTCACTGATTCTGACAAACGTTTTCATAATACCAAAAGGAAAATTAGCTCCAAATTGAGAAATAGAGAAGCAAGGTGATGAAATGGTTGCACAATTTCATTAAAAAGGCGCACGGACGGGGAAGTCATGTCATGGAAGGAAAGATCAGATGATGCTCTCTTTTAGCGTATATTACCAGGGTAGGATCCGTCAGAAATAGATGAGGGCAATAGTGTGATTACGTTGACAGTTGAAATAAATGAATATAGGGAAAGAATGAAGGAAGGGGAAGGAAGGGAAGGAAGAGGAAGAGGAGGAAGAGGAGAGAAGGAAGGGGAAGAGAGGAAGAACAGGAAGAGGGGAACAAAGAGGGGGTGAGAGAAAGAGGGGAAGGACGGATATAAAGGCACAAATGATACGACTGACAGTAACATGTCTATTCTATCCACAAGGATGTAAACCCCGAAAAGTGTCATCTGCCTGTCTTCACCCTGACTGTCCACTGAACACACCATGTGTGATTTAATGAGTAAGGTCTCTTGCTTTCCTTTCTGTTTTACGCGGGAAAAAGAAAAAGAGCATCGCCTGCGAAACACAGCTAATGCGAAGCCAGACTAATGATGCGTGTATGTCCTAGAAAGTATGATGACCAACTGAACCAACTACAGCAACAAGAATAAACAATAAGTTGCCCTTACTGATATCCGATATCCGCTCAATTAACAAAGCATACAGCACAAGGACGATTCAATTAACACATCAATGATCTAACCGTTGGTAATCACTGCTCCATTTCAAGATTCCTTCAATAGGTGCAATAAAAAAAATTGAGCTTCTCAGGACATCCTTATAATGCCCTGGGTAAGGCTATAGGTGTCTCCCTCTTCATGGATTTTGTAGCAGGAATTCATGAGATAGAAAGAGTGCCAATCAATGATAGTTGTATGACTTCTTGGACAACATTGCTGAGTACACATAAAAGGCAGCCATTCTGGTAGTCGGGCTGCTCTGTGTTGAGGGCTTATGAAATGATGTACAAAGAGTAAAAGGAGTGCATTGTGGAATGATTAGGAATAAATATCGTAATTTTGTAGAGGATAGGCACATTCGCACCCGACAAAATGTGGTCCCGATTCATTCGGAACAACGCCTTCAATTGTAAAGACATGATCAATCGTTCTGGGGCCAACCATAAACAAACCAACAGGTTCAAGAAAAAAAAAAAAAAAAAAAAAAAAGGGAGAGTGCTCGCTATCGGCGCGGTATTCATCGTGTTTGCCTGTGGATAAATATATTCATGGTCATGTGCAGGCACTTGAACATGGACAAAGCACATGCACAGACTTTTTTTCGTATTCTCGTTGCTTAATTATGAACCCGTTTTCATATGAAGAGAGGGCTATTATCCACCATGACAGAGCCTCAGTGATGATGGAAATACAGGTATTTGACCTTTATGAAATGATCTAAGCGAGTACATGATGACCGGTAACGATGACAATAATGGTGATAGAGATATCTTCTAAATAGGTCTGCTTTCTAGTTGTTTCGTGGCAAGCTCTTTCTGTTTATCAGGTCGTTCCTTTGGCCAGTTGCTTCAGCTTACGTGAGCAAAACGTAAAGACCATCATACTGATGCCCAGTGCAGTTGTGCCTACGATAGCGAATGCATGAGGATTCGTTTCTAAGTAATTATGTAGGTTCATTCCATACAAACTGGCAATGATTGCACCACTAGACATGCCCAGCGTGCCCATTGCGATCCTGAGCTCAAACAGTAGCAGTTGGTTCCTGGTCGCGCCCAAGATCACATTCACAATCTCCTCTGTCGACTGCATCTGTTGCTTCACAATCGCCACCGTGTTAGCAATTTCCTCAACCTGCTTCAAATATGACTCAAGCAGAATCTCAATCTCCTCATGAGAATCCACCGTCCTTGGATGGCCAAGCTTCTTTTCAGTCAGGTACATATTGGCCAGGTCCTCATCTATATATCAGAACAGCACCATAGACAAAACAAATGCAGTCAGCGAACAATAAGAGATCCCGACAATGACCGTTTGGTCATGCAGTAATTCGCTTACCTTGATCCAGGACCTCAACGAAGACATCCCGTATTAACAGTGTCTTGGATTCAAACTGAGACAGTTTCTTTGAATATTGCAGAAGTTCTTTCAGCTTATTCTGGTCGATGCTTTCTTCTAATTGAGCTAAGAGATTGGTTACAAAATGAACAAGGACCTCCATCTCTGACTGTAGTGAAGACAATACTGAAATAAAGATGGCTTCCAGTGCTCTAAAAAGGTTTTTTTTAAGAAAAATAATTATAGTAGATGATAATGTGAAGGCAATGCGACGGTTAATCAATGACTCTCTTCTTATTCACGTTAGTAGCTATCAGCCTTTGCAGGAAGCTGGTTACATACCTGAATTCAAAAGGAAGGCCACCTGCAGCACTTGTGCTCATTCTCAATTTCTCCTCGAGATCGTAGATAAAGATGGATTGGTTGTAGCTGTCCGTAGATCCAAAAGAGTCAAACAGAACTACAAGGTCAGCCTTGATAAGTGCTCGAATGTGACCCACATTCACTAGAATAGCTTCGGGACGGACAAGGATGACAGGGATTTGATTATTGAAACTGCTGTCAATCTTGCGCAGGTCTCGGGCGTGCAGTCCATGCTGTGAATTGGCCATAAATAATTTTGTCAGACAGAGATATTATCTTTTCTGCGATCCATGCATTAAATCATTGTGCAACATACCCGAAGTTGCAGTGGATGATCAAACGTTTTTCATTGCGGCATATTTGAATGGTTTACCTTTTGACAGAGATCACTTTTCAGGAACTCGCCGGCAGTGGTCTTGACGTTACCTTTGTGGTCAAACTCAGTGCACCGCAGCTTGATCTCATTCTTGATAGTATGGTGAGGGACAGCGGCCAAAGATCGTTGAAGACGTGCAACAGGATCGGCAGCAGTACCAGAGACGGTTCCCTTCATCGCTTGCGTAGGTTTGGTAGGCATAGTAGCCAAGGATCGTGACTCGGATGTGGCTGCTGAAGGTAATGAGCGGAACGGACGGCGCCATGTTTGTAAAGAGTCGACGGTTGTGATAACGTTGCTACTGTTACTGCCGCCACTGATGCTGCCACCGGATGAAGATGAAGAGTAAAGAGAAGGAGAGTAAGTGTGGTATCTAGAAAGTTGTGTTGTCGCTGTCTTTAAGCAACGAGAAAACTGTGGTTGCTGATGTAGACGGAATGTATATCCGAAGAGGACTGTGGATTTGTTGTTCAAGCCAGTATTCCGAGAATAGAAAGACTGCCTGGAGGGATTTCCATTTTGAACCATAGCAGTCCAAAAGGAGGATAGCCACCAACTGAGCGGATCAGATGCACGGCAATCATTGCTCGTTTTCATTGTAGGACTGTTGCTTCTATTACGGCCATTAATATGTCTATTGCCTTGGCTAGTCCTGCCAGGTGATAAACATGTTAAAGGAAATAAAGGAGGCCATGACGACTTCGACGACTTTTGTAAGGACTTTGCATTTGTCATTGTAACAGAGTGATTGTCTAACAACATGCTTCTCGAAAAGATCATCCACGGCTCTCTGCCTGTGGTTGCTCGTTCTTTTATGAGGATGATCTCGGGTTGTATCCTTGGTACAGTGCCCGTCCGTCCATTGCTGATAGTGGATAAGTATGAAAGATGGCACTTCTGCTGAGGTTGTTGGCGATGTTGTTGCTTCAGTGCTTGTATGAATATAGCGTTAGTTGTGGTAGTTATTGCTGAAGAAGGCTGTTGCAGGCGGCAACGAAAGACACATTGCATCTCTCTTGAAGAATGTCAGTCAGAACCGAGAATAGAAAAAGAGAAAGAGGAAGGGAAAAGAGAGTTCCTCCGAATGAGAGAAGCTTCCGGCGGCAGTGAAAGAAAAAAAAGAAATGAGGGAAGAGGTAGAGGTAGAGGCATATTCGATATCTGTTGTCCTTAAGACATGTCAATTGTTCAGCGAAATCAGAACTCCGCTCAAGTGTTGTTCCTGTTTCAGTCTGTAAAAAAAGTCAGTCTCATACTCTTCTGTTGTTCAGACAGCCTAATAAACAGTCAAGCCACTTTTTTTTTTTTTTTTTTTTTTTTTTAACGAGTTGCAAGCAGTCAAACCAAGGGTGGGCAATTGGCATCGCATTCAATTCTTTTTTTTATTGTTCGCCTGCCTCATCCTGTTGTTTCATTCGTTTCCAAAATGGATACACCTCAAAAGGCACATCGCGCCAAATCCTCGGGCGCCAAGGTGAACAAGCACAAGAAGAATGCCGAAAAGAACAACCCAAAGGTAGCAATAATAAGGCAGTAATGTATTATGGTAAAAATGAAAATTCAACCTATAGTCCTGGCTCAGGTTAACCATGGCTCATTGTCCAAACCATATTGTTATGCATATGATAATTAGGCCTTTGGTTTTTTGTCAGGAAGGAAAGCAGAAAAGGCTGCTCGCCGCAATTTAGACAGGGATCAGACAAGGCTTCATGTGCCCCTTGTGGATCGTACACCCATGGAGGCGCCTCCTGTTGTGGTTGCGGTTGTTGGACCTCCTGGGGTAAGCGGAATAATTGGTTGGCTTTTGGATAATGTAATAGCAGAATTATTCATCTTTTGACTAACGATTTTTTTTTTTTTTTTTTTTTTTTTTTTTTGACAGACTGGAAAGACCACCTTGATTAAATCACTTGTTAAGAGATACACGAAGCACTCACTTACTGAAATCAAAGGACCCATCACCGTTATTAGTGGCAAAAAGCGTCGTCTCACTTTCATTGAATGCAATAACGATCTCAACAGCATGATTGATGTTGCCAAGGTCGCGGACTTGATTCTTTTGTTGATTGATGCATCCTTTGGTCTCGAGATGGAAACATTCGAGTTCCTCAACATTTTGCAAACTCATGGATTTCCCAAGATTATGGGTGTCCTTACACATTTGGATCGCTTCAAGAATAACAAGACACTCAAGACAACCAAAAAGAAGCTAAAGCATCGTTTTTGGACAGAGATTTATCAAGGCGCCAAATTATTTTATCTTTCAGGAGTGATTAACGGCCGTTACCCTAACCAAGAAATTTTGAATCTTTCCAGATTTATTTCTGTCATGAAGTTCCGACCTCTTATCTGGAGAAACACACATCCTTATATGATTGCAGACCGTGTTGAAGACTTGACTGACCCAGAGATGATTCGCCAGAATCCAACTTGCGACCGCACCGTCACTCTTTATGGATACTTGAGGGGGACTAACATGAAATCTGGTATGAGAATTCACATTCCAGGAGTTGGAGATCACTACATGGACGATGTAAGCATTTTAGCGGACCCATGTCCTTTACCCGACAAAGTCAGAAAGCGCTTGGATGAGAAACAAAAGCTAATCTATGCGCCAATGTCAGACGTTGGAGGAATCATGTATGATAAGGATGCTGTTTACATTAATGTTCCAGGATCGTTCACTAAAAAGAGTCAAATTGTCAAAAGCACTGTTGGTACTGGCAATGGTTCAGGAGATGAGCAGCAAGGAGAAGAAGATGAAGAGTCAGATTATGAAAGGGGTCAAGGAGAGCGAATGGTCATGAATCTACAGGATGCTCAGGGCACTCTTGCCAGCCAACTTGAAGAGAGCGAGCTTCGTATCTTTGCTGACTCTGCACCAATGCGTGCTGCAGATGTAGAGGAGGCTGAATATGAAGAGAGTGATAGTGGCGATGAAGAGACCTTCAATGGAAGGCAGAGTAAGTTGAGTGAACAAACAAGTGAACAAACAAAAGTTACTCTATATCAAAAGTTACTCTATATCAAAAGTGTATCATTACTAATATAAATTTCATTTCATATTACAGGACTACGTGAACAAAAGGAAACTGATAACGATGGGCGTATCCGCCGCCGTGCTATATTTGGGGATGAGGATGATGATATTGAAATGGAGGGTGACAATGATGATGAGGAGAACGACGATGACGATGATGACGACGACGACGATGAAGATGAAGAAATGGAAGATAATGAAGAAGAAGAAGAAGAAGAAGAAGAAGAAGAAGAAGAAGAAGGTTATGGATCAGCCAATAGCCGTCGGAAATATATGTCTAAATATGAAGCCAAACACAAAATGGGTAAGAAAAACGATTCGGACTCTGATGGCGAGGAGGACATTGCATTTGCAGAGAGCGATAGTGACCTTGGCGACCTTTCTGACGAATATGAAGAGGAAGACGATAGCACCTTACGGTGGAAGGATGATCTAATGACCAAGGCTGAAGTCATATATCATTCGAAACGTCGCCCCAATCTGATGCGTCTTATCTATGGTGAACGCAAATTTACTCCGGAGCAGATTGCACAAGGCGACATTGAGGAGGCACCTTTGAAATTAAAAAGTGATGAGGGTGATGAAGAATCCGACGAAGGCTTTGGTACTGGGCCAGGCACAGGCCCAGAGGATGAGAGCGATGACGACGACAACTTTTTAACACTCAAGAAGGAAGAATCGGACACAGCGCTTGCACAAATGATCGACTCATGCAAAGTAACTTTGAAGTTTACCGACTTGGAGGAGTGGGATAATGAGGAGATCAAAGAGTCTATTCGAAACCGATTCATCACTGGCTCTTTAGATGTCCCAGGAGCTGCGACAAACGGTGAAGGGGATAAAGATGAGGCTTTTGGTGATTTTGAGGATCTAGAGAGTGGTGAGAAGGTCGAAGGCATAGCAAGTGAGGAGTCAAGTAAAAAGCCCTTGAGTGAGAAGTCATATGACGAAATGACCCGTGATGAGATTGCGACCAAGAAGGAGGAGCTCAAAAAGAAATTTGAGGCCGAGTATGGTGATGAAGAAGAAGAGAAGAAGGATTTTTACGATGAGATCAAGGGTGACATGGCAAAGCAGCAACAAATCAATGAGGCTGAGTTTGAAGATGATGACCCTTTGACGCGAGCGATGGTTGAAGGCTTCCGCCCTGGCACTTATGTTCGTGTTCTTCTCAAGGATATGCCTTGTGAATTCATTCAGCACTTCCAGCCCGAATATCCTATCATCATGGGAGGCTTACTCCCCGCGGAAGAGAATTTTGGATTCATCCAGGTCCGTATCAAAAAACATCGTTGGCACAAAAAGATTCTCAAGACCAATGATCCTTTGATCTTTTCGCTCGGCTGGCGTCGTATCCAAACTATGCCCATTTACTCGCTCAATGATGGAACTCGTAATAGAATGCTCAAATACACTCCGGAGCACATGCATTGTCTCGCTACAATCTATGGTCCTATTCATCCTCCTAATACTGGCTTCTGTTGTGTACAGAGTGTCTCTGAAAACACGTCAGCGTTCAGGATTTCAGCCACAGGAGTGGTCCTTGATATTGATCATTCGGTTGAGATTGTCAAGAAACTTAAGTTGACAGGTCATCCATACAAAATCCATAAGAACACTGCATTCATCAAGGATATGTTTACTTCTGCCCTTGAGGTCGCCAAGTTCGAAGGAGCCAACATCCGCACAGTCTCTGGAATCCGTGGTCAGGTCAAGAAGGCCCTTCAGAAACCTGATGGCCACTTCCGTGCCACATTCGAGGACAAGATTTTGATGTCAGACATTGTGTTCCTGCGTGCGTGGTACCCTATCAAACCCAAGAAGTTTTGTAATCCTGTCACATCGTTGCTTCTTGCCAAAAAGAATCAGTGGCAAGGAATGCGGCTCACAGGTCAAGTCCGACATGCCATGTCATTGTCAGTCCCACAACTCCATGATTCTGTCTATAGACCTGTAGAGAGAATGACACGTCGGTTCAACACTCTCAAGGTCCCCAAGGCCATCCGTGCCAACCTTCCTTTCGCTTCTAAACCAAAGCTGTTAGCACCACAGAAACGACCAGGATTACTCCAGCGTCGTGCAGTGATGCTGGAACCTGAGGAGAAGAAGATTTACACATTGATGCAGCAGATTCATACGCTCAAGCGCGATAAGGATCGTAAGAGGGCCGAGAAGGAGAAGGAGAGAAAGATTGCTTACGATAAGAAGAAAGCCAAAGAGACTGCCAACTATGAAAATCGTATTAAACGCGAACGCAAAGAGGTATTCCGAACACAGGGCAAGGAACAAAAGCGTCAGGCGCTTAAAGAAGCAGGTGGACGGAGGCCGAAGAAGCACAAAGCCTCTGATGACTAACAAAACATAGAATCTTTCATCTATTCTCTATTTCAAGCAATTTCGTAAAATATATAAACGCGCATCTTTCAGCATAGTCATTACCAGAATTTTTTTTATGCATCATTTGTATGAGTATGCCTTTAATGAATATTGCAATCTAGTTGTTCTGGTAAGCTGATTTTTATGGGGTATTGATGCAGGCTTGCAAAAAAAATAAAATAAAAAAAAATAAAATAAAAAAAGGTTGTTGAATAGCGGTAGTGGGCTCGGAGATGAAATTAGGGGAAAATTATGATGCAGATAGTTATGAGAATAATAAAAAAATACGGCCAGAGAAAAACGTTTTAGAATTACAAATATCCAGGCCGTACTGATGGACTCTGAGCAGCTGAGGTATCAACATTGGTACTACTGCTGGTGTTGTTATTGTAGTAGTTGTTTCTTCCGTGACCAATAGTTCCTCCACGGCCATATTGATCGATGTGTTCAAAGTTGTCGTAGTACTGGCCATATCCATGGTTGCTGCTGCTGCCGTCATTAACACCCAAGCCCGCGTCGGATTGTGCAAAGTATTGAGCCAGCTCATCGTCTTGATTGTACTCGTACACATCTGGATCGGCTTCATCACGGGGGTTACGACTTGCTTGTACTTGCCGCGCTTGACGCTGTTGTGCTTGGCTGAAATGACGGATGAGCTCAGCGCTTCCAGGCGATTCAGGCCTTGGGATCTCGCCTGCGAATGGCCTTGAAGGGGTACTATGTTGCTCTTCGTAGGCAGTCGCAGCTGCAGCTGCGGCCGCAGCGTTAAGAGCAGCCTGCTCTGCATCGTAGATGCCCTTCTCCTGTTGCTGATCCATTGCTTGCTGTTGTTTCTCCTTCTCTTGCGCGATCTCAGCAGGCGTTTGATCAATACCGGCACGAGTTCCCCATCCGACCTCATGCAAAGTAAAGAGGGCATAGATCTTCATGATAGCGAAATAATAACCAAAAAGCAAGAAGGCTGGGACCCAGATGATATCTTGAGGCCGCTTGAATAAGTGAGGCAACAGCTTGATAATGCGAGTCATCATCAGCCAGACAATATACGAGATGGCAATATCCCAGATCGGCAAATGAAACTTGCCCTGGCAGGCCATCACAATGACAGAGATAGGGCCTGAGAGTAGAGTGATGGGGTTGAAAACCTTGTCGATCATTGTGAAGGCCACATAGGGGTGTCGGCTCCAAATGCGTCGCTCCATGAACATAGATCGGAAATCAGAACGCCAAGTATTTCGGGTCCATCTCAGCACTTGCTTCACAAATCTCCAGTTGTTCTTGAAGGTTGATAACAATTCGGCTTCCTTACAAACTTGAATATAAGTGTTCCAGCCATGATAGACCATCCAACGGGTTAAGAACTTGTCATCGCCCGAGTTAAGAGGATACTTGCCTAACCAGAAATCGTGTGTGAATTCATATTGAAATTGAGGATCCTGGAGGATACATGTCCTATATGCCGCTGTACGACCAGACAGACAACAAACACCGCCGTCGATATGAGTCGAAGCTGCAATTTCAATATTACGGATTGTGAGACGGAACCCAGCCAAGACTTCCCAGACGGTCTGATATCGTCCCACAGATTTTACAATCTGAGATGTACCCACACCTCCCATGTTGGGATCCTCGAAACAAGCCAGGATATATTCTAAACATTGAGGTCCCCAGATAGCATCGTCATCTGCAAAGACGATGATCTCACTGGTCGTATTCCTGATTCCTTCTACCATTTGCAATCGTTTATTGGCCTTGGGGACCGTCAGAACCCTGATCCTGGTAGGATCGACGGAATTGGCTAGCTCCTGAAGTGCGTCCTTCATTTTAGTTTCAGTAATGATGATGATCTCCTTGGGGTTATTGGCCAACCATGAATGTGCTGCTTCCTTGAACTCTTCTCCTGCATCGATCGTGGGGACAATGATGGTTACGTCGTATTCGGGTCTGTAAGTTGGATTTTGTTTGGGCATCATGGGTCGATAAAAGAACCAAGCCAATAGCTTGATTATGAACCAGAGATAGCGATAGAATCCAACTACACCCAGCGGTATAAAGACCGGGAATAGGTCTTTGGTCAAATACAACATTTTTCTTTTCTTTTCTTTCTTTCTTTCTCTCTTTTTTTTTTTTTTTTTTTTTTTTGGTGTGTAGGGTGACGAAAAAATAAATTAGGAAGAGCTGTCTTTCTATTTACTAATTAGAGAATACAGGAGGACAAAATGGGACGAGTTATAGTATTTGGTTGCTTTTGTTGTTGTCCGATGCCTAAATTATTTCGAGCAGGTGAGGGAATGGATGGACAGAAATGGATATTGTGCCTGGATGAGCAAGTGATTGGACTCTATTCAGCGAGACAGATAGTGATATCAAAGAGAAGGAACGTATGAGGGAATGTGGATGAGAGTGAGGGACGGAGAGTGAAGGAGTAAAAAGAAGAGGATGGTGGAGAATTGAGAGTGTAGGCAAAAGAAAGGAGAAAAGAGAGAGAGAAAAGGAAGAAAGAAAGGAAGAAAGAAAGATAGATAAGAGCAGTGTAGTGAAGGACAAAAAAGGATGGAGTGGGGGGAAAGGATGAGAAAGACGGAGGTGTGCCTAAAAAATATATAAATATATACCTGAGAATTAATTTAAAATTATAATTGAACAAAAATGTATTGAGTAATAAATATATAACAATAGAATAGAATTAAAAATAAAAAACGCGCTTTTTGTTTAAGCAACTGAAACAAATAAAAACGACTTTTGGGTGGAAAGTGTCAATGGTAAATAAACATAATGAAGGTTGACTGAGAATACACTATGGAAGGACACTTTTGATGATTTGGCGTGTTCGAAAACAAAAAAAAAAAAAACGATGGATAAAAAGAGATAGACTCTCAACGATGCACCAGGGAATGAAAATTTATAAAGAATAAGAAAGAGAAAGAGAAAGAGAGATATATAGCAAAGTAGGATGAAGAAGGAAGGCCAATTGTTTGAAGAGACATGTGTGGACATAAAGCTACAAAAAGCGATCTAGGAAGGTTGGGATGAGACAAGTAAAGACCATTCCTTTTTCTTTTTTTTTTTTTGGACAATTGAGTGTCTCCGCTGAGCTCACAAACTTTTTTAGTTCCCTCATCCGCATCTGCATAGAGTATATCTTTATCGCTAGTCCAAAGGTCAAAATACATTGCTCATTCACTCGCTGCTATTGAACCCCCATCATATTACTACAACTGAGTCTGATAATGGCAGTAAGAGGTGAAGTAGTGATCTCCAACCTCATAAAAATAGACATATCTCTTCCTTCTTTTAAATCCCTTTTTTTTTTTTTGTCTGTTGAAAGCTGCATGGATCGATGGCAACCGTACACTCCTACGATCCCCTGCTTCTCACTCCTCTCTCCCCGCTAAAAACAAAAGAGAAATAAAATAAAAAGTGGATGATCAATGCCTATTCTTATACCCATATAAAACCGACTCTTTTATTGAAAAGAAAAAGAAAAGGTTCCAATAAGCAATTCGCTTGTCCTTAATCCACGCGTGTCACGATATATCCAAATCATTGGACGCACCAACATGGAGTCTTTTTGTCCATTCCATTAACTCATGACAGGTTCTCGTGACCTTACTTTCAAGATCAGGCCACATGTCACGCAGGAAAACCAGATAACATCTGAATGTAACGAAGTAAAAGCATAATATATATATTCTAGGAAAGGGGCAATAAGGGCAGCCATGAGGAGAGGGAGAAAGGAGGAAGGCAGAAGAGGAGAGGAGGGAAAGTAATGAGAGCCTGGAATATCTGTGCGCTTCATGGCAGCTATTTTTTCCTTCAAGAGCCAGAAGGGTATCAATATGATTATATATAATTTCCTTGGGTCTATTTTTTAATATTACTCCTTCTGCCCATTTTCCACTAGCTCGCTCTCAGGCCTTTGCTTGTCCGGATCAATCTCTTTCCCTTAATCGTCATTCTATTATTTGTGGCCAGTTGTGGAAGTATGTGGAACTGATTAAGAGCCGTGGATAATAAAAACCACACATACACCCTCACACTTGCACGCAATACTCAAATATAACAAAAATACAGGAGGAGTGGGGGCGAGCGTATGGGTGCCATGTAAGATAGACTATGTATCCTTTTTTTTAATTTTAAAACGAAAAGGTACTAACTTTTAATCTCATTAAAAAATTTGTAGCCATGAATAATAAGTTTGGATCCTTCGCTCATTCTTCGTCCTATGAAAAGCAAGGAGCAATTTGTGCCGTTTTTTACAATCTTTGTTGGGTTGAAAACAAACTGGTGTTCAGTTCACGGAACCATATGGAAGTCCTAAAAACGTGCAAGACTGATAAGTCCGTGTTGCATCATAAAATTAGCAGAACAAAAATGCATTCGTGCACGCACACTTGTCCTCAAAGTAATTTTTTATGAGCCCTGCATGTTGCCTTTAGATTTTTTTTTTTCTTTTTTTTAAGACATGAAAGAATGATCACCCAACTCCCACCTCGTTGATTGTATACATGCATATCATGATGGCAAGCGTTAAAACGTCAGGTGTGCAGAAAAGCCAGCAGATGGGCCTCCGAATGTTCAAACAGAGCATGTGGACCATTTCCTTCTTTGATCCGCATCTTGGGACATATCAAATGATCGCGAGCATGGCAGACAAAAAGAAAGGGGAGCGTTAAAACTTAAAAGGTCATGCTTTGGATAGTCATAACCAAAATGGCTGCAGTTGAATGATCATTATCAGTCTTCACATCTTTTTGTCTAATATTAAAAAGCAATAAATTGCGGGCATTGAAAAAGGTATCTAAATCATGAACTGAAATAAACCAGGGGCCATCATTGGAAACCCCTAAAGAATATGAATATAAAAAAATGTAAGTTCTGAATTGATGCAAGGCCATTCATTTGACCTCAAGGAGATGCGGATTTTCTTTTTTTAGGATACGATCTGTCTCTCATATATATATATATATATGCTGTGTATGTCTTGAGCGAAGAGATATAAATATAAAAAGTTCATAGTTACTATCAACCTACTGTTGCCTACTACAAGACAAATCCAAAATAGCTGTCCTAGTAATCGGCAAGAATGGAATCAATTTGGCAAAGGCCATGAGATAGAAGGTACATAATAGAAAATTGATATTATATATATATATATATATATATATATACATTTATGTCAACCGTGAATAGCCCAATGGGGAATATGAATTGAATAAATTTATTTTCCGCTCTTATTAAATTGTCCATGAATTAGAATGTAACAAAAGCTGTTCCTGAATAAACAAAAAAGATCCAAAAGAACATATTAAATGAGGGCATGTACACATTTTACGGCAAATTGGGACGACTGAGTTATCTTCCCCCTGTGGGTGATGTGGCCATGCGGGCGATTGTTCTGTTGTTCTTATTGTTAATCTTGCTGTTCTTATTGTTAATCTTGCTGTTCTTAAATGGATATCCTCTTCTCTTCCTCTCCTTCTCTTTCATAATCACTCAACCTTTCTTCTTGACCTGGAATCCTCGCTTAGAAAACCCTCGACCCTCGACCCTCGGCCCTCAACCTTCTTACTCCTTCACTTGGCTTAGTTCTGCCCTACCAATTTAGATCAGTACACACTTTCAAGTGCACAACCGACTCTCTTACCGTCAAACATATTTCCACACCTCCCTACTCCTTTTCACAAACGCATAAACCTTCGTTCTCTCTGCCATATCATCCCACAGCACTATTCTTGATCGTTTTTCTCTTTATTCGCCCCTACTCCGTGTCTTTCCTTTTTCTTTTCACCCCTGCCTCAAGAAAAGGAGAAAACCACTCTTCTGTCTAACATTTACATCCAATTCAGCTGTAAGGATCTAAGGAACCTCCTATCAACTGGTTGACTCTCTCAGCTCACGTCTAATTGAAACGGACAATAAGGCTTATCACCATTTTCTGGAACCCTTATAAACTTTCGTCATCGCCGACACCATCTATTACAAAAAAGGAATATTCAGAACAAAATGTCATACAGTCCAGTCAATGTTGACAGCAGAGGTAATAGTCCTGTGCCATCTAGCTATCGATCAAATATGCAGCAACAACATCATGGCTATAATCAAAATAGGTAATGATAAAACATCGTGAACTCCCCCCCCCTTTTGTTTGTTGAAATTGGGAACTATTTATCGGCAGCGCTACAATAGGCAATTCGTAGCTTCCCACCCAAGTCAACAATTAAAATTGAAAGAGGCAAACGCACCCGTTGTGACCAGGATAATTGGAAAGACAAAGGGATGGAGCGAGAGGATGGGAGTGAAAGCGAAAGGATCTCCTAGTTACTCGCAGAGTGGTTCACACAAGCATGAATCCATTTGCATCATGCAGAGTATATTGCTTTCAGGAGCCAAATATGCCTGTTTTGACAACCATGATTGTATTTATAGCCGGAAATTCAGCAATATCCACGTTAGCAACAATAGTAAAAAAAAATAGTAGCTATAATAATGAGGCAACCAAGTAGAAATAGACTTCAGTGTTAACCTGTAATGGCCGAGAAGGGATGGAGGTCAAATCCGAATGAGGACAATACCAAAACTATAGTTGCCAGTTTACAGGAGACATACAAGAAAAGAAGGAGTGTGTCCTCTTTAATGGTTTTAATGATCACCACCTGAACTTAGCTTGGCACGATGTCTTGGCGACCGATATCCAATTCTGCACTGTGGATTATCAGAATCCTGATTGCTTAGTTGGCTGACCCTTTTTTTTTTTTTTTTTTTTTTTTTTTTTTTCTCCTCACTTGCATCTTTCTTATTTTTTCTCTTATTTCTCTATTGTCTCTTTACTTTACACTTTGAAAACGCAACGGCATCACTACATTATTCCGATAATTCTCATCTTTTATCTTCCATATCATTGTGCCGCTGCTTCGCCTTTATTTTCTTGACCTTCTTCTCATTCTTTCTCACCCGCCTTCTCTCTCTTTTTTTTTATTTTTTCAGCTCTAAGGACAGATCGCCTTTTCTACAGAATAAATCCTACGGAATTGCCGTGGATCAAGATCCGCTAGCGAGCCCACCTACTAGGAATCCCTTTGAAGAACCCGCTTCTTCTTTCATCAATCAAGATCAACTAAACCCGCAGCAGCGCCCATCGTCTCAGTACATGCATTTACAGCCACAGCCTTACGTGCCATACGACAAGGATCACAATCAACTATCAATCTCTTCCGGATATCAGCCTTCATCCCATTTTACCTCCACTATGAGGCCCCAACACGGACAGCACGGACATCATGGACAGCACGGAACAGGAACAGGAGCAGGAACGTCATCATCATCAGCATCATATGATGGTCGCCAAGATATGAATAGCTCGCATCGATCATCAGCCCATAATCTAGCCATGGCAGATCGTAATTACAACTTGACGCAGAACGACACCACCTTAGAGGGACTAGCAGAACGGTGGCAGGCATATCAGGCCTGGTGGGCAAAGCAATATAAGGAGCAACCATTCTATCGTCTTTGGACTCGTTCAAAATGGATCCTCTTCTTTTCTGCAGTGCTCCTTCTGGGTTACTCTGCAGCTGCATTCACATTCTCGCTTGGATATGTGCTTGGACGTACGTTTGCTTGAACTAGAGGCATTTTTTTCTCTTTCTTCTAATTTCGGATGCTGTACACAGTAATCGGGAACAGTAAATAGATCTAGTTGCTAACCATTTCACGTGTTTTATTTGGGATCTTTATTAGGTTTTGAGCACTCTGCAGTTGTCCTGGAATTTCATAAAAACATTGTCTACAGTAATTTTTTTTTTTTTTTGCTTCACTTCAAAGGAACAATTGATTTCTTAGCAATACGGATGCATTAGTAATATTCAACCATATCATGTCTTTTTTTTTTTTTTTTTTTTTTTTAGTCACATTGGCGGGATCGAGTTTTGGCATTCTCAGTGCGTTGATTGGATTCGTGGGTATTTTTAGAGAAAACAGGAGGCTGCTGTCATTGTATAATATCATGTTGTGGATTGTCTTCTCGCTCTACATCTCGGTCGGATACATAGCATTCAGACGCGCCAAGAACCACCTTCGTGCTCGTCTGAGGGACGAATGGTTGAACGCATACACACGCGAGCAGCGTCTGCTGGTCCAGCGCAGCGTAAGCACAACCGCTTTTTTTTTTTTTTTTTTTTTTTTCTGCTCTGTCCTTATTTGGCCTCGTCTTATTTCCTTTTTTATGGTGTTATGGTGTTGTACTTACATTTATGTCCCTACTATGTTAAAAAAAAATAGTTAAAGTGCTGTGGATATCAGAGTCCTACTTGGTATGGCGAATACGACATGCGCTGCTTTCCTATGATTAACTTGCCAGGATGCCAGCACAAGTACAGTGTGTATGAAGCCGACCTGTTGCACACCTGTTGGACTTTCAGCTTTATTTTGGCTCCTTTCCAGTTATTTGTTATGATTGCTACACTCTTGTGCTCCAACCATGTCGATGGCATGTTCCGCTCAGGACGACCTGGCTTGAAGAGCTTCAAGGAGCAATAAAAAACAAAACAACAACAAAAAGACCAGCACTCGATTATTCATCTTCTTATCTATCCAACTATTCCTTCATTTCATCATTTCCTCATTTTTTTATTTTAGTTGCTAATCTTGCATTATGATTAGAAACATAGTGAATTTTTCTTCTTTCCTTTACTTAGACATGTAACAATTTAAGCATTAGTAATAAAACACTCGCGCATAAGCGATGATGGCCATGTGAGGACATTAAAGAGTTGCTCTTTTACTTCATCCCGAAACATCGGCAAGCCCCGTTGTTTGTACTATTTATTTACGTATCGTGTCTAGGGGCCTACCGGATTAGGAGCATCGTTGTTGCCTCGCCCAGGCGGCAACAGGGACATCCTACCATCAGGATAGACAATGGCGTGAATGTCGACCGGGATTGGGATCACAGTGGGGTTCCTGCTTGAGGCTGGGGGGAAAAGTCCACTAGGTCTAGTGAACGTTGCTGGTGTTGGGTTATTGCTACCATCCATTCCTCCTGGTCTCCATGCTGCCTTTAGTTCACCTATTGGAATATCACGTTTGGCTAATTTCTCGCAGCTGCAGGTAGCAAGACTGTTATATGAACGCTTAGACTTTGTCTTAATGGTATCATGGTAACAAGCCTGTGAATAATCACCGCCTTGGCTGGCTGCAGCAACATTCGCATCAGCCTTCCATTCTGGTTGGATGAAGTACTTGCTTCGTCTGCTCTCCGAATCTTCACCATGCCCATGGCCATTATAGTCTTTTGGCCAATCAGTCTCAGATGCTTGGTTTGGAATACCGTACTTGCTCCAGTCACCATCAAAATCCTGGCCAAATACACTATTAAACTCAAATTTGGAACTACTGGGGGACGATGATAGCAAATGATAGGAGCCGGAAGGCCAAGGCGAGCCGAAATCAAAACCAATCCCAGTATTTGTAGCACCATTAGCGGCTCCAACACTACCTAACCCACTCAAAAATGTAGCAGTGGATAGTGGCCAAGATAGTCCGGAAGCTAAGGATGATGACTGTGGCTGTGGCTGTGGCTGTGGCTGTGGCTGTGGCCAAGGTGGCAGCCAGGGAGACGATGAGGGCATTTCTCCAGCGCCCGTACCAAACGCAGAAGCGAAATTGAAATTCGGGCCAAAGGCTCCAGAGCCTGATCCAGAGAACCCAGTGGCAGCGCGCTTCTTATGCCTGGGAGACGCCCTTCCAATTCCCCCTTCTGTATTGGGGCTGGTGCCAATGCTGGAGCTAGAAGGCGAACCTGCGATAGGACCAGAATGGGGTCGATAAGGAGTCCCAAGGGAGGGAAGATACATTCCAGATTGCGAAACAAAGTCTTGCTTAGAATCCATCTGTCGATCAGATACAGGGAAAAGAGGATAGTAGGTTTTACCATCGCTACATCGCAGAAGCCCTTTGGTAGCACCATCTTCGGAACAAGTGACACGGAAACGGCCTCCTTTGGTACTGGTGCCAGTGGTACCTTCGTTATCGCCATCATCCTTTGTAACTGCGGCTGTGACGCGCTCGTTTGGAACCGAGTGTTGTCGCTGCTGCTGGTCCTCGCCAGTGGATAGGTCTTGGTCTAATTGAACGCCACCAGTATGCTGCTGAAGCGGCCGAAATAGCTGGGGTTCTTGCTGCGGCTGCTGTTGCTGCCTGGGCTGAGTCAAAGGGCCAACGGTAGACCTTGAATGGATTGTGGTTAAGATAGGTGAGATAGTTCCGGCTCCAGACTCTTCATTTTCTAGAAGCTCAGTTAAGTGAGTAGATGGATGGCCTAGATTCGGATGTCGGGCTTCAATATCAACCATCTGAAAGGGCGAGGATACGCCAACCTCAGCAGAAGCAGCAGTAGCTGTACCGTCGCAGAAATCAGTGGGCCCTGACGCAAAAGGATATGGGATATCGAAGGCTCCGACTGTCGGTAAGGATGCACTCCTTCCGGTTAAAAGCTGTAGATCGGGTTCAGCATCAATTGTAGCACCAGTGCCAACCCCGGCACCAGCGGTGACAGTGGTTGGGATCGCTTGCACTAGATACGTGCTTTCGAAGAACAGAGCTGAAACAAGGAGGATTGAAAATGAGATGCTCAATAGATGACGCATCATGGAGGTATAGGATGAGGGCAAGAGTATCTCTGATGTGTAATGAATATTTTAAGTATCAGTGTGTGCACCTAGGACGATTGAGAAGATTGGCGTCAATAAACTATTTCATGGATAAGTGGGTACCGTCGTATTCAAGGGTGCTTCATTTTATACATGTTTGTTTGTTTTATTGTGATATGAAGCTATTAAAGAGATCACTAGAATAGAGCTGATCGACCTACAAATGTGTAGATAACTCTAAACGCATATTGTTCATTATTCGTTGGCACTACGCAAATGGTAGTTGATATTGCCCGTATACAAAAAGATGGCATGCTTTGTTTAATAAGATCATTGATGGTTGGCTGACAATTTTAATTGATTATTTGCCATCTCAGTCTAGTCATTGAGGCTTTGACCAATTCATAGAATCATTTTGGCTAGTCCGGTACGTGTTTCTTTCTACACAGAGTTTCAGTTAGACTATATTCATCTGCAGGCTGGGCCCTTAAAAACACTTATTTTAAAGTATATATATAGTCCGTTTCATTTGGTCGCGATCCCTTATATTTTTGAATACTCTCAAGTATATATATTGGCAGCCAATTAACTCGCTTGCTCCAAGTTCGTCAGGCAGTGAGACGTCGCTAAGACCAGTTCAATTATCGTTTTTAGATAAAAGATTATGGGATCGCGACCAAATGAAATGGGCGATATTAGGGGAGGCTGTCTTTCACCTGAATGCAGTATATTCACGAACCTTTTTTTTTTTTTTTTTTCCACAATTTCCGATATTTTCCATGTTAATTGAGCCGTTCCGGCTCCTGAATCATCCGACAAAAAGAAAATTGACAGTTTGACACGTGAATCAAGCAGCATGCTTATACCCCAGTTTCTTCCAAAATGGGACAACACCAACCACGGACACACAAAAAAAAAAAAGGCTGTTTAATTTGTTATAAACATTAAATCCAATCTCTTGTTTTGAAAAAAAAAAAATGCAAGCGCAGTCTTACGAAACGACAGAAGGTAAGACATGCAATTACAAATGTATTCCCATTCTCTTCTCTCCCCTTGTCCTCGCCCTTAAAAGCACGGAATCTGTAAAAAAAAAAAAAAAAAAAAAAAAAAAGGGTACATGTACCAACTGAAGTGTATAACCATGCATGTATGCTTTTTTTTGTGTACTCCAAGGTAAAATCAAAGAAGAATAGGACAGGGGAACGGTGTTCTAAAGAGACTATACATGTAGAAAAACAAGGACCCAGGACTTTTTTTTTGGCTCTTCTATCAGATGTAATTACACAATAGGTCTACCTCTGCAGTTCAATACAAAAAAAAAACAAAAAAAAAAAAAAAAAAAAATACGAACAAGGCATACAGAAACGTGTTTGAGGCGTAGGGCATTACTCTCTATATAGTTTGCTTGTCCTTTCTGTAAATGTACCCACTGGTTTGGCTGGTCTACGCCTTGCCTTGTTTTTTTTACCATCTTGTGGTTTTACAGCACGAAACAGATGGTATGGAATGGAAATGAGTTTGCTCCGTAGAACAAAGGTGGGTTGGATTGTGTTAAAAAATAAAGGCAACCGATTCCGTTTTATTCCATACTTTTCTTTTCGTCCATATATACATGTACATGCCTTCGCCCTTTCATCTTTCTGTGGTACTAGATTAGACTGACAGTGCATGAATCAAAAGTATATAAAATATTTATATTTTTATACATGTAAATCCAAACTCAGATGTCGTGATCGTGCGGTCAATAAATAGTTTATTTTTCTTCCCACGGGGGAATATTAAACCAAAGTACGTGTACAATAGGGTAAGCTAAGAACTGCAAATTCATAACATCAGAATGACAAAAAAGCTTGGACCATGACGCTATTTCCTTCATTCTTGCTTGTAGTAAATATAGTTGACTACATGTTGGGGTAGCCAAGGTGAAAGGAAGGGAGAGTGGAGTGGAGTGGAGTATCGTTTTAGACAGCCTACAATGTGTTTTGCTCTTTTTTTTTTTTTTTTTTTTTTTTTTTTTTTTTTTGGATGCTCCGTGGGTACAGAAAATAAAATTGCGATCACCATAAATTCCTGCACTCTAATTGGCCACCGCAACTCTATGACAGAGAGCCATCTCTTTTTTAAAAAAACATGTCATGATTATTCACAGCCAAACGAAACCATTGAACGCGTAGGTGCTTTATGAATTATAGGGAATTCTTTATTACAATTTTAATGGAATGCTACAAATGCTTGAATCAACATTTTTTTTTTTTACTTTTTTTAATGTGTATGATATCGCCAGTCGATCTTCAAAATATCTGGATGCAAAAAAAAGATACAAATGATGTTGGATGTGCAGAAAGAGTAGGGAGTGGATTGTCTGAATAACTATTCAAGACAAAAAAAATGGACTTCAAGTTATATGGGAGCTCGGGCTTAGCCGGTTCAATGCAAGAGTAAATGAGGAAAAAAGAAAGGGGAGCTATGAATAGAATAAGGAAAATGGCAGAGCTAGGCTGGCTTTATCATGGATTTTTTTTCTTGTACAGTTTTTTTTCTGATCGGTAGCAAAGTTTAAACGCTTAAAGTAACCGAACCATTTGGCGGCCATCCTTGGTTATCAGAGAGTCAGCGTTGTAAAGCTTCTCGTATTCGGCATAGGCTCCCTCGATAAAAGGATGGTCCTTCAGATGGATGTCTCTGGCCCGAGTGACAACAGGGACTGCAGACTCGAACTTGGTTTGGTGAGGGAAGAAGAATTGTTGAGACTGACGACGGGAGCGAGCGGCAGCAGCAGCGACATCGACTTCATCGGCTTCAGAACCAAACGAATCAAAGCTGCCAGCAGAGGAAACGGAGGTCGACAGCATAGGAGGAGTCGTGGGGGCATCGCCGGTATCGACAGTCTTTGCAGGGATGTTGATTGCCAAGGGAAAAGCTGCTGGCTCGGTCTTGCTGTTGTTAGAGAAGGCACCAGAGGCAACCAAGGCAGGAGCAGTAGTGATAGCAGGAGTCATTGTGAAAGAAAAGTTGGTATGTGTATTGAAGGGAAAAAGCTTGATGGAGGGAAAGCTGTAAAAAGGGATGTGAAATATTTTTTTTTTGGAAAAGAGAAGAGAACACGGTTTGTGAAAAAAGAGGAAGGGGACCCTTTTATATTTCGGTTGCTGCGCGGGTTCATTGCACAAAAGGGATATAAAAGGCGAAATGCGGGGGAAACTGCTTAAACAATATCCAGTCACTCTCTGACTTGCAAGAATGTATATATATATACTATTGCATGTGGTCTTCCCTCCCGTCTGATGCGTTTCTATAAAATGCACAAACATTGTCCAGCTTTTTTGTTCTATTCTTTGCAGGGCCTCGTCTTTTTTTATTTTACTCCTTACTAAATTGTATTAAATACAGGACTGTATATGTATATGCCCACATCATTCGAACCAATCATTGTTCAGAAAATACGATCGAGGGAATCCAAAGCAAAAAATTCGTATTATATTCTTCGGGTTGCCTCAACTATACATTGGCATCCCTTCCACACTGATTAACGAGCTGGGATAGAGAGCGATAGGAATACATGTCCACATATAACAATGAGGTGGGTTCAACAAAGTGGCCACATGCCCTTCATGTTTCGTCTCGGGTGAGTGTCTAAAAGAGGTTCATGATGTTTCACTTGGTGAAAGTGGGCCATTTGCAAGATTTCAGAACAGACTGATAAGAAGTAACGAGGTCAATTAATAAAGATAACAAATAGCTCCCTCTTTCTTTCGGGACAAGTTGGACTTACAAGCCCATTGTTGTGATAGTTGAACTTGTAAAAACGAGCTTGATTATCAATCGATCAAAAAACCTTTTTTTTTTTTTTTTGCTTCACGCATCATCCTGTAGAGTCGTCATCATCATGATAATACAAACAATGTGATAGATCTCTTTCTAAACCCTTTTTTTTTTTAACCAGTTAGCCGAGTCGCGAGCGATATGAGTAGTATAAAACTATTGTCATCTGATCATCTCGGATCTGTCCACTTTTTGTGTCGTGTAGACGAAGGGCTTAGGAAAAAAAAAGGGCGATTTGTTCGGCGTATGTCATGTACCACAATGGGAAGAAAATCAATAAACGCAAGATCTCAGATTAGAAGAAAGAGAAGCAAATACACAAAATCTATGTATAATTGAGGTCAATAATAGACATCATTTCTAATCACCTCATTGATTTGTTGCCCTGTGTTGCAAGATTCGAGCGCGAAGACCCCCCCTTTTTTGATCGATTTGTTCGTTGGGAAGGAGAATGAATGACCACAAGCCTTCATCCCTACGCACCTCTCTTGAAGTAATGGTGTGTTTGTTTGCATGAACCTATAGTTACATTTATAATATGTGGGATAGAACATGTGTCAAAGTAATATCTATTCTAAACATGGTTTCGAATGCATAATGAATTAGGGTGAGAAACCAACTTTTCGAATTGTGTATAATTTGAACCATTTGCATGTGTATTCAGGAAAATATACCTTTCTTCATCCACCCTTCACAGTTTGTCTCCGTTGTTGATGGTTGGTGTCTTTTCTTTTAACGAAGATAGATGATTTTACTCAGTATCTGTCATAGCTAGGCGCATTTAGAGCCTCTTCTCTGCATCTGCACCGCTCAGCCCTCTATGAAGTGCTGTAAATTACAGAGCGTAGAAAAAGGCCATTATTCATTCAACCTACACATCCATCAAGCAATTGGTAAGCAAAAAAAAAAAAAAAAAAAACTCAAAGAGTACGATGGTTTCGGACTGAGGTTTGAGTTATCAATGGATATTTCGAACTATTCATGACTTATACACATGTAGCAGAGTCCTTTATCCAGGCATTTAAAGATATTTAAGCAAGATAGACCCGAATCGCATCAAACTATACATCCTGTTTTTATCAGTCGATTTTATAATGCCATGCTCCTATGATACTACTTTCGGACCTTGACAAGGCCCTGCCGATAGATATGCTGTTACCCGAGTATAAGAGCAAGTGTTAAAACCGAACTATCTTACTCGTTCAAACGATCCTTAGTTAGGTTCCTATCGGTAAATGAGGCAACATGGCTTCTCATCGGCTTGGATAATCTTAAGCACTCCAAGAGCGGTAAAATCCTAAGAGGTAGTCATCAATAAATTTGCTTTATCTGGTTCACATAGTCAGTGGATGTTTCCCAAGCAAGTCTGTTTATAACAAGTCTGTTTCTACCTGACTTTGAAAAAGGGAGTTTGATGCCAGTCAATTTGGTTAGGAGTATATAGTGAGTCAATATTAGGAAGGCGGCACTTGAGGATCCTGCGAGTTTTAACATCAAAATAAATTCTACAAAGGAGTGAAAACAAATAATTAAAGCCACTCTTCTGTTCAAACAACTTCCAAATCAATTGGAGACTTCTACAGCCAAATAGTGCAACATCATTCAACAATCATTTCCTTTCAGGCAGTCATTGCTTGATCAATTCACCAATGTTCAGGATTTCAAAGAGACTATTGATAGTTAGTCACAACACTATCACAGTGTCAGGGCCCTGCAGAAATACATTCTCGACACTTGTCAACAGGAAGGCTTGTAGTGTCAGGCCTTTGCAGCGCACAGTCTTCGCATCAAGTACATACGCACCCTATACTATTTCTGGACAATACCGATCTGTTACTTTAGCGGCTTCTCAGGCTCTCCTTCCTGTTCCTGAGACTTCGTACGATGTAATTGTTGTTGGAGGCGGACATGCCGGATCTGAGGCTTGTGCTGCAGCTGCTAGGACTGGTGCAAAGACATTGTTACTTACACAGAAGCTAGATACGATCGGTATGTTTTTTTCCTCTTCCATTAATATGTATTGTGATTGTCTCTGCATTTCTTGTGATTCTGTTGTTTCTGATAAATTAAGTTGATCATTCCAATAGGTGAAATGTCGTGTAACCCATCATTTGGTGGCGTGGGTAAGGGCGTTCTTGTGCGAGAGATTGATGCTCTGGATGGACTCTGCGGTAGGATCTCCGACTTGGCAGGCGTACAATTCAGAATCTTAAATAGATCAAAGGGACCAGCTGTACATGGACCACGTGCACAGATTGACCGTAAATTATACAAGAAGCACATGCAAAAGACCTTGTACGAATATCCAAATTTGACTATCAAGGCTGGATCGGTATCAGATATTGTGCTTGGAGCAGAGATCTTGCCTCCCACGCCTGGGCAGAATAACGTTCAAGGAGAAATCAAAGGCATTAAGCTTGGTAAGGAATGGTTCAGTACACTAATACTTCGCTTTGGCTGATAGTATTTGATCCAATAAAACAACATTTTAACCTCCCATCACGCTTTTTATTTTTTCGAAATAATAGAGTCTGGCGAGGTGATCTATGCACCTAAGATAGTAATTACTACAGGAACATTTTTAAGAGGAGAAATTCATATTGGATTAGAGACATATCCTGCTGGCCGTATCAATGAAGAGGCTTCTATTGGACTATCTGACTCTCTTGCTCAGGCTGGTTTTGTGCTCTCGCGACTTAAAACTGGAACACCTCCTAGATTGGATGGCAAGACAATTAACTACACTGGGCTGACGCCTCAACATGGAGATGTGCAGCCTACGCCTTTCTCGTATCTCAATACAGAGGTCGCCAACGCTCACAACCAACTGATATGTTATCAAACCAGCACAAACCCAAAAACACATGAGATCATCCGCAACAACCTTCATAAATCGATTCACATCCGCGAGACTGTTAAGGGACCTCGCTACTGCCCCTCGATTGAGTCCAAGATCATGAGATTCGCAACAAAGGAAGCTCATACAATCTGGCTGGAGCCTGAAGGTTATGATACAGATGTTGTTTATCCCAATGGTATTTCGATGACCCTTCCAGAGAAAGAGCAGATTGATATGTTGAGAACAATCAAAGGACTCGAGAACGTGACGGTGTTGCGTTGTGGATACGGAGTTGAATATGATTACGTAGATCCCCGTGAGCTTCAGCGCACCCTGGAAACTCGCCGCATTCGTGGACTATACTTGGCGGGACAAATCAACGGAACGACGGGATATGAAGAGGCAGCAGCCCAGGGTATTTTAGCAGGCATCAATGCTGGTTTAGCATCACAATCGAAAGCGCCATTGATTCTCACGCGTGCGGACGCTTATATCGGAGTTCTGGTAGATGATTTGATAACAAAAGGAGTGGAAGAGCCCTACAGAGTATTCACATCACGATCAGAGTACCGTTTGACTTTGCGTGCAGACAATGCGGACTTGAGATTGACACGCAAGGGTTATGAGGCTGGGTGCGTTACAGAATATCGCTGGAAAGTATATCAGCAGATGGAGGATGAGATGAGTAAGGGAATGGAGCTTATGAGTGAATTCAAGCTGTCTCCTGCCAAATGGGCAGAATATGGGTTCGGCAAGAGTGATGATGGCATCAAGCGAAGGTAAGCAGACATGTCGGGGCCTGCATAATGATGTCATGCGAAAGCTCTGGACTGTAGCTCCTCTCTTACACCAACAAATGATTTTAAAACGATTCTACAATTCCATATAAATGGCATGCATAGTGCGATCGAGATACTGGGATTCCCCAACGTCAAAATGCAGGACTTTTATGAAGCGATTCCTGAGCTCAAGGGAATTAATCCGGCGGTACAAAACAAGATTGCAGTTGAAGGAGCATATTCGGTCTACCTGCGTCGTCAAGGTGCAGAAGTCATGGCCTTTATGCGTGATGAATCAATGGAGATTCCTATAAATCTCGATTATTCTCTGTAAGTTTTTGTGAATATACTTGAGGTCCAAACCATTACATTCTATGTTCAATTTAAGATACTGATAGTTTTTAATAACATGTTGTCTGTAGCATCCCTAATCTGTCAAATGAGAATCGCTCTAAGCTTGAGCGCATCCGTCCTGCTACCTTGGTATGTGCGTTAACGGGCTTGATTTGACAATTATAAAATTATATAGTCAGTCATTCTCATAACATTCTCTTCGCTTTTTTTGTTCTGGTATGTTCGGTAGGGTGCTGCAAAACGCATTGAAGGCATGACACCTACCAGTATCCTAGAGTTGCTAAAGTGGGTACAGCGGACGAAACGGCCTGCGACCACAATCACTGGAGAAGCCATCCGTACAGGTAGCAGGAAGGATCGTCTGCGTCAGAAAATGCTGGCGAAAGAGTTTTAAGGATTTACTTATTGTCCAAAAGGCGTCGTTTTTGCGCTGTATTATACACTCTCCATTTACAGCCGTATACATCTGACTACTTTCTGTATCAATTGCGATTCTCAACATGTACACTATATTTACCACATCCATTATATACATTATATACATCATTTTTTAATTCAGTAAATCAAATCATGGTCCATGGTGGCCATCACTATGGAATCTGCACTTTTAGATGTTGAATGAATTCAAAAAAAAGAAGAAAGCAAAGATGAAATTGTATCCTTTATAAAAATATCTATTAGGGTGTGATATTCAAAAGCAAAAAAAAGAGAGGAGGATCAACATGGGTGTATCTATACTCCTGTAGAACAAAAAGACGGGGAGTTGAGGAACCAAAAGACCGAGTGTGTGATTGTGTGTGACATGAGAGGAGAAGGAGGATGATGAGAAGAGCGCGGGCGAGGTTTGTTGAACTGCAAAACGAATCAAATGAAAATGAGCCAAATTTATCCATCATATCCCGAACTGACTGGAGTGGAGTAAAAACAATTGCGCGAGTCAGAGCGTGGAAAAAAAGATTTTTTTGAATTCTGACTCGGTGGAATGAAATCAGTCTCCTTTGTTAATTCCTTGCCCCATCCTCTTCCTTTCTGTTTATTCACTTCTGCATCCTTTCTCGTACTCATCCGCATTACACTAGCCGTCATTAAGAATACACATACACGCTATGTCAAATTTCAATATTGCTTCCAAGGCTCTGTTTGCTTATTCTGTCGCAAGCAGTAGCGTACGTCCACTAGTCAGGAGTTCTGCCGCAATGGTAAAATAATAAGTAACAGCAAATAACCAATGATATTCTTCATGAGGACCAATATGGCAACAATAGGAAGGCAAACAGATTGAATCGTTACACTCTACCGACTCTACACCACTACGTATCTTTATACAACAATATTTTTTATATTTGTGTGTAGAGTTTTTAAGCAAAACAGCAATTAAAAAAAGACGTCCGCTCATGGTCATTTTCTTTGCTTATCTCCTCGCTTTAGACGATCCGCACTTATAATGCCACAGTCGTCAAAGATAAGCCTACTGCCACATCATCAGATCTGGTCAAGAAATCAAAATTTACAGACAAATTTGCCAACGGACCCAGCTTTGAAGACTTTGTGGGAGGAGGGAACCAGAAGCTATCTGTGGAAGAGGCGCTGGAGCTTAAAGAGACTGTTGTAAATCAAGCACAAGCAGTATCATCAGGAAAACCAGCAAAGCGTTCATTGTAAGTAGTTTCAATGAGCGCAAAAAAAAAGGCCACACAGATCGGAAATGAGCATTTTCTTGTTAGTGGCTTTTTTTTTTTTTTTCTTTTTTTTCTTTTTTTCCTGGCTCTGTCGTAAGGGAAACGCAATGGCACTAATGCACTAGTTGGGTCGCATTTCTTTCCCTCCTGGATAGAAAGCAGCGTTTGCCTGAATGGCTCAAGACACCTATTCCTGCAGGAAAGAACTACACACAGATCAAGAAGAACCTTAGAGAGCTTAATCTTCACACAGTTTGTGAGGAGGCCAAATGCCCCAACATCTCGGACTGCTGGGGCGGAGGAGAGCATCAAACTGCTACCGCCACCATTATGGTACTTATGCGACATTTTTTTAAACCATTTTTTGATTTCCCTATTGTTTTCAAGGATTCCAACTCATCTTGGCTATTACACCGGTTTGCCTTTTTTAATTCTAGCTCATGGGAGATGAATGCACTCGTGGATGCCGTTTCTGTTCCGTCAAAACGAGTAAGACGCCCAAACCTTTGGATATCCATGAGCCGGAAAACACAGCTGAGGCCATTTCAAGGTGGGGCCTGGATTACGTTGTCTTGACCTCAGTTGACCGTGATGGTAAGTGTTGCAAGGAAAGAAAGCGCTCAAGATGACAGAACTACAGGAACTGTTCCGTCTTGCTGACTCTGAATTCATTTACCTTTTTTTGGATAGATCTTGCGGATGGTGGCTCAGCTCATTTCGCAGAGACTATTATGAAACTGAAGCAAAAGTACGTATTAGTTGAAAATATCCGGAAATATCAGCTAAAAAAAAAAAAAAAAAAAAAAAAAAAAAAAGTTGTGATAGCAGCTCTGATATATCTTGTATAACCCCATTCTCCCCTATTATTCACAGGGCTCCCCATATCTTGGTCGAGTGCTTGACTGGTGATTTCCAAGGAGACATGGAGTGCGTTGCCCGTGTTGCAACCTCTGGACTAGATGTATACGCTCACAACATCGAGACTGTCGAAGCCCTCTCTTCATATGTCCGCGATCCCCGTGCAAAATTCAGACAGTCGATTGCTGTTCTCGCCCATGCAAAGAAAGTTAAACCTACATTGCTGACTAAGACCAGTATGATGTTGGGATGCGGCGAGACTGAGGCAGAAGTTATCCACGCTATGGATGGTATGTACAATGTTATCTTTTTTTTTTTTTTTTTTTTTTTTTTTTAATGCAATCAGCACATATGGGTCCTGAAGATCTTTTATTAACACTACTCCTCATTTCTTTCATTATGTGGAAATCCGCATACATAGAACTGCGCAAGGCGGATGTAGACGTGTTGACTTTAGGCCAGTATATGCGACCCACAAAGAAGCATATGCGCGTGCATGAGTATGTTAAACCTGAGACGTTTGAAAAGTACCAGAAACTGGGTGAAGAGCGTGGATTCAAATATGTCGCCTCAGGACCATTGGTGCGATCCTCGTACAAGGCAGGAGAGTTTTACATCAGCAATATTTTAAAGAAAGAGAGAGAGTTGGGAGCCCCTGTGGTGGGGAATGATGCCGTTGTTAGGCTTTCCGATGCGGGTCTTCGTGTTTGAAGCAATTTAGTTTAACAAAAACGAAAACAAAGATGCCCAGTTACTCTCACTTAGTTACTCTTAGTCTTCATATTTGCATTGTATACTTTTCTAGATTAGTATTTTCTTTAAGCACTCTTCCTTGTTCATGCTGCACCATTTTATTATTTTTATTCGCCATCACTGTAAACCATACCAATAAATAAATTGCTTTAATAATGAACGTTTTTTTTTTTTAATCTTTATTATGTTCATCTCCATCTCTGTGCCTCCATTTCTTTGTATCTTTTATTTATTTATTTTTTTCAGATTAAAGAGGAGCCAAGATTGACAAAGCAGCTACGAGTCTAAAGCTGAACAATTTCTTTTGCGTGGTGCTGCTATCTTGGGTATTCTTGCTGTTGGTATCATTGTTCAAACGAGGCATTGACTGTGCTTCATTACTGGCTGTAGTCTAAGAGGCGGAAGCAACACTCTTTTGCTATGGTTGTATCCAGCGGCACCAAAGGATGTTGTCCTTCTTATAAGGAATCTTGTCATTTGTGCAATCATCAAGACGGACCATGTCATAGCCGTGGGCCTGGATAACATTGACGACTTTTGGTAAACCAGCAAAAACGCCTGTGCTATAGGTACCCGTCTGTTTTAAGAACATGGTATTGGAGGCCTCTGCAATTTGACCCGGAGTGGCTGCAGTGTTGTACTTGTAGTCGTATTCATCCATGTTGAACCCCACTAAAGAGTAACCCATGAATTTGACCAGGCTGAGTAATTGAGTATCTTTGAGATTGGATTCATGTACTTTGGGTAGGCTCCGATGAGACCTTGGATCGTTCTTGATAGACGATAGGTCATGTCGATCAAGTGACCATCCATATAGGCACAGTGATAGACATCGGTTTACTACATATATTGCAACTAAGTTGCGTTTGCAAAGAAAGTGACCTTCCCTTGCCCTTCATGAGGGGTTTCCAGCATTGTCATTGTTGCTTCTGGGACTCCCTGTCTATTTCTATTTAAAAAAAAAAAAAAAAAAAAAAAAAGTTTTAGTTAAATCTCCATTATCCTTGCTATAATTATTTTTTTTTTTTTTTTTTTTTTACACTCGAATGTTAGAGCAACTTAGTCTGGTGTGTGGGAAGAAGTCGGAAGTCGCCAAAAGTAATAGTCCAGGGCTGGTGGAAGGCGCTGCTCTAGTACTTGAGCTACCATTATTACTAGCAGCAGCGGCAGGAACCTGTGTCAAAGCCATCAATGGCATGGCTACAATACATTTAACTGGTGTTAACATATTTTATTTATTTTAAAATAAAAATTACATCAAAGACAAAATTGAGATCAGGGCAGAATTAAATGATCTACAAGAATCTATTAGTGACAAGAAGGAATAGGGAATCCCAAGGAGGTAAACATCGGGTAGTATACCTTCAAATCAAGAGCAGTGGCAATGAGAAATACATCATGCCTATCGGGCCGGCTGTCATCTTATATCATCAATTCTCAGTACTTAGTACCGTAGTTAGCAACACTTATTACACTTGATCTTAGCCAAAAAGCTAGAGCGGGTAGTTAGCAACACTTATTAAAGATCTCTCTTTATTTTGCGTTGCTACGCTTCGTCATTAAGGTTAATCCAATTCACGTCCTAATTATCATTTATTCGAAATCATTTACGTAATGTTTGTAAGCTATAGTTACTGGAATCAGTCAGTAACGAATATGGGTACAAACCTGTAAAAACTTTGAAACATATGCCCAAGTGAAGAAGAGAAAAAGAAGAAAAATAATAATAGCAGCGATAATACAAAGAAATGAATAATACAACTAGAAATACATAAATATATATGGTAAGCAACCAACTATTTTGGAAAGATCACATCACTCTGGACAAACTTCTGTAATAGAGGAGGATCAGGCATGTCTGTGCTGTGGGGTTCTGTCTTGTTGAGCTGGTCTTGAAATTCTATTAACAGTGACTACATATTTGACATGTTTAAGAAATAAGAATAAAATGAAGACATTCTAAGACATAGATATAAAGTATCGTACCTTGACATGACCTGTTCCAGACACATCAGTTATTGACCTTGGCAGAAAGCTTTCTGCTGCTGTGTGGAGGACATACAGGCCATCATCCGGATTCATGGTCATCACAAACATATTGAGTTGGAATCCAAATACCTGGATGCATATCACCATTGGTTTGAGAACTCCCTTTGATATCTGGGAGTTTATCTCATCCTTTGCCATCCTAGTGAGTTTCCAGAAATCATGGATTCTTATGCACTCCCGACGATCCTTCTCAGGGGGCTTGACTTCACCCAAAATACCTACTACCTCTGAGTTAAAAATATTTGAGAGGGCTCAACATGGTGCCTCAACGAAGAAATCTGGTCGAACGCCCTTTTCCTGTCCTGACTTAGAAGCGTTTCCAGAATCGTGTTCAATATTATAAAATGTGAGAAAGCTGCTTCTTTGTCCAAACACAACATCTAGAAAACATTGTAGACGAGTCAAGATGAAGCCCATTTCTCCATGCTCGTTATGGGCCTGAAAACTGGTTGGAAGTATCTCCATGCTATTTATAAATTTAGAGGGGCGGTATTAAGACATAGGCAAGTCAATGTACCAAGTAATCTGTTTTCAACTTGACTTACAGTCGCTGCCAGATCCTCACTACCCGTTTCATTTCGATACTGCCTCCGTACAGCGCCTATATACTGTCCATCAATTGCTCCTCCGATTGCAGACTCTGTAATATTGCTTGTACCTTGAGAGTGAGGAGCTGCAGGTCGTCATGAGGGGTAGGGGAGTACACAGATCGCAAAGAGCCAAGATACGACATATGTTCCTGGCTGGATAGGCCCAATGACGCTTGATCAGCTCACCATATCCCGTTCAATGACCTAGTTCATGTCAAAGATAAATAACAATAATAGTAATGATAGTGATGATAATGATAATGATAATAGTAGACTTACAAAGCCTCAGGAAGCAGCGAAGAAATATCACGACCAGGCAGCACAAGCTTTGCAGCATTTATCTGGAATTTTTTAAATCTTTGTCGCAAACTAGAAGTCGAATCTGATGAAGTGGATAATTCTTAATGTGCCACTGCATGTATAACAAAAGCTTGCTTTTTTCGCTTGCTTGGTGTCGCTGACCGCTTCCGTTTCTCTCTTTGTACTTCGCTTACCAGGATGGTGTTAGTATCGGTGGTGGTAGTAGTCTCAGAGGTATTATTGGAGGTAGTGCCAGAGATGCTTCTCAAAGCCTCAATATCACTAGAGTATGGCGAACCTGAGCTAGAAGGACTTGGCTGGACATTGGCACCACCACCATCCTCGCCATTCTCGCCATTTTGAGGACCAGCAGGCGTTGGCATGCTGCCTTCCCCTATGGTAATTGCAGGGGATCCTAGAGTAATAGTCAGCAAAATATGGTCACCCATGACATCTAAAATAAATAATTCATTGTACCATACTATCGGCAGCTTCATTTGACCAACTTGCCACCATTTTTTTTGTTAGTAAAGGGGCGCTCTCTGCGTAGTCTGTCCATTGAGGGGAATCACTGTCCTTGAATTTCTTCATAAATTTGTTCCACTCTACAGCAACCTCAGCAGGCTGTATGATCGCACGGCTCGCCCTAAAGAGCACAAAGCCTTTTGGGTCTGCATCCTCAGCTTCCCTAGATAGAAAGTAGCCTGATCCCCTTGCCCATTTTGTAAGGACTTTAGAAAGGGGAACGTTAGTGGACATCCTGTACTTGCCTAGAGATATAATAAACTAAGATAAAAATGCAATGGTTAGCAAAAGCATTCGATGCTACATGGAGTAGAATGAGCACCCGCTAGCAAGGACAACACAGCGCTATTGTGCGGTAGAGCCATGTCGGTCACCGGCTAGTATATAGGTATTTCAGGCCACACTGTACCTCACACAACGAGCCATATGATACAGCATGCTTCCTCCCAAAAAACCTATATATAACAGCCTTTACTCATCCCAGAAAGAACAAGCACCCTGCCAGAAGGGCAACACAGCGCTATTGTGTGGTAGGACCGTGTTGGTCACCGGCTAATATACAGGTATTTCAGGCCACACTGTACCTCACACAACGAGACGAATGATACAGCATGTTATTCTAGAAAAGGCCCGTATACAACAGCCTATACTCATAAGACAACATATTTGCTTCCATTACCTTTTATGAAGCTGAAAATAGAATGAGTGTTAGAAGTAGATAACAAGAAACAAAGAAGTTGGAACTAAGGAAGAAGAATAAATGAGAGGATTGATGTGCGTAAACGAAAGGGTAGATGTAATTAATAATGCAAAGAGGAATGATTCAATGATTGGGAGTGGACGCGTTATTTTATATTTATTTACGTTAGCAGTCGAATTTTCCTCGCTTACGTAATTAAATTAAAAAAGACGCGCCAAAGCCAACATAATGGCCATACTCGCGTTCCATAAACCGTAGCATGTATTCGTCTACGTGTCCTATCTCAATAACCTCTCCTTCCTCCTCTCCCTCTCCATCAGGCTGTGTTGATGCGCCAGTTAGGAATTGAACCTTGGCCACACTTGTCTCTTTAAATATTGATTTTTCCTCAATATTCTTAGCACTAGATGCTTTAAACTCCTTAGGGTTGCTGACAGTATTAGGAGTGGCTCCGGCTTCTGAAAAGTCTCCTTGATCAACACCTTCCATCTCATGTTTAGCCTGTTGCATAGCCAATACATCGTTCTCATCCTCGGCAGCGGCCAGTGCCTGTTCAAGATCTGCTCCATGTACCGTCGAAAGATCGCGAGGTTCACCATTTGCTTGTATCGGACCCAGGTCGCCAATTTTAGCAAGGTCTTCTTCGCCCAACATATCACGCCAGTCCATTTTTTGGAAATAATCTGTTGTGAACCCTCCTTCTTGGATCACAACATTATCGAGCATACGCTTTTGGTTTGCCTTCTTTAACATATTTTCCTCAATCGTAAACTCGCTGACAAACCGATAAATATGAACATCTCTTGTCTGTCCAATACGATGGCATCTATTCATGTCAATAAAACCATGTAGTTTTAATAGTCGTAAGCTTCAATACGAATTTGGTGGAGTAAAAGGTTATTCTTTTCCTAAAAGAACATTGCTTCATACCTGTCTTGACATTGACGATCCATCGATGGGTTCCAGTCAGAATCATAAAAGATGACAGTGTCAGCACCTGTAAGGTTGATGCCTACTCCGCCCGATCGTGTAGACAAAATGAATACTAAAATTTTTGGATCAGAGTTGAATCGATCGGTCAAATGCTGTCGATTCTCCACCTTTGTTGCTCCATCCAATCGTAGGTACCGATGTCCATGAATGTTCAGAAAAATTTCCAGAATGTCTAGGACTTTAGTCATCTGTGTGAAGATCAATGCACGATGCCCTCCGGATTTCAATTCCCGAAGAAGACTGTCCAACTTTTGAAGCTTGCCACAATCGAATTGAAGTAATCGCTTGTCAGGGAACTGAACTTGAAGGCATGATGCCACTGGGTGGAAAAGTTGGATTGCCTGTTGACAGATAGTCTCTAGAATGGTCGGCTGAGGATTTACATGGATTGGTGCCCAAGAATAATCCCGTACTATGACCGCCGGTGTGACGAATGCAAAGCGTTTAATCGTTTCTTCATTTTGGTGGAATCGGGCTTCGCTCGTAAGAACTGCCTGAGCAATAGCATTCGTATAATCAAGATATTGGCGCGGATCCGAGACTTGCTGTAAAATGTTGAAGCATCCTCTAGCACTTTTGACTGGTTGGTGGCACATATCAAGCAAGCTGGATCCAAACATGACCTGTGTGTGACATCGATTTGTGTTGACATATGCCAGTTGTTCCCACCGTTGCTTACTTGCCAGTAATTGTCGATGCCGCCTCAAACTAGAATACTGCCGAACATCTTGGTATTGAGTCCCGATTGTCAACGACTTTGATTGAACTATAGAAAATTCGTGGGCTCTCTTTAAGAACAGTGGTGTAGCGTTGAGCTCCTCATACGATTCTAGGTCCATTTTCGACAATCGTTCCTCTTTGTTGGTAAAAACCAGCCCCAAAAAATCAAGATTGATAGATTCTCTGGCCTTATCAATTTCTGAAAACATCCTGCGGCGAACCAAAAACTCGGTGATTTCATAGGACGCAGTGGCAGAAGGCATAGCAAAGGATGTGACGATTGGCCGTACTTCAAATAGATCCGGATGATTACAGACCTTGCGAAGTTGCATCAGGCAATTAATGATGCTCAAGAAGTTTCCTGACGCTAATGTCTCACGGGTCTTCGCTCGGCTCATGAAGTCATCATACAAGAAACGTTGACGCTTCGAAAGCCGACAGTACACAATGTGTTCATACTTGGCTGGCATCTGTGCTTCTACATCTGACTTGAGGCGACGAAGCAGATATGGTCGAAGAACAGTATGCAATCGGGCAATCGCTGCCTTTGAATCTTCATCCTGTTGTTCATTGCCTTCTATCATGCGATCAACAGGATGTGAGAACCATTCTTGGAATTCCTTTTGATTTGCAAACCCTACTGGCATGGTCTGGGACACACCATTAGGCATAAGGAAGTACAAAAGCGACCATAGCTCCATAAGATTATTTTGCAGTGGCGTTCCTGTCAACAAGAGTCTCCTGGCAGAATTAAAGTTGAGAAGCGTCTGCCACCGTTGGGATCGAAAGTTTTTGATGTTGTGTGCCTCATCCAAAATTAAATATTGCCATGCTTTACGTCGGAATACCGCCTGATCTTGGACTACCAATTGGTATGACGTTATGCAGACATGGAACGCATTTTCACGGGACCAGCCAACACGCTTCTCCTTGCGCTCCCTTGGGCTTCCATAATAAGTCATGATTTTGAAACCAGGGCACCACTTCTTAAATTCCATCTCCCAATTAAGCATGACGCTAGTAGGTACGACAATCAAATGAGGGCCCCATACACCATGCTCGCATGCTAGATGTGCCAGGAGAGCAATTGTCTGCATCGTCTTTCCAAGACCCATCTCATCTGCCAGGATACCATTGAGACCGTTAGCATAAAGATTCGCCAACCAATCCATCCCGACGTGTTGGTATTCTCGCAGTTGATGACGCAAAAGGAAAGGAATTTTGGTCTTGACATTAGCTCCGGTCGTGAATGTGTCAATCTCAGTGCTTTTGGGAGGAGTTTCAGGGCTCAACAAAGGGAGCATGTCACCGAGGCAAAGTTCATCATCAGTCCCGTAAATTGATATTGTCCTATTATCATCATACTCCGTATCTGTATCTGTAAACTCACTACTGGGCCGTGTAGGAAACTTTCGACTGTGGGCAACATCCTGCAACGTAACAACATATCGAGGATCAGCTGACCGAGCTCTCTGGTGCAAGCTCATGATGTTTTCCTCGTACTCGGAATCAGAATCGTAATAAGAGTCCGAATATTCTGAACTCTCGGCTTCGTAGTCGTATTTGTCCAGAAGATCCTCAATTGGCATATCCTTCTCTTGCATCAGGATAGCAAGCTCCTCTGGATCAGAGAGGTCTTCTTCCTCCTCTTCTTCCATTGTACGTTCGTCATCTACTTCATCAAAAGGATTAAACGGTAATGGTGGACCCTTATATAGTTCCGAGAGCGAAAGCCGCCTACGTTTCGAAGAATGAAGACGTTGTGCTGTTGACATAGAGTTACTGGCTGCTTTGAGGTCCTCTGGAAGAGACTTGGCAATCTCCATTGAGGATATAATTCTTCCTTCCTCAGACTCCAGCCTTGGGTTGAAAAGAGCGCTTGATAATCCCTCAAAGCCTTGACTATCATTATTGTCCCCCACTTTCCGTTTCCTTTCCTCAGAGTTAATCCGTATGTCCATAGAAGTATCTAACAGAGCACCATTTAGAGCTCCGAGCGATCCAGACTCAGCATCCACCTCAACCTTGACAATAGGCTCCATAGCTTCTTCAGACTTGTTATCATCTTTTTCGCCTCCTATTTCTTCTATTGATATTGCCGCTTCAACTACTTCGTCTGTGTCCATGTTATTACCGTTATTATCTTGCTCATCGTCATCATCGCTCTCCTCACCTCCAGAAAGTTGATAGCCATACTGTTTCAAGAGCTCTTCTATGGGAATATCCATCTCTGCTTGCAGACCTGAAATTTCTGCTTCATCATCTTCACTCCCAGACTCTTCGTTCGCAAGCGTAGTCTCGTCGTCAACATCTGCCTCTTTAACAAAATATTCAGCGTCTCCAGTATCCAGCTCGGCGTCTGAAGATACAGCAGATGGTGCTACAGATGATCGCCGACTAGTAGCATCTGTCACGGGCGGTGTTGAGGGTAGATCGCTGAGGACATCAGACGTAGCTAGAGCATCCGATGCATGACCCGGCGTGCCTGGTGTCCCCGGTGTCCTCGGCGTTCCTGATAAGCTCATGTTTAAAGTACTATGTTGAACGCCCAGGATTTGCGTAGAATGCTCCAAGATGAGATTCAAATGTCGCTTCCCGGCTTCTTCTTGCTCTTCCTTCAATAAGGCCTTGTGCCGGGCTTTAATAATCTATGTTCGATATTGACATTGACAACGTCCAATATAAGTATCATGAGATAAAAAAAAAAAAAAAAAAAAAAAAAAAAGCTAAAGCAGTACTTACTCCCTCAACGTAGCGCCATTTCTTTTTAACTTCGCCTGCAGTCAATTTGGCCAATTTTCGCAGTCTCTTTTCTTCGAGCCTTTGGTCTCTTTCGCTTTTGCCATGAAGTTGCTCAAAGTGTCGAGTGATCATCTTACTGACCTTGCGTGCGCGTGCCATCTGTAACCTTCCTTCCTCCTTGATCAACCGAGAGGAAGTCATGATGTGCTCCATGAGCCAGTTGTAGTGGAGCTTGGGGACCTCAGGATCCACAAAGGGTTTTGGTGGTTTCTCTCCTAGCCTACCTTCAGCCTTCAAGGCGTCGATACGATCCAGGAGCTTTGCGTTGGATGCGGCGCGTTTATCTGCCTCTTGTGGCGTGACCTCTTCATCATCTACGTATACAAACGAGTTTAAATAATCTTCGAAACTTTGAAGTTGCAGAGGTAGGTTGCGATGCAGACCATGCCGAATCAAATCCGATGCAAAAGGAATATCTCCTCTACGTGGGAGAGCCACTTCAACATTCTTCTGAAGCATGTCCACGAACATCTCGCGTTGCTCCGTAGCACTCTTCCGTGTCGATATTCTGTCTGCATGCAACTGAACATTCGATACAAGATCTGGCACTTGCGACCACAGCTCAAAGTTTCGAAGAAACTATTAAATACAATTATGCATTAATTTTATGCGTTAGATGCAAATGAAATGGATTTATGAATGCTGTCAGGAATAAACAGATCCTCTATGTATATATAACTTACGCGTAACATCCTGTCACTGTGATCCATTTTAATTTTTACTGGGTCGTATGTCAAAGTAGTTGTATAAGTTTCCAAATGATATAGCTCACGCACCAAGCTATCATGGTGATCGATAACCTCGTGCAACTTGACCTCCCACTCTGTAATTTTTGCTTGTCGCGCCCTATCCAACGGTGTTAAAGGTTTAGGAGGCTCCATAGCTTCAACTGTTGATGCTCTGTTCCTGTTCACGGCTTGAATATGGCCAGGGATTATATTCTGAGTGTTGCGTCTTTTGCGAGGCGTGAATCCAGACTCCATAATGCGATCATTAGTACCTGTCGAGTCATCATCATACTCTGCGTCACTCTTACTGTAGCGTTTTCGAGACCTGGATCCAGGTGTTGTGAATGGTGTAACAACTTGCGGATGACTATGATGCCTCCAGGAAGTTGAAGCAGATGCTGGAGCATTGTTTCCATCAGAGTTCTTTGGCGGGCGACCAGGGCCGCGTTTAGGGATGATGGTCGGCTCATTACTGGAAGATGTGTCAGATTTGGATGGTGATACTGAGGTATTAGAGCGGACGCTGACAGCTGTACTATGATTTGGCCTAACTGCGGTTGGTGATACAGGCTTGGATTTTGCTCGAGATAAGGTTGTCGAAAAGGTTGGATTTGATGCAGCCTTTACTAGCTGTGGGTTACGTGGAGGACGACCAGGACCACGCTTTGCGGGGATGTTTGGGGGCGGTAAGAATGAGACTGCATTAGCTGATCCAGTTGAACGCTGCGTTAAGTTCAGTGTATTATTGGCTGGACGTCCTGGTCCTCGCTTCTTAGGCTGATCCCCTGTTTGCTGATCTATCGCATGTTGCTGCTGCTGTAGTAATTGCTGTTGGTTTGCAGGCGTCAATTTTGCACCTTTATCTCCAGTTGATGTTATAAGGCCAGTTGGGTGAAGGAATTTTCCAGGGGGCCGGATGATGCGCTTTGACGTGCGTTGAGTGATTGTTTTAAACGGCTCAGCAGGCTCGAAATGTGCATGTGCAGACATGGACGTAGGCTGTGCAGTCTTCTGGTTTAATTTCCCAGAGTCTTCCTTTGAACGAGGTGGGTCTGTAATAGATGAGACAGTTGTGATACGCGTGCTTCTCCTTGGCCGACTATTGAGATCAGACGATTTTTCCCGGATTCCAGTCGCAGTCTGCGTTCGTGCGGGACGTCCTGGGCCCCGCTTAGGAGGGGTGACAGTCTCTGACAAGCCAGCTGGTTCTGAAGATCCATGTCCATTTGTAAATATTATCTGATCGTCAGGTATGGTCTCTCGTTGAGCTCCTTCCTCTGAGATGCGCTGTGATGGCACTGTATCGAACCCTAGTCCCACAGCTTCCTCTGGATGATTAGAGTTAGGTCCAGAAACAGATGTCAGCGTTGGCGGTGAATTATCACTTCCGGTACTCCCACTATTGTTAGTCTTTAGGTCGTCGTCATTGCTGAGGAAACTGGGATGATCAGATTCCATGGGCAACAACGACAAGCTTGCAGCCGTTAAGGTAGCGACATGAGATGGTGGCGTTGACAAAGACTGATCCAGAGTATGAGTGGACGGATCTAAGCGGTTGTGTTGAATGTCACTCAAAGCAGAAGAATGCGAAGAAGAGGAAGACTGTGTCTCATACTTTGTGTTGGCGAGGGAAGACGACGGCAGCCTTTCTGTGGTCTCAGACCCGGTCTCGTGTGGTGATGCAGAACGGCTAGCTTCCAAGGACATGAAGAGGCTATCTAGGTCTTAGTGTGTGCATCAATGTCGCACGTCTATATTGAAGTAGCAGAGAAGGGATTAATCGCAGCAAGATAAGGAGCGACAGTGATGAAGAGCAAAAACGAAGAATGAAAAGAAAAAAAAGGTTTACTTTAATGGATCTTGAAAAGCGATTGTGTGAGAGTTTTCTAATCACAAGAAAGGACAGAAAAGAAACAGCCACAAATAAAAAGATTTATACGTGCTTTCAATACGTGTATCCATCCTTTTGTAATTTACCTTTCTGCTCTCGCCTGTCGATGTTGTCCATTATACTATCTGTTGCCTTGAAGGTGCTCCTATAAGGATAGCAATAGATAGAGAGGGGAGAGAACACGGTGTCACATATAAGACACTAAGACACTGAGACATGTGAACTACCTAGTGGATGTGTATCTACCTTTCATACTCCTTTCGGATTCAGATGACTGGAGCAAGAAGGACAGGCTGGCACTGTCTGTGAAAAGTAGACATTGCTGCTGACGCGTATTTTTCTCTTTTTTCTTTTTTTCTTTTTTTTTTTTTTTAAAAAAAAAAAGATATAAAGCGAAAAACTACAATGATTTCGCTAAAGTCTCAGAGATACCAAGATAAAACCAAGGCTGAGTTGTAGCAAGAGGTTCTAATTTACTCACGACTGTATGTTTTTATTAATTTTATATTTATTACATATCGTTTAGGCCTCTTTTCCTCTAGAATTTGCTAATGTCACGTCCAAAGAGGGCTTGCTTTGACCAATCTAGCAAGAGGAGCAGACGTGTTCTAGTTGACACTTGCTCGCTAAAATAGACAGAACGCCAGAGGTATTCGGACCCAATACCACTATACACATACCCTCTGCCCCAATCCAGTACGGCATCGTTGCCTCCGATGTACGCGAGCGACCCACGATGCTTGTAGACGAAGTGCGGCAGGTTTGCTACAGCAACATGATCATTCTCAATTGAATGAAGTGTATTGATTCTCTCGCCGACGAACTTGCCTTGTTGATTGGCAACCTGAGCGGTCTGTTAATTAAAAAGAAGTGAAGGTTAGAAGATATCGGTAACTGAAAAAAGTAGAATATTCAGAATACAGGTCTATAATCACAAGGACATACAGCTGGTAAAGCAGTACATTGCTTTTCTGCATCAACGAGGAATGCTCGGATCTCGTCCAAATCTAGTGTGCCACTCTGATCTTTATCGTATTTTTTAAAGACCTCATCCAATTGTCCTAGGAAAACTTTGAGAATCTGATGTTTAGCAATAATTTTGTCGGCTAGGTCCTGGAACTCTTCGTAGCTTAAAACATTGTCTCCATTCTTGTCGTTTTCACGGAGGATCTGCATCACCTTCTCGACAAAGTGAGGTTGAGCTAGCGATATTGAAAAATGATTCTTTCTGCTTAGTACTTCAAATTTCTACTATTTCTGCCTAACATTGATTCACAAATAACTTGCATAGTGCAGAAATGGTTTATCAACAGCTTACGAATAGTTGCGCAGTCACCAATAGCATAAACTGTTTCCTCTGGCGTTCCGATGACGCGCATGTAGCCATCAGTTTCGATCGCATGCTTGTTCTTTTGCGTGCCGTCTGGGAGTTTCGTCACAAGTCCTTTGATTAGTGGTGTCATGCCTACACCAGTCGACCACAAGCAGACTCCAAATGGAACCTCGAACTCTTTTCCAGTGGCTTTTTCTTTATACCGGACGGATGTGGGGTTGACCTTGACAACGCGAGCATTGGTAACAACGTTGATATTCTCGCGCTTGAATTTCGCTTCTGTCATTTCACTGATCTTCAAGTCTAGAGTATGAACGAAAGGGAATCGTATACTGGCTTAATATTTGATTCTATAGATTTGGTTTCCTTCCTCAAGTGTGTATCCAGAAAGTAAGGAATATAATACCATAAGTATTCAAGATATGTCCAGCGCTTTGAATGATGTTGACCTGGACCTCTTCAGGAGGGATAGCTGGAAACTATATGATATTATACAGTATAAAATCAGACTAATGAAGCCATAGTAATTAAAAGCTATTACAACATTCCAATGTCCCCCAGCTCTACTTACGTATCCAACAAGATCCTCCTGTAAGTAATCATATAGTTCGGCCGCAAACTCAACTCCAGTAGGGCCTACGAAATTGAAAGATCATTAAAAAAAAAAAAAAAAAAAAAAAAAAAAAAAAAGAGCTGGCTTTAGCAAGAGATATTTTATTTCTTGCTCCAAAAACATGTTTTTTACTTACCACCTCCGCAAATGACAAAGCTAAGCAACTGACGCCGTTCCTCATCCGACGTCGTTGGCAGGCTAGCTTTCTCAAAGTTCTCCATGACTTTCCTCCTGATATCACGCGCATCCGTGATTGATTTGAGGAAGTTACAGTGCTCCAGTCCTTCTACACCATGCGTCATGGACTCTGAGCCTACGGCAATGACCAATTTGTCATAAGGAACTAAGAGAACAGGATAAGGCCCTTGATGAGTACTTGGAGCAATATGGGATTATAGTTTTATTGAGACATCTAAGCTCGGTAAAAGGATCATTGCTTACCATAGAATCTGCGCCCTTCGCTATCATTGACTCCTGAAACCTCTACCAGCTGGTTTTCAAAGTCGACATCTTCTGCGCGTCCTTCGAGGTAGTAACCCCCGAGTCGCGACAGGAGTCTCCTAACAGGCTCGATCAGAGACCTTGAAGCAGGAATAAACATGTGAACAACTCAGTATTTCCTAATGCGCTGGCTTCCAGCTCATAATGCAACATTTCCTTGAAAAAATAGCAGATCGATGAGATGTACTGACCTAAGCTCCAGTGTACCAACACTATTATCCAAACACACATGCAAAGAAAGGATGATTAATTGGCCAGTTGCTTTTTATATATATATACAAAACTGTTTTGTTGTATCTTACGTTGCGCTCGGTAACAAAGGAGTAAAGAGAAAATAGTTTCTAAAAACCATCAATCAAGGTGAGTCCTAGGTATTAATTACGCTGAGATGCAAGACGACGACATTCTGAACACAATAAAGAAAAGAGTTCTTACGTTGGTGAAATGACTGTGACATGAAATTTTTTGGGATCCAATTGTTTGATGACTGAGACAGCCTATTTTTACACCAACAATCAATCGCGTCAGCAGCTATGAGAGTAATCAAGTTTTTCATATCTGACTTTTGCTGTGAACATATCGACTTTGTAGATATTCTTACGCCCCACCCACTTCCAAGAATGACCAGCCTCTGGCGTGGATCATTCTCATGGATCTCTTCAGCTTTCAGGATGCTGCCACGGCAGCCGTGGGTCATGACTAGATTCTTTGGCCCACCAATGACGTAACGAGGGCGCTTTTGGTGCAAGTCATCGCCCTTAATCATAAACAGCTCATCGTATGCGTACGATGCCAACGTGCCGGCTACGGGAATCCCTACAACCGTGATGAGCAATGCACGGCCAGCGCGATACAGCCGTGAGCGTTTTGGCTTGGGTTGTGGAGGAGAAGGTGATGATAACGTCGCCGGTGAAGACAGCTTAGTAGATGTTGTTGAGAAGGAAGCCGTTGGCTGTCTTGGTTTGGACGTGGCGGATGTCCTAATTGCAGTAGGCAACCTCCTGTGGTCAAAGAATGGTAACTGTTGGCGCATAGGGGTTGCGGCCCTTGAGAAAATACGCAAAGGTCGTCCTTGAGGATGAATGAGTCTGAGCATGCCAAGAGAACGTGTCGAAATGAGGAATGAGATGGAAAAAAAAAAAAAAAAAAAAAACAAAGAGAGATGTAAGTTGAAAAAAAAAAAAAAAAAAAAAAAAAAAAATTTTGTTATTCCCCTTGAATATTTTTATGCAAGATGGAACACACTGATATATTCCATGTTGATGACGCTAGCGTGATTAACTAACCCAATAACCAAGAGGAAATGGATCAGAGAGCGGGAAATCCAAAAGGTAGACCGCGTCTAACTACAAATTCATACGCGAGGAGTCGCATGTAGGCCTCGCAGTTATGCCAACTGAAATATATAATATAAAATCCCAAGGCATCAACTTCAATGGCTCTCAAAACTATCATATCTACTAGAGACGCGTATTCATTTTTTTGAGATATATGCTGATATATAAATTTAATTAATCTTTCAATTCAGCTCAATTTAGCAAGATTGTGCGAGAATAAACTGTTAACCCCACAAAGAGTATGTAACCTTTCATGCTCTTCCCTCAATCCTTGCCTGCGATGCCGTTGTCTCTCCTTAAAGCATGGCCATCCCTGACACTTGCAGGGCTTATTTAAATCTCTATCCCTGCCGAGGTCTCATCTGATTTGACAGATCGGCATCTGAAATTTGTTCTTTGAGTGCGTGCCGGAAATTTTATTTCGTCAAATAGACTTACACTCTGTGGCCTTCAGAAAGAACTTGAAAAGTGGACAGAGCAAATAAGGGAGATTGGCGTTACACACAAATCCCCTGGTCCTAGACCTGTTCTATCTGGCTTATCTCTATTTGTCCTATCTCTGGTCTAGTCTATCTTTTGTGAGAGTATACTTGCGCAGTGAGTGAAAAGTGTCGATAATCTGTTGATTTGATAAAAATGTCCTCTTTTTCAGTCCACAACAACAATAACAACAACAGCAAAAAATTGTTTTAACATCTTACCTTCAACCCATCAAGTAGCAACCTCACTGTTGAAGATGGCTTTGGTTTCTGTGTGGTAGTGGCCATGGAGACACTATCAAAGGATCTGCCAAAAAAAAAAAAAAAAAAAAAAAGATGGAGATGGAGATACAAAGCGAACCAATAGGAATTTAGAGATGGATCCGAGCCATTTTTTTTTAAGGCTTGACTAGCTAGTGTGCATATAAAAAGCTCTCCTTCCTGTCCTCTTCTCTCTTCTCTCTTCTTCTCTTCTCTTCTCTTCACTTTACCTCAACTTTTCTCCTCCCTTTCCAATTCTTTTTCTTACTCTAGAACACTACCTCCCTTGACATTTTAAAGCCTACTTATTTTTTAGTTTTATTATATTTTATTATTATTATTATTATTATTATTATTATTCATAACCATTACCTTTGACTATTATCGCCAAGATGTCGTCCATCATTGTTTAAACGTTTTTCTCTCCTCGCGCGCCTTCTCTCAGTGAAAAAATACTCTCTACTCTCAGTGAAAACTACTCTACTCTCATCTCAATCTCATCTCAATTAATCTCTCAAATCTCAATATCTCGTCTTGTTATCAAAATGGCTTCCTCTTGCCCCCCCTCTCACTCAAGTGCTACTACCAAGAACCGTAATAGATCAGAATCAAAAACATCTGCCGATAGACACAGACCATTCCCACAACCGTCGTAAAAGAAAAATCCGTCTTTGAATTTACCCTTTCCTTCTCGTTTTGAGCTAAAATACTTTATATCCCAGAAAAGAAAAAAAGAATCCAAAAAATGACCACGACGAACAACTTCCACAGTACTCTCAACGTTGTTGGCACAACAGCCGAACGTTTGATGAAGTCTGCAGACTCTCTTGATTTTGCCCTCCAAGGTAAGAAAAATTAAAGTTTCTTTGTCATACCTCAATGACAGATATGAGTAATCGGACTGCGTTTTTTAAAATAAGTTCTGCCACGTCAACCAATCATATTAAATCTAGGCGCAAACAAGAAGAGCAACACAGGCGTCACTGTCAACAACAGAGGCTTCCTTGACTTTGGTGGCTTCGACAGTATCTTCTCGGGAGCAGGCGACCTCTCTGCCGCTCTCTTTGATGACTGGCTTGAGAACGACCTTCAGCAGGTTGGCTTTGTGAGCCAGGACGAGCCTCTATGCTCTTCGTCCTCAGACTCTGATCCTAATAACAGCCCACGTCTTTCCAACGAGAGCGACTCACCCGTCGTCGGATTTGATTCTATCGCCTCTTCAGAGTTGATTCAATCCACCGGAAATGATACGCCGATGGCTTTGTTCCCTGAGGCTCAAGCTTCAGCCCCTAGTTCAACTCCAGTCCAGCAGCAGCCCTCAATGCTTTCATTTGCTCCTGCAACTGTTACGCCCATGTTGCCATTGACGCCAGAGGCTGTTCAGCAAGCTGCCGCAGCGTTGAACATCCCTTGGAGCAAATCATTGGAGACGGCTGTCTTGGCCCAGTCCTTGTTGGCTTCCATCCCTCTGGCTCTTCAGATGCCATTGAAGCCTGCGACTGTCAATCCCTTGAGTCCTCCAGCGACTCAGGCCCCTTCACCGAAGCCAACCGAGAGGGCTTTGTCGCCTGCATCTGTTGCACCTGCCAGCCCTGCTGCCTTGGAACGTGCCTCCTCCACTACTCCTTCGTCGCCTCCAACCCCTCGAATGTCGCTTTCGATTTTGAGCAGCACTCAGACACCTGTTCCTGGTACTAGCTCTGTCAAGGCTACGACCTATAAGAGCGCTTACCGCTCCACTTCGCTTCCTCGTAGCAGCTTGAAGCGCGATCGTGTCATCGAAGAGCCTCCTTCGGTTTTGGAAGGCAAGGATCTCGCTGAGATGGATGAAGTGGCGCTGAAACGTGCCAAGAATACTGATGCGGCCCGCCGTTCACGCCACAAGAAGTTGGTTAGAATGGAAGGTTTGGAGCAGCGTGTGGCTGAATTGGAGGTCGAGAACTCGATGTTTGAGGCCAAGCTGAACGAAGTCGAGCTCGAACGTTCCTTGTTGGCAGACAAGGATCAGATGCAACAGGCCCGCATTCAGGAGTTGGAAAAAATGCTTGCAGCTTTGAGAGAAAAGTTGTACTAGTCAAAATGCAACCTCCTTTTTTTATTATTATTATTACTATCATTTTTGTCTTTGTCATCCTCATTTTCATCAGTAATAAAAGTCTTTCTGCTTTCTTTTTACATTGTTCCAATGAATAAAAAATTGTCCAAGGGATAAGTTAGAAAATTAACTGAAAAGGGCGGAGTAATTTATCCGAACGTTTGCAAATTTTGTATAAGATGGTCATGCGGAAGTAACCATGGGATTTTGTGTATTTTTTGTCTGTTCAGCATTCACATCCGTGGGCATGTAAAGGACATGGTGGATTCGATTATCACGGAAAAAATAGATTACTTTTAGGAAACTATATAAGCTTAAATCGGATACAGCTTACACTGCAAACTGACCGATTAAAAACATTATAATGATATACTTTAAAACAGAATTTGAAAGTAATGATCTTCTATTCTCGGAATATTAAAACTATTCTATAAAATGGGTTGACAGAGAAAAGAGAATTAAATATATTTGCTTTGTTGGCTGGTAAACAATTTTTTTTTTTTTTTTTTTTTTTTTAAAAATCATCCCCAATCAAGCCATACTCCAGGCGGTATTTGATGAGATCTGCGATGGTGATCAACTTGATGCCATGCTCCTTCGCAAAATTGTAACAGTCGTCCCGGCGAGCCATTGAACCATCACGATCATTGACTAGTTCACAGATGACGGCCACGGGTTGTAGCTTTGCGAGCTTGCAGAGATCAACTGAGGCCTCGGTGTGCCCAAAACGGCGGATCGTGCCACCCTCCGCATAGCGGAGAGGCAGGATATGTCCAGGCCTGTTAAAGTCACAAGCAGTCTTTGTGGGATCGGCCAACGAGCGAGCCGTTAGTGCGCGGCCATGAGCCGAAATGCCTGTGGTCGTGCCATGAGCATAGTCGACCGAGATCGTGTAGGCTGTCTTCATGAGCTCTTGATTATTAGGAACCATCAAAGGCAGATCCAGTTCCTTGAGCCTTGAGGGTGCCGTGGGCACACAAACGTATCCACTTTTTTTTTTTTTTTTTTTTTTTTTCCAGCAATAAAAAAAAAAAAGAAATGTCACTGTCAGTTTGATGCAAACTTTCCTGCCCCTTAGAAAAAATGTACTCTTTTTTTTCCGTTTGCGATCTCAAGGGAAAACACAGCGAACAGTGCAACAGCGCCACGAGATATTCATGCAAAACATGCTTATCCAAGGTTTTTTTTTCTCTGTGCGTAGCAATGCTTTAAAGCCTAGACGATGGCATGTCAAAGAATCGTCTTGAGACATCCGCGGACCAAAATTTATAACTCGTACACTGTATGTTGTACTGTTAACCTTATTGCTCCACCCGACCTTTTGAATATATATGTAACAGTCGATTATTTATCCTCTTTCTATTTGCTTCGACGATGATATTCTGACAGCTTCTACCGGTCTTTTATTTTTTTTCCTCCTTTCCCTTATTCATTCTCCCTGTAGATTTCAGGTAATTCCTTTTATTCACATGAAATAAGTTGTAAGAATTCATTTTGGTTTTTTTCCCTCCCTCTTGTTAAACTTTCGGAATCAGTATGAGTCAAAAAAAAAAAAAAAAAAAAAAAAAGATTATTCATGTACCTGGAGTGACGGATTAAGAAAGCCATTTGCTCTGTTGTCACTTTCTCGGCAGCGATAATAAGATCTCCTTCATTCTCTCGGTCTTCATTATCCACTGCAATGACAAATTTTCCCTCGGCTATTTTTTTTAAAAACAAATAAAGAGCATTGTAAAACATCAATGTTAGAAGTATAACTAGCAATTAGCTTAGACATAGGCATTGTTATACTCATCAGGTTGCCTGTTCTAATCATGACAGACGTACCAAAATCCTTAATAGCATCTTCGACAGAGTCGAAACGGACATGTGACATTTCTTGAACCATCGTTTGTTGAAAGTAAAACGTATATTTATCGATGTCTTAGACACTTGAATTTTATTCGGCTGTCGCAATATGATGAAGTGAGTATGAAATGAAGAAAGAAGAAGAGGAAGTAAAAAGTGAAGAAGGGAAGAAAAAGAGGAGAGAAGATTGGAATTCATCTGAAGAATATACCCAATGGGTCAATTATTATGCAGTCTTCTCGCGCAAATCTGATGAAGTGTTCGGCAATTGGGCAGACACAGCGCAAAAAAAAAAAAAAAAGAAAAAAAGAGTGGCTTCTATGCAAGAATAAATATAACAAAATAGGAAATAGGCTGAAATGACAAATCGTGCAAGCTTTGCTGACAATTAATTTAAAGTTATTACAAATAACTCTTGTCTAAAGTTCGCTTTAAATGCGAAAACACATTCGCATTCACGCAGAAGTACATTTATGGCATCTCATAAGAAGAATGAAAGAACTAAAATACAGAAAACAAACAGCGGAAAAGGGAAAGGGCGGTTCTTCTGAGTTACCGCCGTAAGCGTACAAAGAAGGCATTGTGACACATTACGCTGTCCTGAGGCAGGTACTCCTTATAAAAGTTAATCAAGAATTGCTCCGGCTTAAACCCGAATTTCTGATACATGATCTAAATACATCAAAAGCAACATTCAGTAATATATCACAAAACAAAAATAAAAAAACACGAAGGATGCGTATCTAGCATAGAGGTCCAAAAAAAAACTCACCATCGCCGGATTGTTTGCGCTCACATGTAGAGTGATATCTTTGCCTTCGGAGGCTTGCATGAGATGATACAACATAAACCTGCATTACAAAGTGCGTGAAAAAGGTTAGTACAACCACGAAGAAAACTTGGAATAAGCTACTACATCTGAAAACACATTCACAAGTACTTACTGCCCAATGCCTGCCTTTTCCCAACCTGCTGATACAACAACATATGTAATATATCCCTCTGGGGTCATAAAAGCACAACCGACCACAAGGCGCTTGTAAAGAACAACAACTGAGTATTCTGGGTATTGCAGCGCTTCTGTCACTTTTTTTTTTTTTTTTTTTTTTTTTTTTTCAGGATTGAAGATTAAGATGGAACAGTCAGACAATCTTTTGCCACAACCTTAGCGTATTTCTCATCTCTCAATTGGCAATATTTCTTCTCTCTTCAATAACTTACTGTCGATGCCAGGCCAAAATCGTCGGCAGAGGGTCTCATTGACTTGAGTTAGGTGCTCCCTTCTGAAGTAGCAATAATCAATTGGTGCGCGAGTCTGTGAAGAAAACGCTGATTCTTTGCTGTGACCTATATCATCATTTATGTCCATCCACCCATGATCCAAATCCTCCTCTCTTTTCCGCTTCGCTCCAGCCTTAAGACTCGTGGGACCCAAACTCGCTCTCGGAACTTTTGAAGGCCGTCCTTGCCGTGCTTTAATTTCGTCCAAAACATCCATCATTACCGATCGAGATTCATAATCCCTCCAAATAAAATCTTTGAGAACTTTGCCAGAAAAAGGACTTCTCCATAAGGGCTCCCATGGCTTCCGAGTATTGCATTCCACGGGCTGACCCAGTAATCGAGATGCAAACGAATTAGCGTAAGGTGTATGATTGATTTTTTGGATCTTTTCCCGAAACTCTTCCTCGCGCAATCTCCGCAGCTCATATGGGTCCGGTGGGATATGCTTTGATAGTTGGCTCAAGTCGAATGGTGAAATCAGATGCTGTCGCATAAAAGTTTCGATATTAAATAAAGGCAGATGTAAAAAGGCTTTCAGTCGTTTAAGATGCAGCTTGCGCTTGAATCTAGCGGCTACCGTTGGTAAAGCTTTTGTTTTTGAAGCGTCTTCCAGCATCTGTAGCACATGCCATTCCTGCTGCCGCTGAACCTGCTGAAGAGTTAAAGCTAATAGATCTTTGGCTGTGGGTTCTGTCAACGATAAGTTTTCAAGAGAGGCCACTGATTGAGAGAATGCGCCTGAATCAGTACTTGAAGTATGAAGTTCGTTCAAAGATGTGGTTTTGGATTTTGGTTTAGCTCTTGTTTTAGTCTTCATTCCTGATTTTGAAGAGACCAAAGCTTTCGTCATAGCATCAATATGAGCCTGCGAGAACTTTTTGCCTCCACTTGGCGGCGAAACATAGGTTACATCGACATCGTCTGCTAATGACACATTCTTCTTTGGCTTCCGTAGGTGATCGAACGGCGATATAGGATCTTTCAGCGAACTTTTTGTTCGCCCATATTTCCCCCCTGATATTGGTGGTGCAATGGAGTTGCTTTGTGTTGATGAGCCCTTCCTTGGAGCCGATATATGACTGAAACGCTTTCCATTTGTATGCCTTGTCATCTGCATACTATCAGAATTCGATCCATCGTCCGAGTCAATATCGCTTGCATCAGTAGAGTCATTATCCTCATCCTGGCCTTCATCCAATATATCAGATATGTCCTGAGGAAAATGTCGTTCATCTGTAAATCTCTTCATGGGCTCAGCCTTGATCTCTGCGATGGAGGACTACCATTTGTATCACGATATCAATAAAATCACTTGTTAGATGCGTGCTAGCAGATGATACGACTGAACTAATGAAATAGAATAAAATACCTTTCTTCTCTTTTTCTTCCCGCCTACTGACATCGCGCCAAGACTGTTCACCCTATTAATTAATCTTCCTGACGAATTCTCGTCAATGAGATCCGTCAGGCGGAAAATTTCTTCGAGATGTATTGGACCTGTGGAAAAATCAAGTCCTGAAGGATTGAAGTGATGATGGATACATGCGGGAATCCCGTGTAAATGTACCACAGGCCGAACCTCTTTTTCTTCATCCGATTTCCAAAATAGATCATCGTCGCTTGAGTCGGTATCACCAGCCGAAGAAAGCGAAGATCCAGAAGTCAATGAGAATTGTCGACTCTATCGACAATTAAGAAAAATCAAGGAAAAAAAAAAAAAAAAAAAAAAAACCGTGTTGATTGTCCTTGGGTTAGATCGTAGTTTATTGATCAAGTACTTTCAATTGGTAAGGGGGCAGGAACACAATTAAATCTAAGGCTCTACCTTGATCCTCGTGGTTGGCGCAGTTGATTCGGGCCTGGGTTTTGCTGAAGTATGGAAGTCATCATCAGACGAAGTCTCATCGAATTTTGTCTTCTTTCTTGATGGGGAGCCTTTCGCCCGTACTCTCTTCTCTTTGCTTTTCAAACTAGTGTGCCGAGGATTTCCAAGCTTCTGAGAGGCTTTGTTCTTCGGCTTCAGCTCTGAAATGAATGGTCCATAAGGGATTATCTATAGAATTAGCTTCTTTTATCTACAATATGAAACATTATCAGAACAAGGATGAGTCCAGTACTTACTTCTATTCCTATCTGGTGGAGCCTTCTCGATCAGTGTCCACCATCCTAAACAAAAAAACAAAAAAAAACACTGTTAGCGACTTTCGTTCTCTGTGAAGTTATAGCTCATATTCTAAGTGTCTCTTAGTCTACTGGATAGATACCTGATGCTCCTTTTATTTCCACTCCAGAATGAAAAATATGGTTTTGAACAGACAAAACACTAGCTACCGTATTATTCCATGTGGGTGTTTCTAAATTATGAAAAGAAAAAAAAAATGTATTAGAACTTTAAGCTTATCAGCTTCATTAGACTTCCAGCGCTTATAAAGCTTGTACGTACGTTCTTTATCTGGAAGAAGATACGACCAATAATCATCAATAAACTTGCAAATCTCCTCTTTCCAGCGAAAATACTGTTGCTCTGGATGTGCGTCCATCAAGTTGTAAAGTACCAAATGTACTAAAATCACCCTAAAAAAAGATATCCATAGTGCCGTTCAGTGGTATGATAAACACTTATTGATGGTAACTTCAGAGCATCAGCCTAATTTAAGCCTGCTTACCAGCTCAGAACGGCCCTCTCGAAAAATTCTGGACCCTGTGTGCAGACAGAGCATTCAAACTTGAAGAACTCGTCTCCCTTGAGCAATGGTTTTGGAAGACAGGAGACACAACCTGATTATAAGCAAGAACATTGAAGACTATAAGCATCCTTTAAAAAGACCTACTTATAAATAAGCCCGATTCGGATGCAAGCATACAAACGTGAGACCTAGTTTTAACTTACCCGAATGAAAAAGTTGACCGCACTTTTGACATGGTAGCATTGGTTCGTCACTATTCACAACCAATGCACAATTTGCATCACAAGAGCCATTAGAACTCTAGCAGTAAGTAAAGCGGAACATGGCATGGAAAGATGTCGAAAGCGAAGTAGCACCTACTCTCTTTTGCTCTCTCCACAGTAGCAGTAGACATCTTCGGTGTTACTCTTATGATCAGGGCTCCAATGTAACTCGTCTAGCTGCGATGCACATTGAGAACAGTCATGCTCCTGTTTTAGAGATTTGCGTTTCTTTTTTTTTCTTCCAATGTCAAAGGGCAAAAGAACGCCAATAGTCTCATTTTTGTCCGCTCAATGTAATTCCAATGTAATTTATTGTCAACAAGACGGAGACAATGCATTTTTTCCTGTTCAATTCACTCGCTTACAGTGTAGTTCACTAGCATCAGCTGACGTAGTAAATAAAAAACACGCCTCTTCTCTCAAGATTACCTCGTATGGAAATTCTTTCACGGGCTTCCCGCCATGGCGCGATGCTTGTGCTGCCATTTCTTGCAGTGAATGCCAAACACACGCGATGGAGTTCCTTTGATGTGGTGAAATAAGTGAACAATTTGAAGAACAAAACAATATCTGTAATAGTCAAAAAATACGTGGAAAGCAGTCATGTCACGTTTTTAGACGCGTCTCTTTAAAGAATTGTAATTCATTTCTAGAGAACAAGCACAGAGCATGTTTCTCCTACTTCTGACGCCCATGAAAATGAACACAATCACATCTACGATTTATGCGTTGTACCAGAAACAGATCTTTCATTTACAAGAAATTCATGCACCAGTCTCGGAGATGTGAGCCTACCTCTCTCTGACAGTTTCCTCCATGTTTCTCTCTGTCTGTATGTTTTTTTTTTTTTTTTTTTTTTTTTTTTTTCTTTCAATCGAGAACCTATAGAAGTGCAGGCCTTATACTTTGCCTTTGACATTAAACGCTCAGGTTGCACAAAGTGCAAGTGCAACAGTATGAACAATATGCACATTTACACACATGTTGTGGATAAATTAAATAAAGTAAAAGGGCTGGATGAACAGTGTTCACAACAAACAATAATGAGACTTTGTGCAAATCTTTTTTTGTTTTTAAGCCGCAATGCAAATCATGATTAAAGAACCAATTGCAGCAGAGACGAGTCTATAATTATGGGGACAAAACAGGGAACGATTTTGATCGTCGTTCCACAGTCCTTCCTTTTCCGATAACGCAAAAGCAACCAATCAAGTGGATAGTGAGCTATGGCAAAAGGAAGGTTAAAGCACGTGGACTCATGGGAAGTAACTTTTTCTTGGTAGCCACCTCGAAACTTTAGATGTAATATTCAAAATACTCCGGAATAAATATATATATAATAACAATAATTTTATTTATAGTGTAGTTCATGAGGAAAGAACTGTCAATAATGACAATGAACTCTCAGAGCAAATGTTCATGCATAAGTTAAGGTGTGCATCTTTGTTTTTTTTTTGATCAATAATTTAACCTTTGGGCTGTAGCGTTCTACCCTCCCGCAAAAGAACTAGACTCCACCCTATTGGGGTGCAGAAGGAATAAAATAAAAAACCCCATAACGACCACAGCAATAACAAGGTTTGTAAACAGTAATATTTATACATGTACAGCGCTCTATTGGACTTTTTGACTTACTCCTTCATCTTTTCATTGAATTATGCTCTTAATATTGACAAGGAACAATCATTACTTTGATATTTGTCTTTACTATGTTATAATAAATCCTTCACAGAACGATAAGAAGAGATCAAATATACGGTATATATATATTGTATATATATTTTATTGCGTATAATATAGATTGATTGTCTTTTTTTTTTTATCTTCTATCTCTTCTTATTCGTTCTCTCAACATACTACAAGCTTGGGATTCCTTAATGTCACCATAAACAGAGTACAAAACAAAAAGATATAAGGTGAGAATCGAACCCTCTTTTTGTCAATCTCTCGTTGTTTGATTCTGCAAGCATAAACCTACTTGGTATTCTGTATTCACCAAGAGACAGAGGAAAAGAAGCGGACGACAGGGTATGGCTTTTTATCGTAGTGTTTGTGTGTACGCAGGGACCGACTCAATTGCCCAGTTAGACTTTCTTTGTCTTCCCTCCAAGATAAGGTAAACTTTAATCCGATGATAGAGCCACAAAAAAAGTAAATACGTCTACTTTACACACCACATTTCAAGATCAAGACTGAAAAAAAGCCCTTTCCAGGTTGACGTTTCTTTTAGGTAAGTTCCGATATATGAGAATGCGCCATGAGCAATACAGGGTCGCAATAGTAGATAAGCAGCCGATGTTTTTTTTTTTCTTCACGTTAATTCTTTGCATCCTCGGAATGACAAAAGAGAAGGCAGTTTTTAGCACCCTTTCAAACCCCAAGGGAGCCGGCGTATCATCTTGAATGGGATCAAGTGGAATGTAAAGAAAAACAAAGGAACTGCGACAATATCTCTTAGGACATTGATTTAATTCAACAATTAACTTAGCTTAAGATCATCTTTCGCATTTTAAATGACTAAGAGTGTTTATGTATTTACGAATTTATTGTCATGAATAAAGTACTCTTTGCTTGTATTTCATTCTCAGTTCTGTCGCACAGCTTTTTTTCCGGAGTTTGGTTTACTTTGCAAAAGTGTCAGAACTCACCTGGATATGAATCTTTAGGTCACAAATGAATGAATATATTATATATAATTTGCGTATGTATACACCAAAAAAAAAAAAAAAAAAAAAATTGAGAGCGAGAAGACATCTTAGATCGCCTGATAGCAAAGAAAGAAGGTCGAGGTTGCTAAGATGATCACTAACCATGATATATATATATATATACGGATAGCTAGACTAGCCTCTCTTCCACCCAATTTTTTTTTGTTATAATATATATGTTACTGGTTAAAAAAAATTGCTATTCATTGCATGCAAATGCCATTCAGCAAACAACAATGTCTATCAATCTAGTAATGCAGATCTATTGGGGAAAGGAACACTATAGGTGAAAAACCTATAATTTCATATGTGCTCCGGATACAGGAGCTGCTGATGGGCCACCCTGTTCGAGGTTGTTTCCCAGGAGATGAGCGAGATATGTTGTCATTCTTGTTGGACCCTCTTTCGCTACGCCTGCTATTTCTCCGCCTTTTTTTATATTATAATGCCGAGGTAAAAAAAATGAAATTATGGGAAGGCGTATATAGTTATAACAACATCCGTAATTTCGGCCACGCCATATTCATAAGTGAGGTGCAGGGCTACTCTTAATATATAGATGTTTACATGGCGCCATGGATTGGATCCAAATAGCGTATCCCCTGCTGTGTTCGTCTTAAGATAAAAAAAAGGGCGCGAGGAAAAACTGTTTGTTGACTGGATAAACCCTGGCGGTGTAAGAAATACTGCAACCATATTATACATTTATTATATATATACTGTATATATATATGATTTATTCATGCACCAAATTTTAATCTTTGCAGTCAATAATAGAATTGAAAAAGGCGCCGTCATGGAGATTTGGGGCCCTGCAACTAAAAAAAAAAAAAAAAAAAAGATGGGTGATGATGGAGATTGAATAGGAGAATTCGTCATTTCTTAATAAAATTATATTATATATTAATACAAATATACATGTATATAATTGATAAAGACACAAAAAATTTAAAAGACGTGGTATTCAAATCACGGAATGACAGCGACTGGTTAGAAATGAAGAGTACAAGGTTAGTGGGTACCATCTCCATTCAGACAGACATCTGAACATGCAGATAAACAATGAGCAATTATATATGCAAAAAATATAATAGCCCCACAAGCATTCGATTACACATGATAGCTAAAATGAATATTCATATCCACATTAGGATTAAAACAACCCAAAGAGCAGAAGGAACATTAAGAAGTTGCTACAGTTATTGCTAGGCTTTTCATTCCCTTCACAGTTTTCCATTCGTATTGATTGAGATGCACATAGAAGAGCATTGAAGGAAAAAAAAAATTGATCAGTGATTAGTGATAACACTATTCTCAATCAAACCGTCCCTTGTAGTATGTAGGAATTGAGATCCTTGTGATGCCAAAACAGATAACTTCAAGCCAATGCTGTAGAAACTAAACAAAACGGACTCAACTTGAGCTATGCTTCCGAAGCACCGTGATGATAGAATAATTGTGCGGAATAGAAAATCATGTGGAGAGAGGGCACATGGAGAGCAGCTCCGGTTATAGGATCTACAGACTGTACTTGATGAGAAAAGTGAATGAGAAACAGTAGCGGACATTTAGAATTAATAATATTATCACCAAGAAACGCATGTCACATCTTCTGGACAGAGGTGGCAATGCTTACATTCGAAGAGGTCATGGCATGATGTTTGTACAAGAGTAGAGATACAGAACGTGGAGACGTTGGAGCATGAAAATCTTTTTCATGACAAATGAGTGAGCAGAATGCACAATGATTCTTTATGCATTCTCATGATAAGTCGAAGAAAGATTAGAAAAGACGATAATCGCTGCGAAGAACTCAATTTGCTATAAAAAAAACTTCATTGCCATCGGGATACCAGATGCAGTCGGTTGACTGGCATCTCTTGCGCAAGGCATCATCTACATATCCAATCTATGCACTTGCCATACCAAACCATCACACATAACATTAACCTCCACTCTAAAATGCTTGCAGAGTATTCTCCCTTTTTACTTGATGTGATGGAACCATTCATTTCTGTCAAGCCGTGTCCAACCATAATTAACTTTATCTTACAGCTCTCTTTGTTGGCTCTCGGCTTTCTGTTAGTTCATCAAACCATTTTATTCAGTCCATTCATCCATTTATTCTGTATTGGAACATTGTATGAAAGAGGAATACAACTGGATGGTTGCCATAGTCTTTTCTCGGCTCTCCTTTCATTTTGCTTTGGGGGTAAGAAAATAAAAAATTTGAAGGGGGTTGTTTGTGTTTGTTTGATAATGCGAGCTGCGGCTGTTCTTTGGAGCAGAACCAAAAGAGCGTGAGGACCATGCGCTCCTGTTCATTTTTCTCTCGTTTTATCATGTAGCGCAGAAATAGAGCATAAAATGGTCCCAACATTTCCACTCGATTCCTCCACCTCGAGATTGAATCATTTGGTATAAATCGACCTATTCACAGAATATAAAATATATAAAAAATAACATGTATCACCATATGTATCAATGCATGCACGACTTGGTTTCTATACCCAAACAACTCACAAGGTGCACACTGAGGCGAATTGCAGTATATCTGTATAAATGTAGTATCCTCCAATGATGCATTATGGAGGCCTACAGCCTACGATTGATGCCTGTTATTAATTTAATGCGGGACATGTATGCTCTAACTGAATTTTCTCACAAAGAGCCTTGTTAACAAGATGCAAAGGATACATATTAAAAGAAATAGAGCTATTACCAACCTAACGCTTAGAGAAAGACTCTTGGTTGCTCTTTCCTGCAAATGTGTCGCTATCGATGAAGAGACATCGCTTCAGTTGAAAACTGCGAGATTCCTTTACAATACTTCTGTAAATATATACATATACTGTTGCTTAAGAATATAGCTAAAAAAAAAAAGGAATTCATTCTATTGCTCAGAAACGACTGTCGTACAGTCCCAACTGCATTTGAACTTGTGCCATCCATTTTACTTTGACTTATTTGGGTTTTGTTCATAATCTTCTTCTGCGCCCATAGGCCAGATAAATACAGGATATGTAGGAATCTGGATGATCTCCCGGTAAAATTAAATTGGCGCGATTGCTCTGTGGGAAAAAGGGGGAACCTGGAAGATCTTTCGCCTTGCTCCACTGTGGCCTAGTTTGTTTTTTTTTTTTTTTTTTTTTTTTTTTTTTTTACCTTGGTCAGCATTAAGTTGTTTTTGCTTTTTTACTATCGCTTTTTTGTTTATTTATTGTTAGACTTGTAGTTGAGATCAGTAACTGCCTGCTTTTTTTTTTTTTTTTTTTTTTTTTTTTTTTTTAGATTCTTTATCCTAAAAGTATGTACAATACAGCAGGGTGCCAGAGTATGAGCCTGGCCTCTGAACAGTATTGCTATTCTTTATCAAGGTTTATATCCAGAATTGTCCTATTCTCTAGCTCGACTACCGAAACCCACAGCCAAAATAAGCCCCAACGGAGGATATGGAAGAGTATTCTCTATGACAAGACGCATTGTTATCAAAGCGGTCAAAATTCAAAACTCTGATATACTATTTGGTTGCTTGGGTGACTATTTCCGGGATATCAGTTAGGCTGCCGAGCTTGCATAAAGACACAGCTCAAGATATACAGTGTATTGTCTATTGAAGTCTTTTTTATCATTCAAATTGAGCTTATATATATGATATGGATGCTAAGCCCTGCGGGTTTCATTGTATGCACTATCCCTGGATGCTGTTACATGTTTGGACTAGGATCGTGAACAAGCCCATCAAGCTAAGCACAGACAATTGTATTGAGACAGGATAGCATTTCGCTTGCTGAAGTTAAACATTAATAATCCGAGCAAGGTCAGTTGAGCACCATGCTCCTTGTGCCATAAGGAAAGTTAGCGGGTCAGATATCGGGTCTAAATATTTATACACCTGTGTTTATGTTTGTGAATGTGACTTTCCATGAATGCTAAACATGACATGACTGTAGCGCTTGGAGAAAGTGGCCATATTAACCAAATAAACTCTTATTCCGCGCCGCGGCTCATGGCAAGGAAAGTAAGAAATACTTTAATTAAACTATGCCCTTTTTTCGTTCACTGTAATTACCCTAATGCTCCTGATGGACAGAGTATATATATAGTAGCATCTTGTACTTATCATTTATGAGGAAAAGTGATGGAAAGGTAGAACCGGGTGAGTGCAAAAGAAAAAAAAAGAGGCATCAAGAGAAGTTTTTTTTTTTTTTTTTTTTTTACTTTAAATGGCGGCACAATAAATTCCTTGACTTTGATTAAGCATTAACATCGTGTATGCTACGCGTAGTCATGCTCATACCTTTTAGCTTGACTTAAGCTGTATCAATAGGTCTAAAAAATAAATAAGATAAAATAAAATTAAATAAAAAAGGTGAAGAAAGTCGAACGACTATGGCAGCTAAGGATAATAGGTGTCTGCTTGGAAACATGGACACAAACTAAGATTATATTCCTTAAACCATCTGAAACTGCCCATCTCAGGGAATATAAAAGGAATTTTATTCGCATTTTTTGAAACGATTGGACTGGAGAGAGCGGCGAGTAGGAATGAGCAAATGGAACGGAGAATCATGTCAGAATCTATCGTTGCTGGCGCGTAGTCCATAGAAAACCATTACACCCACCTTCTATCAGCTTGCAGTTGTCGATCTTCAGATGTTTAATTCTGTTTTAGCTGTAATCAATGTGGCAACGCTGAACTGAACCCAGGTTGCCTCAAACCTGCACAATGAGGTAAAAGGATTCCAGGAGAGGGTTTGGAGGATGAGGGTGGGAGCGATCTCGAGGAGAAAAGATTGACTATCCACCAAGCAGTAAGAGATGGAATGAGAAAAAGTCCAATTGCTTCAGATATATAAAAACTGTTCCTGTCATTCTGATAAGTCCCATATAATGCTGTAATGCGATGCATTCATTATGCCTTGGGAACTGCTATAAGAGTGCTTTCCAGGAAGGAGTCGCATCTTTCTCAGCAATAAAATAAGTGCAAGTGTACAAGCGGTCTTCTATGGATCCTTAACCACTGAGAAGACGATGAATAAATCTTTATGGCAAGCTTTGAATCAGATTAGGGTCCTGTTGCAGATTTAAAAAAAAAAAAAGTTTTCTTATTTTCATGTTACTGCACACCATCGTTTGTACTTTTTTTTTTTTTTTTTTCTGAGTAGTAACACTTATCCTTTGGGATATTTCAAGTGGATATTTCAAGTGGTAAGCTCATTCACCCCTTTTTAGGATCATAGGTGTGTGCAGTAACATGAATAAGAGTAAGAGGGGAGAGAAACTGGATGCACAAACACAAACAAACAACTCAACTCCACTGCTCTTCGAGGTGAGGACCCTCTCTTTTGCTCCCTCCATTCATTTACACACCGAACACCTTTATTTTACATTCAATTCAGTGCAGATTCATTGAATTATTTACACATCTTTTTCGCCCATATTCACTATTGGACTTGACAAACCAGCATCTATGGAAAGATGGTAGCATTGCTGTACGCAGTTGAGAGGTAGGATGGCCTGCAGGGTTTCGCAAGACAACCTAATTCCTGTCGATGTTTTAACCTCATTTTCTACGAGATGATCAAAGATAGCTCATCCTTCAATGGCAACGGCAAAGCCAAGAAGGTGTATGCGTAAATGAGGATGGTGTATCCGTTTGCTTAAATGGAAGAATTTTGAATAAAAATAAACGAAGCCGTTACCCATTACGGATGTACGTAACCCTGCACGGAGAAGGGACCGACTTGTGAATGTGTCCTGCAAGGATACATATTTCTTTAGTTTATAGAACAGGATTGAATATGCTATCCTTTATTCAGTTGGTATTTTAAAATAAAATAAAAAATAAGAATGCTCTTTTGCTTTGCTATTGCTTCAGAATACTTTATCAAGGTATCAAAACAATGTGTAGAATAAATATTTATATAAAATGAGTGTTTGTATTCTCGACCCTTTTTCCCTTTTTCTTTCTTTCTCCATCCGCACATCCTTTATCTCTTTTCCGTTCTTTTCTTCATCTCTTATGGCTTTTGTTCACTGTCTTGTCCTATTCTGATATCACCCCCTCAAACACACATACCCATCCACTACCCACTGCTCACTGTTTGCTTGCCCTTTGCCATTCGACCCAATCCTCATTCCACACTTCCCTGTCCTGTCTTTTGTAAAGCTACTTTAGGCCACCTTCCTTCTTCCCTTTCTCCCTAGAATAGCCTGTTCCAACTTGAACAACTTCTCTTTTACCTCCTGCACGCGTCTCTTCCCGCTTTTCATATCACAATCACAATTTGCGCCAGCTCTATCCGTAAATGTAAGGCAGACAGTGCAATAACTACTTTGTCGGCGAAGGAGAGCTTTTTTTTTGTCAAGCTTCTCGAGTCTTTCTATGTCTTATCAAGACTCTTTTACCAAACAATAACCAATATATAAATATATAATCAATCATCTCATGTCACTCTTCACCGTTTATTATTGTTGTATTTCTCTTTTTATCATTCTTTTACCCCTTTTATTGATTTGTCCAGCGAGTTAACTGTTGCAACTGTTTTACGTCTGCAACGACGCAAAAGTAGAAGAGAACAGCAATGTATATATTTATATTTTATTTTTTTAATTCACCAAGTCGAACGAGCTCAATTTTTTTTTTTTTTTTTTCCTTGGTCGTTGCCATTTGCCTGCACATTTACTAAACCGGTGATTTGGTTGATTTATATTTTACAATAATTGAGAATGAATTACATTTTTGTTCGATTTAACGTTAATCCAGAAAAGTCATCCTCTTTAAGTTAACTTATTTATTTTTGTCTGAGCTCAAAAGGACAAACAACTGGACTCTCTGCATCTGCACCCTGTCCTAAAGAACCACTATGGTCACCGTTACTGCCATGGCTCTCCCATAGCCATGTACTAGTCTCAGACCTAGTCCCTCTTCCTCCCCTTACCCACCCTTTTTTTTTTTTTCTTTTTTCTTTTTTCTTTTTTCTGCTCCGCTCACTCCTATACAAACATGTCCGAATGTAGTCTATTAAAGAAGGGACAAAATATGGTATTGACGTTGAGATGCATGCGGGTGCGTTGACGGAGTATGTCTTTTTTAGACATGCATTAATTTTTTCGGGAAATCCCTTTCATCATTGTTGGCCTACTTCCGCCAATCTTTCTTTAGTACCCTCATCGCAATTTCCAGCTGGAGTATACTGCTGTGCAGGTTCCAGTTGGTCAAACAGGGGCCCATTGCTCTCATTTTCCAGTGCTTAACTTTAGTCTGAACTGTTCTTCTGATACAGTCACAATAGGACCTTTGTCTGCCTTTTCGCGAATCGCCTTGTATTCTTCCCAGGTCATGCCAAGCACAGCTTCCCTCTCTACTCTTCCAACATCCTCTTATTCTCACTCCTTTTACGATCATACCCAACCCTCGGCCCGTCCCAGCTCCCAGCCACATTCCTCCACATTTCCCTCAAGTCAAATGGACTTTTCTGAAGCAGACTCGGCTCTTCACCAACAGTCAAAGCGTCTTGCCGGACTATCTATTACGAACGCTACTGGAGCTAAAGTCAGTATCCTCAACGACAATTCAGCTGAAATCAATACACCATCCGAACAACAGCCCGTGCCTCACTCACCATTTTCTCCGTCTCTTCGCTCGCAAGAGACAGCTAGTCGACAGAGACACACTTCAAACGAACGCCCACATCCCATGCAACGCTTTCAATCCTACCCAGGTCATCGTCAAGAAGAGACTCATGATCAGGACCATTCAGAGAGCAGCTATACCGGACGATCGTCATCCCTTACTAACGCATCTACACCCATCTATTCCAGTGGTGAACTGACGTCCTCAAAGTCATCCTCAAAGCCCCTAGCAATATCGTCACAACGCAGTCGGAGTCTCAGTAGCGGCTCTACACTATCCCCAAGGATTTCCGCAGCCTCTTCCAGCCCTTCCGCCTCTGTATCGTCACCAACGCATCCATTCTTTTCACGATCTTACTCTGAGGAAAATCAGTCAGATGACTCGGAATCGAATCGAAAACCGTCAGATCCCAACTCTACCAACGCATCTGGGTCCCCTGTTGCTGCAAAGCGCAAATATATGTGTTCGCACCCTGGTTGCCATAAGTGCTTCACCACGAGGTACAGTGTTTCAGCCTTGCCCATTTGCGATATTTCGATAATGCACACATGCGAATATAGACTTATCCTTTTTTTTTTTTTTTTTTTTTTTTCCTTATTGGTAATTATATAGCGGACACCTTGCTCGGCATAATAGGATTCATACTGGAGAACGAAACTTTCCGTGTCTTATGCCTGGATGTCCCAGCAAGTTTTCTCGTCAAGATAACATGATGCAACATTATCGTACTCATATTTCACCTAAATCACGTCGTTGTCCTATTAAAAAGGAGATTCTGACTGTAGGCGTCAGTGGCAACAGCTCTCAAGAGAACTTGGTTCATACTGGCCGTGAGCACAGCCCAGTGATAGGCTATCATGGAGCTGACTATGATCAACATCATCATGTCTCCAAGATGAACGGGTCACGTCAAGGTTCTCGACAAAACTCGCCTCCGCGCTTCAATCCTCTCGACCGCAATAACGGCATTGAATTTAATGGACGCAATCATATGGATGTAAACTACAATGTTGGCAGTGGTACTGTTGGCCTAAGACATAAAAAATCGGGCGTCATTCAAGCCTATCAACACCACACACCTATGCCTCACTTCGACGTGCATGCCGTGTCGTCAATGTCGCAGTCACAGAATGAAGGCCATGGACAAGCTGCTGGTCACCCTATTGCTACCTCTCAAGGAGCCATGCCATCACCTCTAACCCCAACGATGTCAGCGACATTCGTGAACCACAGCCAGCACCAAGCCGCATACACCCCAGCCGCTCCATATCCTTTGGCTACTCGTCATCAGGACATGCATACATCCTACAATCATAGTCACGATATCGATATCTCCAAGCCTGCTCTTAAGTACCATCGGTCCGATGTCCTTGCCTCTCCCAGATCGCCTATGACGCAGGACGTCGAGCGCATGGAGGGAGTTACACCATCATTGGAGGATCGCAACCGGCACTACTATCATCAAGCTTACTACAGCCAACAGCCACATCCGGAACAATCTTATCATCAACACCATAGCAACTCATCACATGCTGGTCATGCTCAGGCGGCTCAACCTCACGATGATTACCAACACAATTCGTCTGCTCATGCTCATGAAAGGTTGACTCACGAAAACAGATACCTTAGTAATCGCCTGAATGCTGCTATGCCACCTTCGCCCCAGTCGACACCGCATACACCAACAAAGTATCGCTTTGATCCTATTCAAGACTGTTTACAGCAAGATAGGCACCAGTACCGTGAACATCGCGAATCACATTATGAGCCTCAGCCACGCCTTACATCTCAGTATCAAGGCACATCAATGGAGGATGAGGACATGTCGTCTACGACACGTTTGTCCATCATGTCTTCAGCCTCATCCATGACCTCTACCTCTTCGGCTTCTTCGGTCTCTTTACCTGCAAAGGCACATAATGCAGATAAACAGCGTAACCAAGAAACAGAGGAGGAAATGTCTGGGCTTGCACATTTGGCTCAGATCGTCACGACCTATGGTTGAAAAGAATAGGTGGTGAGTAGTCTGGATGAGCTACTTGCCTGTGATGAGAAAGGAACGTTCGTATACCACTGCTTCTTTAATTGTTTTCCCTTTTATCTCATCGCTCGATATGCCTGTACAGTTCTTCTTGGCTTGGTTACATCTTGTTTTAACAGCAAGGACAAAAAAAAATTATGGCATGTAACATCTGTGATTCACTATAGAATTTGTATTTTTTTTTTTTTTTTTTTTTTTTTCTGTTCATAGTAATTATATTGTTAATATATCTTTAACGCACCTTTAGTTTGTTTATCGCGTTAAATTGCTTCTATTTGTCAATTTGGTCATTCGAATCAGAAAAAACGCGTATTCCGTAACCAATAGATTTGTTGCGCAGAGTGGCTTTGATACCAACGCTTGTGCCACCAAAGAAAAAAAAAAAAAAAAAAATTAGACGTGATTCGGCAATCCTTCGTCAACCTCTTTTAGATTCAAGAAATGACATCCATTAATGTCATTGGTGAAGATCCAGTGCTCAAGTCCATTGCACAAGAGCTCATTATTTCTTTCCAAGGCCAAGTAAAAAGAGTTCCTTTGAACTACAATAAGAGTAATGATAAGCCTAATGAAGAGCAGTCCTATCAGAGGCAAGACCTTTTTTATCCATATGAGTTTCAGCTGTTCAGTTTTTTAACTCGACCCACGACGTGCAAGAAGCTTTTTCCACCCCATGTCCAAAAAAAGCGCCACCAGAGTATTACAGTGCAAGAGAGGTTGATTCTTTTGTCAATTGGACCAAAAGCGGAAACGAAGGAGAACAAGGGTGCCCTGAATCATGGCCACCAAGTCCTTGACCAGAAAAGATACATGGAGCAGGAAAAAGAGCATGAACCAAGTACAGAAGGAATAGATGCACCTGTACTTGTTGCGGGCCTAGAGGTGCTTGAATACCTACTCACGCCGATGACTACTGCTGATATTAGTAGTAGTAGCGCTAAGAGCCACAGCTCGAACGAGTGTCCACTCGAACGTATCATTTATATTGCCAAGGTAGATACCTCTGGTTGCTGGCCTCTGCCTAAAGTCGACACACGAGGGCTTAAGAGTCCCACACACGCTTTAGTCCGAGGCTACTTGAACGCAATGCGATCCAACACTATCATCACCACCGCGTTCACTAAAGGTTCTACTTGTATCTCTCATCTTCACCATCAATCGTCATCAGCTGTAGCCGCAGCGAAACTTTCCTCTATGGCTATCTCATCCGAAAAGAAAAAGGAAAATGGGCAGAGAAGTGATAAAGAGGACAGTTGTGGGGATGCAACAGGCGACTCTAGCCCGTTGTCAAATGACGAAGAACAAAAGCTGCAACAACAACAACAACAACAACAAGAAGAAGAAGAAGAAGGGTTTGAGCTACCATTACTAGTATCCACCCCACACAAAACTTCGCTTTATGTCTTTGCGCGTGCTCAACCTCAGTACCTCTTTGCAGAATCTGCTCAAAATACTGGGAAACGCGTTCTGGATGATCGCGGTTTGGTCCGCTGGTGGAAAAATTTGTTGACAACTATCTACAGTCAACAAATTCCCGTCAATGACAGTAAATGTAAAAGGAAACAACAGGCATGGTGGTATATCCCAGGGATGGAGACGGAACGTCAAGCATCGAGCATCATCCGATTCTCACCTTTATCCTCAATAAGCCTATCGACTACGACGACATTCCATTGGACATATGGCTACCCTGATAGAAATTCCAAGGAGATGGCATACTCTTTGATCCCACAGTTCCCTGACGACCCAAAGTCTAGGCTAATGCAATCTGCTTCATGTTCTGGCGGAGCTGTTGATATCAACACGTTTTGGGAGCTGGTAGCTATTGGAGAAGAAAGCGGTGCTGGGAAAATTACGGGCTTTTTCCGCATAGTGGAAGAAGGAAACATAGAAGAAGATGAAGAAGAAGGGGAAAAAGAAGGAGAAACAAATGAACAGAAAGCAAAGGGAGAGGAGGGACAAAAACTGACTGGAGCGGTCGAGGAAGAGCCAAAAGGATCCAAAAGTACATCTGTATCTCATGAAACAACAGCAGAAACAACGGTAGCAGCAGGGATAGAAACCGTTATTTCACCTGCGCAAGGTTCATCAGAATCATACACAAAGGTCATCAACTATCTACTGAGCTTAGACTTTTCGACTCTGGAGAAGTCTAAAAACTCTACTAGACAGTGGATGAACCGCTTCAATAGCTGGACTCGAAAGCTTCAAGAAAAACGACAACAACAACAAGAAGAGAACCATTCTACATTGCTACCTTCATGGATTCAGACTACAAGTCTCACCATATTCTTACAGCATGTGAACGAGATAGTCGTAAGCAACCAGTCGCAGTCCACCAGTTCCACCAGTTCCATCAATGCTTCATCTTCTGCGCCTACTGTGAACATTCTTGGAGCTGGATTGATCAAGCCCAAAGTCCCGGAGTTTGCATCTGTATCGTCTTCGGGACAGGCTCCAACGGTCAATGTTTTGAATGCTAGTTTTATCAAACGTAAGACGCCTGTAGTCAATAATTTGAGCTCTAGTCTAATTAAACGGAAAGAACCGAGCACAGCATCTATATCTACGTCTACAGTAACACTAGCACCTGCCTCCGTAGTGCAGGATTCAGGCCTCACTAAGAAGCAAAAGACAGATTGTGGAAAGCCGTAATAGAGTTGCTAGAAAATATGCTCGTGTTATATATATATTATATATGTATTTTTTTTTATTTTCTGTTGTACAATGTAGAATAATAATAAAAAGAATAAATGACATACACAGTATATATATAAACGTTGCTCCTTTGAAACGTAGCTTCAACAACTAAAAAAATAAAAAAAAAAAATAAAAAAAAAAAGAGAAGGCAGACTTTAAATTCGAAGCTCGTCCAAGTTCTCATCAATCTGCTTGAGCTTCAAAAATACATCACAGCCATATCCCTGCAGCGAGACTAGTTGCATATCACCACCAAAGTATTGTGCATATATCTTTGTCAATGGTAACCTATTATTATAGGAAGGAAAAAAAGGGGGCGGTATTAATAAATATTGCTTGAAAATAAAGAATGCAGCCAAAAAAAAAAAAAAAAAAAAAAAAAAAAAAACTACAAGCTTACCCAAATCCAAGCCCAGCAATAGGACCACCCAAACCAGCCTGCATCGCAAGTCGACTGACTCCCTTAAAGATACTATCCACACCATAGGGTGTATCACCTCCAGCATCCATGGAATTCGCTGTATCGTTCTCGTTCTTAACAGTTGTGAATGAATAATCAAAAATTGAATCGAAATATTCTCGTGGTATTCCTCCACCATGGTCCCTGATCCTAATTGTGATTTCGTGCTCTCCCTGAGCGATAGTCACTTCCACAGGTGGGTGTCCAAATTCATTAGGTCGTCTTGTGATATCCTGATCATCATCCTGGTTGATAATTACGGCGCTGTTGCTGCGCTTTTCATGATGAGAGCCCGCTGCTGATGATGAAAAGAGAGGCTGGTGCTGGGTGCCATGAGGGCTAATAGCGGATCTGCCAATCTTTTGCGAATGCTCCACGGTAGCTCGGACAGCATTCTTGAGCAACTCGCAGAGGATATATTCGAGATGAACTGGAACATAGGTGAACGTTGCATCTGTCTGTCCATTAATTACAACCTCAGGACTCGATCCATAGTTGACATCACATAGATCCTGGACAAAGGAGGCGCATGTTTTGATCAAATCTGCAGGTCGAAGCTCTGTATGAACCACTCCCACAACATCCGAGTGACGACGGGGTACAGCCTCTAATAAGGATTGTGATGATGTAGACATCCTTTCTCCGGAGGCATTCTGAATATCACTGTTGGTCTTTTCTTCGTTATAATCTCGTTGCTCTCTGAGCGAAATTACCTGTTCAGCAATCAAGCGAATACCAATACGAGCTTGAATAATTCCATCTAAATACTTTTTAATCGCTTCCTTTTCCATATACTTTTTGCATTCCAAGAAACCTAAATAACGTAATTTGGAAAACAATAAAGATATGTCAAAAAGTGAAGTAAACGTGAGAAAATAGCAGACAAATCGCCTCCAATAGATGCGCATGTCCATTCGTTACCTTGAGAAAGCATAGGAATAACATCGGCGTGAGATGCTACAAGGCCTTGCAACAGATTTGCAAACCGATCAAGATCCTCTTTATTCTTAATTTGCTGTGGACTTGCTGTAATAGTTTGAAAAGAGTCATAGTACAACTTGTAGACTCGTTTGATATAGGGATTTGTTCCCACGATGAAAGGAAGCTTCTGAGTTTCTTTGATCAGTCGCGCCAATCGAACTGGTAACTCCTTACGTGCATACCGTGCTACATCCAAATTGATAGCAAGGTCTTTAGCCGCTTCTTCATCTCGTCGTTGCTGGGCTGATGCTGCTGTTGCTGTTGGTGTTGATGTTGACAAAGGTGGAGATGATGATGTTGTTAATCCTGACCGTCCTAGTCCTAAAAGAGCTTTGAGTGTGACTGTCTGAATGTCTTGATTTGCATACTAAGATGTCATTAAAGGTCAGCGAGAAAATGAATTGGTTAGTCCAGTTGAAAACCTATTGCCCATCTAGTGCAAGCAATATAAACTTCAAAGTGGCTTCTTTCATGAAGTATAAAGAATATAGTAGAAAGAAAGAAAAGGGTAAAAGTCACTGCTTCAATAAATGTATTTAAGATTTACTATACCTGAGTCACCTTATCATCATAGAATGAAACTATATCGTCCATTTCACGCTGCTCGGATTGTGAGAAGAAACTCCTCCGAGCTGAGGCCATGGCTTTGAGGTATATGGGGTCTGTTGCCTGTAGAAGACGAGAGGCAGTCGCTATCACTCCAGTATCTCTTCTCATGATGGCGTTAGTACTAGGCCGGGAATGATATCCGTGGGTTGGAGCTTGTGTCAAAAGACGATGCTCTTCAAGATGTTGACTATTATGATTAGCCTTAACCAAGTGGCTGCTAGTCTTATTTCTGTTGCTAACACTATTTGCCTGTCGAGTAGTTACATGTAGGGTCCGCCTCATAGGCGCTATCACCGCTATTGATGCTGTTGTGACCTGGCATCTTGAGTATTTTTGCTGTTGTGATGCGTGGCACACAAGCAATGTAGGAGATCCCGAGTCTGATGAGACTTTTATAAGACGACGGATGATGGCGGTATGCATCATTGAGCTACAAAACTTGCGCTGTTCACAATTCCTTGTGTGGTGACTACTTTTTATGATGGGAAGGTATAGTAGAGATGTGGATGAATGCAAAAGAAGACTAATGAAGGCTTTTTGGGTGCGGACGAATACAAAAAAAAAAAATAAAAAATAAAAAATGAAAGAGCTTTTTGAGTCACGACCCCGTGGGAGAATGACAAGATTCAGTCCCAACGACTCCCCAAGATGAATTCTGAGGATAATCACCTGACTGACGACAAATCTTCCGTTTTGATGCAGACATCAGGTCAGCACTAAGCAGGAGGAGAGAAGCAGGACTCTCCCGGCCTCACCAATCTGTCCCTGGTTCCCAACACCAACATAGCTGATTTTGTTCTCGATGAACGATGAACTGGTACTTTATCAAAAATTATTCGTTTTATTTCATTAGATGAGTGGGAGACCTCTGGGAGGTACTGAAATATTACACACACTTCTGAACGTAAAAAAAAATCAGCGGACCCCGCTCTTACTATTCATATGTATTCCATGATGAATGCAAATGTCCTCCGAAAGTGTGCTGAATAAGAGCTGATATTCATAACAGCCATTGGTACCTTTACTTTTTTTATTTTTTATTTTTTATTTTTTATTTTTTATTTATTTTATAATTATTATTTTTGTGTGGGTGGATGTTGAATGTACAGGATCAAAAAAAAAAAAAAAAAAAAAAAGATTTAGAATATTAGTCTATGGCAAGTGTATAAAAAGCTATAATAAAGGTGTTTCCACACGCAAATGTTATCTAAAAGGTGTAGGGAGTGAGCAGCAATACATGTATACATAAAAAGACTATGAAGTTTCTGACCGACGGAAGGTCAACGCGCCAAGGATACTGTTACGATGTGATGCACTTCTTTTCAGTTTGGCAGTGTCTGAATCTATGGCAACCGTAAACTTGCGTGTACCAAAGTTTGCGGGGGCACTGGGGACAACACCTACACTAGCAGCCTTCTCGCTAGGCCAGCCTTTACGAACCATCGCTGGAGGTCGCGCAGAGGACATCGACTCACGACCGTTGCTATTGGTATGGATCGAGCTCTGTCCATCACTACTACCGCGACGGGCTAACGAGTCACCAGGCTCGTGGTTAGATGGGGACATTACCTCAGGTGTCTCTGACAGAGACATCATCTGCGTTGATGCTTTTGGTGAAGGGGGTCCATTACGAGAGGTCATAAGGCTCATCATTGCGACATCATTCATAGACTTGCGGAGGGTGCGGCCACGACCCAGGCTGGCTGTTGAAGCTGCAAATGCAGCATTCATCTCCAACTCTTTGACCTTTTCCTGCAATGATTGGCGCTCGACTTGGCCTTCCAGCCACAGACGCTTGGTCTCCTCGAACTGCTGACGCATCACATTCAATTCCTTCTCGAACTGATCGCGTTCGTGGCGAATAGAGTCAATCTCCATAGTCATGTTCATCTTGGTGGTCTGGAGTACCATCTGCTGTTCCTGGAGCATCACCACAGCCTCTTTCGAATCCATAAGAATGTTTTGTATATGTTGTGTCTTGGCCTTTTGTGACTCGACTTCATTCATAGCCTCCATTACCGAGACCTTGGCATGAACAAGCTCGGTTGTGACCTGCGACAGTTCACGCTCTGTCATGGCCAGACGGTTAGCAAGGTTGTGTTGGCTAACATTCAACGATGACATAGGGGAATACTTCATCTCCTCGCCAAAGATCTCTTCATCCTGTGAATGTCTTGACCAGCTCATTTTACCGTCCTCATGGGTGATCGTTCGTGGAGACGACATTGCAACCGATGAGGTCTCATCGCTGTTACTCATCACCGAGGGTGAAATAGCACTCATCATGGAGGCGCGATTTTGCTGCCGCTCCATATCTAGCAATCTCTTACGCAAGCCTTCGATCTCCTCAAGGTACTGAGTCTTCTCCAGCTTGGCCATCACTAAACCCTCAGTGACCTCAGCATGGTCCTTCTGCAAAACGGACAGTGCCTTCGCCAGATCCTGGATCTGCTCAAGTAGCATGGCATCTGAGCCTGCAGAGATGAAGGACTGAGAGGCACTGCTTGCTGGCTCTACAATCTCATCACTGCTACTATTGGCGTTGCTACTGTTACCGCTGAAGAGTAAACTAGCTGACGAGCCAAATGAGGCCGCAATCGAGAGCCTACTGGCGCCGCGGCTCAACTTGGTCTTGATCTCCTTGTTTATTGAAGGCTCTGGGGTCTTGTTGCTACCTGAATCGCTCGATTTTACCGATCCAAATCGGTCCTTGAATCGCTTGCTAGTCTCTACTCCTGCTCGCTTTTGCTGATCCTCTAGTTCTGAGACATAGGCCACAGCAAGTGCATCCATCTTATCCTTGGAAATCTCACTGGAAAGAGCCATAGCATCCTTAATGACCTCTCCTGCATTGTCCTCGTAGATATCGTACAGTTTTGTGGATAGAACGTCCAACAAATCCTCGAAATCCTGTAGTTGCATCAGCTTCTCTTCATTCTTTTTCATGAATGCAACAGCAACACGCATAATAGTCTCAGGAGCCCCTTCCGAAAACACAACATCATACACCCGGAGAACCAGTGGCAAGGGGTAGGTATAGGCAAACAGCGAGAGGAACCACTGTGAAGCATACATAGCTACCTGAATCGAGTGGAATGAAAGATGGGCATGAAGCATAGGCAAATGCTCGGAAAGAAGTGCAGAAAACTGGTAGAGGCGAAGCTGGAGTCCTTCCATATTCAGTGTAAACATGGTTCGCATGTCATATGTCTCCATCAAGCGGACGAAAACACAGAATGCCTCTCTCTCGTCCATCTAGAATAGATATTTATCATTCACCACATATGACAAGAATGAAATGATGTGAGAAACACAATTAGCGGACAAACACAGCATTTTGAAGTAACAGCAAAGACGCTCATGCATTATAAACTTTTAGAAAAGAGAGAGGGAGGAAAAAAAAAAAAAAAAAAAAAAAAAAGGACTTACATTCATAAGTAGTGGTCCAACCAAGAAACCAAGACCTTGGCAATATCCAACATGAGGATCATAGAGAGAATAGGCTTTGAGAACATTGCGAAGACTCTCCTGACCCTTTCCGCCTTCCTCTTTAAACATGTCAACTTGAGGGAAAGTCCTGGCGAGGTCGCGTTGGATGATACGTTCATAAGGCGAATGCTCCTTTAAGAGTTGAGTATACATTGTCTCAAGGTAGGTTGAGGAGGCCTGTGACATGGATTGCCAAATCAGTCCACGGAGCTTTGATGGCAAACCCTGTCGCACACGCGCTGCCAAAAGATGTGGTAATTTACTTGCTACTGCATTATAATCCTGAACAAGCATACCCCAGAACTCCCAGTCAATCTCCTCATCGCCCTCCTGGTGCTCCATAATGTTGGAGCCCGACGACATGGGAGCAATAGTCCCTGAGTTGGGGCTATTGAGTGCTGTCGAGTCGGTAATGAGTTTTTGGAGTGTAGTGAGATTTCCTTTGAGGACGTTGGATTCGATGCAGACGGCTTTGGGATCCGTATCAAGCAATCCATTCTGTCTCTCTAGTCTTGCCAAAAGGAATGCTGTGGACTCCTGGATATTTCCAGAGGAAAAAAAAGAAAAAAGAAAAAAAAGTTAGGGTTGCGGATATTGACTAGGGATCTGTCAACTATTAATGAAATGTGTATTTACCTGTGGAAGTAGAAGATTATTTTGTTCTTCCAACTTGTGAAGGATGTTGGGATCGACTGTACTCTCTGAAAGATCAGAACGGGAACTGTGACCACCTTTGAGCTTCGCAAAATGGTTCTTGGGTTGAGGAAGCAAGAATCCCAGGGTGGTACTTCTGTTCAATCTGGCTCTATCAGCAGCGGAAGAGCCCTGGAGGAAAGAGGAGGAGGCAGCGAGGTGACCACTGGCCTTACCATCAAGCCCTTTAGTGAGTGACTCTGAGGAGGCAACAGCATTATCAAGGATATCGTCCAGCATTCTCTTAAATGCAGCAACGTGATCTTCTTCTTCTAATGCAGACTTTGCATCCACTGATGATTTTGAAAGAGCTAGTCAAGTGAACAAATGCAATAAGTAAAGAGTCCGAAGGAGTTAGAACGCGTAATGAATTTCAGCCACGCGTAGTTTAGGTTCAGTTGTGTCTCAGTCTCGGTCTCAGTCTCGTCAGACTGGTGCCTGAAAATGTATAAATCTGTTCCTGAAAAAGACCTGAGGCCTTTGCATTTTCCCTTCTCTCTTCTGCCCATATCTGTCCATTTGTGTCCACCTTCAGTGCTGATCAACGAATGCAGCAGAACTTTGCTTTTTGTTTTTGTTATGGTTAACAGATGAGTCAGATGAAAAGGAGTAAGCTTAGATCAGAAAGGATCTTTTTTTCCCGAGTTGGGTCACTCACGATCGGTTGCTGCATGCTCAAAAGCTCATCATTAGCACATGCTACCATCCCAAAAATAAAATTGTTGCCTAATCCATTCATTTCATTCTCCATTCTGAAGAGAGCCTCTCACACTGACTTATGATTTGCAAGGTTGGTACTGAATAGTAGACATCAACTCGTCTAGTAAACACAAACACCTCTGAACTGAATGGACGGCAACCAACCGTCCCAACTGTCAATTCACAGCAGTTGGAATCCAATAGCGAGAAATATGCACATGCATATTTTTTTAAAAAAAAAAAAAAAAAAAAAACGAGGTTCGTGCCCTGTTTGTGTGTTTGTGGAACAGATTTCGGAAGTTCCGAAAGGAATGCAAATTTGCTCAGAACAAAAAAAAAAAAAAAAAAAAAAACTTACAAGACGAAGAATATGAAGAACGAGGCAGCGGTGTGATGAAAGAGATCCGCTTTATGGAGGAAATGGTAGAAGCGGGGGTAGAGGTGGAAATATCATTGGAATTAGATGTAGAAGTGGTAGAAGTAGTGGAAGTAGTAGTGGAAGTAGTAGAAGTTGGAGTTGTGGCAGCCATGGTAGTTGCAGCAATTTCAACTTGAGTCTCAGTTTCGGTTTCAGAAGAAGAGATAGAATCAGATGAAGGCGTGGTATCCATGACAGAAGGCGTGGGCGCGAGTGAGGACGGAGACTCGGTTGCCAATTCAAGTCCTAACTCTGTGGTCTCTGTCATGGTGATAGGGTATATGGACAACAATATCCAATTTCAACAGGGACGTGATTTAAGACGTTAAACTAAAATAATAAAAAATGAAAAAGGGTCTGTTGAGAGGAAAAAGAGAAACGACTTCAAATGCAGATGAAAGTGAATGAGTTGAATGAGGAAGAAGAAGAAGGAAAAAAAAAAAAAAAAAAAAAAAAAAAAAAAAAAAAAAGGAAAAGCGACGAAGAGGAGTGCAATACAAAAAAAAAAAAAAAAAAAAAAGAAAGAAAGCTCACAAAAAAAAGTAAAAAATTGAGATGTGGGTAACCCGTCATCTCTTTTGACGATGAATATTTTACAAGCAAAAGGAAAAGAAACGACTGGACATTTGTGCAGGCTCTCAGAGCACCTTGGTTTCTTTGTTGTTAAAAAAAGCTCTTTTTTTTTTTTTTTTTTTCTCCCGATACCCTTTGTCACTTTCATCGCAATGTGCAGGTCCACTGAACTAGGAGCATCTGCATGCGACCATCAGCAAAACAACGCGAGCTCTATTGCCAGGGCCATGATCATGTCATCTTATTAGCCACTATCACCTATTACTGTAGTTATTTTGGTCCGTTGTCCCTCCTTTTCCTGGAATCAAGATCTTCTAGTCCGATACAGTGAAATATATATATATATCATCCAGTCAACGGAGAGAAAGAAACCAAATAAAAAAATAAAATATATAATAGACTAGAATTATTACAACAGCAACAGCAACAACACCAACAAGAGCAATACCAATGGTCCTAAACATCAAACAATACTAGAAAGCGTTTAAACAAAATCTTCAAGCAGTAAATGAAGAACAAAATCCCTTAATGCTGTGAACGTTTAGAAGAGAAGGCGTTAAAAGAGTGAATGCATGCCACAAATGCAGGAATGTGGTATACATGTATATTGACAAGTATACAAATTCTGTGAGTAGAGATGCATGTCTCTAGGTTTCATCTTTCCCATCCCTGCTATTTTATCCCCCTTCTCTCTCTCCTTTCCACTTTATCTCTCCCCTGTCCGTCATCGCTCTTTGCTCACTTGAATGCATCCACCCCTTGGGCCTACATGTCGTTTTTTTTTTTTTTTTTTTTTTTTTTTTTTATCCTTGGCTTTGTATTTAGCCTTTTTATGGCTCATTATATATAGTTTGTATCTATTGTCTAGGGACAAAAAGGGTAGGCCACTGATCCAATAGCCGTGGAGATTGATAGAAAGAGAAATGAAGAAAAATAAATAAATAAATAAAAAAAGATCAGGGCACTATACACTCACAAGCATAAATTGCATAAAAAAAAGATAATGAACATTTTTATCCTTCAAAGCTGGGGAACCCAATTCAGACTGGAAGGAACTCAATTCGATTATTTCTCTGTGTATAAACATGTAATGTTTGACAATGGTAAACTAAAGAGAACACAGGTCTAATTATCGATAAATGAACAAAGTGAAATGAAATATGAAAATTGTGCAACATGTTGCAAGAACATTAAAAGCGCCCGAGGCAAAAATGATTTAAAAATTAATGTTATGTTTATTATCATATTCTCCCAAATGCATGGTGTGTCAACACTTAACAGTAAGGGAACAAAACATGACGCGAGAGATGATGCATTGACTTTTCTTACGAGCACACAGAATAAAGATGAGAAAGAAAAGAGTGGTAACACAAGGCAAATCCGTTTGTCCTCCAAGAAAGAAAAAAACGTGGCACGAACGCAATTAGGACAGGGATTGTATTCAGTCAATCATTCACTAACCGTCATTCGATATCTGATCTTTTAGATTACATTGTCGGACTTCAGTCCCTACCACTTTTTTTTTTTTTCTTTCTTTCTTTCTTTCTTTCTTGAAGAGGGCTGTTGTCAAGCTTTGATCTTCTACCTTTCACTATCAGTATATACCCCTTACATCCATCTAACCTTCTCTCTCCGTTTGAAGGCTTTTGTTGTCGTGTAAATCATGCTAATATCAAAAAAAGAAAAAAGAACCTTTTCGTTCTTTTTTTTTTTTTTTTTTTTTTATACATGTATCTCTTTCCTTATGGTGAAGAATGATATTACCATATATTGCATATTGATCATATACTTACTTATTCTCACAAAAATAATACGCGCAAGGTATGATGATTTGAACGTAAATTCCAAAAAAAAAAAAAAAAAAAAAAAAAAAAAAGGAAATTTGGTGCAGATAGAAATGCAGTGAATTAAAAAGATAATGATAAGATGATATGTAGGGAGTAAAGATTTTTGAATGATAAATAAATGGGACCTATTGGTTTGAAGGATCGCTCGGCATTAATAACCAAAGAAGAGAAAGAGGGATAGTGATAATAAAGTGTTACCGGTGGCTCAGAGGCTTTAGCAGAGAGCAAGGATTGTTGGGTTAGTGAACGGGTATTTGGGCGGGGTTTGAGTTGATCTCGTTTGAAATAGATTAGCTGTAATTAATTTGACTTTGTGAAAACTATACTACATCCATTGGTGTAAATGGGGTTCAAATTGTACAAGAAAGGGACTGCAACCAGAGCCCAAGAGGAAAGGAGATGGAGTAAGGAAGAGGTATAAAGAGGAAAAGTAAGGAACAGAAACCTTCATGTTCATCAGGAACAAGTCAAGTAAAAAATAAAAATAAAAAATAAAAAAAAGAGACAGACGTAAGTAGATAAATGCAAGATGTCGAGTATCAAAACATGTTTACTGAAAAGAGAAAAGGAACAGGAGCAACAACTGCCTCTTTCTCTCTCTCTCTCTCTCTCTCTCTCTCTCTCTCTCTCTCTCTCTCTTTCTCATTCTGGATATCAGCTCCAAAAGCCGGAGCATGCAAGACGACACGGAAACAATAAATAGAAAAAGATGTGGCCGGATGGGTATCTGGCTCCTGGCATCACTTGGAATCTAGATTCCCTTCCTCCTAACCATAGAGAGATAAATAGACGCGACGCAACAGGGAGGTCGAAGCTGATTGGCCTGGGTCCAGATCGTCATAGAAGAGCATGCACTTCCCTAAAGACGAGCTTGCACCCTTCTTTGTGCATCTGCTACAAAGTTGTGTAGTGTTGCGTCTAGTGTCCCAAAAAGCACGACAATGAAACATGTATAACAAATACAGGACATCCATTTATCTATTCCATATTCCACTCCAATGTATCAGACTGTGCCATCAAATCAGAGTTGGTTTCTTTTTTTTCAAAATGTAATACTCGTCAACATACTTTAATTTTCTAGACATAATAATCCGTCCTTCTACAAAAAAGAAAGCATCAACAAGGCCAAAACAGAATGTCGATTACAGAGGAGTGCTTTATTGTTTAACAATACTTGTAGAAAAAAAAAAATCAACCATGTCCATACATGCCGTTATGTTGTTGTTGCTGTTGCTGTTGCTGTTGTTGTTGCATCAGTTGATTCTCCATCTCTCGTCTTGTACGCTCTGCCCTCTTAAGTTCAAACACCTGGTCCATTGCCTCTTTGAAGCACTGTACATTGTAGTCGATCAATCCTTGCTTCTCAAATGTCTCTGCCCTCAACAAACAGATCAAAGCTAGGTACTTGTTCACCTCCCGCAAGTACAGCACCGTGCCATTACCCATCTTGATCACAGAGAAAGCCTCATGGTTTCCACTTGTTTGCTGTGTTGGTTGGTTATTCAGTGACCCCGCACGACTACTGATACTAGCAACAGCCTGTGAGCTTGAATCATTGCCACTGATCTGTTGGTGATTGTTGCCCTGTCTTCCGTTCGAACTCTCATAGTCATTATGACCATCCTGTTGCTGTGTCCAATCATCGTGTGCATCATGTTGATCCTCAAGATATCCTTGACTCTTGGCTCCAATAGCCGCTCGTCCGTATATAGATGAAATATCAATAATCACATCAATCATATCGCTACAAATCTCATAAGACTGGGAGTCCACAGGTGATGAGTCTGTAGCAATGTAAATTTTGGAGATCACATCAAACAAAAATGCCTTTTCAATCCCTGAATTCTATTTTTTTTTTTTTTTTTTTTTTTTTTTGACAAAAAAAAAAAAAAGGCGTACAATTAAAAAGAGGTTTAGTGTCTGCAATTTTTCATTATATGCATATACTTTCTAAAAAAAAAAAAAAAAAAAAAAAAAAAAATTCATGAAAAATATGCATACCGCACAGAGAATGTTTAATAGGTTTTCGAGGGTGGGTAACTGTGGGATGAGTTTCTGGATAACTTTAGAGAATGCCTCAAAGATCGAATGGTCGTAAATGGACGTCAAGTAAAATGCCAATTGGACATTCTCCAGGCCAGCATCAGCCAATTCATCTGTTGTCGTCTGTTGAATATCTCTTTGTGTATCTAAATGTCATGAAGAAAAAAAAAAAAAAAAAAAAAAAAAGCTATTTAGATGTAGCCCACACCTACATCATGATTTTTAACAGACAAAAGCTTGACCTCTCACCAATTTTGTAATCTTCGGATAGACCATCAACTTTGTGGATAAAGACTTCAAATGTAATGCTGGGGTTGACACGGTAGGCTGCTACAACAGTCGCATGTAGCTTTGCCAATGCTTCCATATAGTCGTCCTGTTTAAAAAGAGAGGTACATGTTAGCAAATCAACGTTTCATGTGAGCCTCTCATAACGCAAGTAAAAAACGGTTGTAGCAACTATCCAGAAAGCTCAGGAAGTTTCCAGCATACTTGAGAGTCAATAACGAAAACCAATGCGCCAACTTCCCCAAAGATAGCTGTTGTATCGAAAGTAGGGTCGAAAAAGTCCATTTGGCCAGGAAAATCCCAAACTTGAAAGTCTATGAATGAACTAAAAAAAAAAAAAAAAAAAAAAAAAAAAAAGACGCCCCACGTTGGTCAACACTATTGTGTTTCTAGATCCAAGGTATCAAAAAGAGGGAAAAAAAAAAAAAAAAAAAAAAAAAAAAGGCGTGTTGATATTGTTAACGTACTGAATATTGTCCTTATTGATCTTTGAGGTGCTTTCCAAGAACAAAGTTTCTGTAGGTGACATCTTGTGGAAAACGACGCGTTGGATACTCGACTTTCCACTCCTAAGTACGAATTAACTTTCAATTAATAAAGAGATAGTCTAACATCCCATTAAATACAGTTCAAAAAAAGAGAGTATGATAAGATGACATACCGCCTTAATCCCATCAGCATAAGTCTTGGCCGCGACTCGCGATCCTCATCTGCCAAATCATCACCATAGCTATTTGAACACACGTATCGGTTATTAATAAGATCAGGGTATAAACCCAATATGAAAAGTAAATTGAACCCAGAACATGAGGCTTGACAAGGGATAAACTTGATAATAAACTCCCACTCTTCTCTAAACAATATCAAAATGTCTACTCACATTGGGTCGTTATCGCCATAATCAGAATACTGAAAATTGATTGAATAAGGAAACCAAGTAAAAAAAGATAGAAATGAAACAGTGAGCAAGCATAGTTTGTTCTGAGGGCCGAAATCAATGACAATAACAAATGGGGTGCCTCAGTCTTGAGGATGAAGAGTATAGGAAAAAAAAAAAAAAAAAAAAAAAGAAAAAAAAAAAAAAGTATAAATGACATCAACCACATACCGACATGGTCGTGTTTTTTTTTTTTTTTTTTTTTTTTTCTTCTTTTTTCTTTTTGGTTCTTTGAAACTATTGGATTGAGGTTATCCTAGAGGAGAATGAGCGTGATAGCGGAGGTAAATGCGCGTGCAGTGCAATTTGAAGGATGAATGGAAAGCAGAAAGATGGAGCTACAGAAACTGTCCCATGGTCCTGAATTTTTTTTTTTTAAAGTTGGTCCCGTGACAAGCCACATTTTTATTAAATCATACAACATTTAACATGGCGCCTGGTTTTTTAGTCAAACTTGCTGTACTTGACCACCACATACGGCAAAACACCCCACTTCCACTCCATTGATGGCTTACGGCCCAAGTTCTCTGCCCGCTGATAGCAGACCAACAACGTGACTAGATAGGAGCTCAACGAAGCACCCACATGCCAGATTGCATGTAACTGTGGGTTCACTGGCAAACTCTGCATTATATCACACATACGAAAGTCAATATTCCAGAAAATATACGATACGAGTGCTGTCATGGCCGTAAGGACCCACAACCGCTTAATGGACAAGTCCTGGATGCTTCCATAAATCTTAATGATATGAGACATCACCACCAGGACTACAAATGCAAACGATGACTGAAAGACGATAAACTCGAGCAAATGATTCTCGGGGCCTGCAATGAGCATCACCACAGTCGTTAAGAGACCATAGAGTGCAATACTGATTGGAAACCATGTCCCATAACGACGATAAGATCGATCTTCGATGCAGCAGTAAGCGAGGGATAGGATCGAATAGACCATCGGTAACTCATCCAACATTTGCAAAGGAAACAACAGTGTGCCATGGAATGCAATTGATCCGAGCCCAACAACCGCAATTGATCCAAATGTAATCAAGAACCGCTTCTCGAAGCTTGAATGGAGATATACGCCCACAAGTCCGACCAGGATCATGGAGAAAGACGAAATCGAGTTGAAGAACTCGGCCACATAGAAGCTGACATCATAATTGCTCTCACACCAATCTATTTCAAACAATCATCCAAGAAAGAGGAGCAAGCAGGTTATGGATGATGCGCTTTGTGGTAGGCTCCCTATATACATGTATATGTTTATGCAAGTGTACTCCGCCCCTTGCCCCCCAGCCCTGTCCTTACTCTTGCTCCTGGCCCTACCCCTCCCCTGCCCCCGCTCCCATTTCTCCTTTATAAAAAAAAAAAAAAAAAATAGAAGGAGCCATCTCAGCAACATGAAAGCTTGTTATTAAAAGTAAACGGGCTTTGAGAGTATGTCTGATCCCACATTGCCATTATCAATCTTATTTCGTTTAATATGTCCCAAGCCAATCCTGCGTTCCCTAGGAGCAATGACATTTTCACGCTTTTTTTTTTTTTTTTTTCGTGGTTGTTCCTGTTCCTTATTCAAACTGGAATTATTTTTTATGATCGCGCGCGCACTTACCAACTATAAAAAAAAAAAAAAAAAAAAAGGAAAAATAGGGGGAAGGTCATTCATGTTAGCGAATTTAGTCATTCAACTTTCACACTTACTCATGAGTTCATGCTGTGTAAAAACATTCATTCATTTCATTTTGGTGACAACGTTCATGGACAGAGTTCAAGTGTTATCAGGGCGAAGCAATCGAAAGTCTCTTTGTGAAACCCTCTGATGTACAAAATTTTCTTTTTTGAACAAAATCATTAGAGACGAACCTGAAGATGTAGGTGGACCCCAATAACCAACTGGTAGTAAGGAGTTCCCCCAAGTTGAATTGAGATAGGAATTATATTCAGGCGAGGACGTGATCATTCCTGTAAGGTAAAACAAAGATCAATAAAATAAAATGAATCAAAGAGGCGACTCTTTGTAATGAGAGCTAAAGGCAAACTGAAAAGAGACGGTGAGGAACAAGAGGAAGGCGAAGAAAGAGGAAGATAATATATTGATAATGGTAATGATAGGAATAACTGTGATGATGAGGAGAATAGCGATGAGGAAGTGAGAAAACTTTGTTTGAATGATGTGCCAAGAAAAAAAAAAAAAAAAAAAAGAAAAAAAAAGGCGATGGTGGATCAATGTCCTTTAATAATACCACGGCGTATTGATCTCATGGCCCACGATTCATGGTTCATGGGTCATGGCCCATTGTCCGAGGCTCTGTTTACCTGTGCCCTTGTCATATCCCGCCGCTGATCAGGCACATTCAACTCATGCGCACAACTTTTAGGAAATAAATTTCTAATTTCATGCTATTCCCGCTGCATTTCTCCACAAATAATTATAAATTATAGACGATCTCCGCAGTCGAAGGCGCGATAAAGTATCCGCTATTTGCTTTCAATGGAGTCGATGAAGCGAAGCACTGGAGTGAAAAGGAGCCATCCTAGTTTGTATGATGTTTGTTCAGAATAGCATGGGTCATCCATTGACCCGTGCACTATAATAATCAATGGTGGAAAAACTATGCAGCCTGTCTTTAATCTTGTCCTCCATTGTTTTTTATTCCCTCAAAGAATATAAGGTAAAAATAAAAAATAAGAAATAAGAAATAAGAAATAAAAATAAAATAAAAATAAAATAAAAAATAAAAAATGAAGGCCCCATTTAAACCCCTCATGGATCTGGTCCTAGCTCAGGATAATATTTCCTTTTTGTACAGGTACATTCCCTCCACCTTGCTTTTTGAGATGTAAAAGAAAGCGCAGCCATTGTCGCTTGTGAGAGCACAAGCAAAAAATAATTAGCAAATGTGAGAGCAAAACAAATTTATCGCAGCGTTGACGTAGGATCAAACCCTAATGTTTTTCCTTATGGCTCCAAGTCAAGGCTCTAGGACAACAGCACACGAAGTCCACATGTCCCTTCCGTCATTCGTTTCTCCGAGCAAACAAATTTAGTAATCTCTTCCCTTCTCGCATCCCAATCGTACTCAGTTGCTCTTCTTAACAGAAGGTTGGTTACCTGCATACCACGTTTTTTTTTTTTTTTTTTTTTTTTTTTTTTTTTTCCACAATTAATAATATATATAAATATATAATGTATACTATATAATAAATATATATTTGCTGCTTTATTTTATTTTTATAATCTTCTACACTTTCAATCTATCAACCTGTCCACCAAAGCTTATGCATGGGAATGGCTTCCGCAGCATTCCTTCTTCTCATTCACCTCCGAGTCAGCAGCAAGATCGACCTTGAAGCTGGCCGCCTTTGGCACCAAACCTATAAAAAAAATACAATGTATATGGCTATTAATGAGGATCATAGGAATTAAAGCCACATCATACTAGGAAAGTAATAAAATTACAACAACATCCTTACCGAGGGTTTCAAACATCTGCTGATCGGCATTGAACTCATTGTTGGGTGTTGTCAAGAGTTTATCTCCAGTGAAGATTGAATTAGCACCAGCCATGAAGCAGAGAGCCTGTTCAGGCTGTGTGAAACGAACTCTTCCAGCTGAGAGACGGATCATAGTCTTGGGCATGACAATGCGAGCGGTGGCAATCATACGAACCATATCCCAGACCTTGACAGGCTCCTGTTTCTCTAATGGTGTGCCCTCGACAGCCAAAAGTGCATTTACAGGAACACTTTCAGGATGTGAAGGCATGGTTGAGAGCGTATGAAGCATTCCTACACGATCTGTGTCTGTCTCTCCAAGGCCAATGATGCCTCCAGAGCATACAGAAATGCCGGCTTCACGGACCTTGGAGATAGTCTCAAGACGCTCATCATAAGAACGAGTTGTGATGATCTTGGGGTAATACTCTCTTGAGGTGTCGAGGTTGTGGTTGTATGCAGTCAGTCCGGCCTCTTTCAATTGGTTTGCCTGATCATCGTTCAACATACCCAATGTACAGCACACCTCCATGTCCATAGCTCTGTATGACACATACATTTTTTTTAAAAAAAATAAATAAAATAAAAAATTAAATAAAAAAATTGGGATTAACTTTACAGCATCCGAGACAGCCAATCTAAAAAAAAAAAAAAAAAAAAAAAAAAAAGGACGAGATAGTCTAATGGGTATACTGTTACCTGATCTCCTTGACAAATCCAACAATCTTCTTAAAGTTACTCTTGCGTCCAGCCAAATCTCTCCAAGCAGCGCCCATGCAAAAACGTGTTGATCCTGCAGCCTTGGCAGCACGGGCGGCCTTGAGGACTTCGTCCGTGTCAAGCATCTTTTGAGCCTTGACAGAGGTAGAGTAGCTTGAAGACTGTGGGCAGTACTTGCAATCCTCGCTGCATCCTCCTGTCTTGATACTCAAAAGAGTGCATTGCTGCACAGCCAAGGGATCAAAGTGTAGGCGATGGACATTAGCCTACACACAAATGTTGGAATTGTATCATTGAGACAAACATGTTAGTATGTACAATTCTTTCTTTAGAATGTCATATCATATATAAATAGATAATGAGACAAGTAGCAGTGGCCAAATCCGAGGCAGAGTGTTGATAGAATCGATAGCAATAGGTTTGACGGGAGAATCGGAAGCATATGTGAAGTTATAGATCAGAAAAAAAACCCCGTCAAAATTGATATTTGATGGGGCAATTGATAAAAAAATGTAGGGTGACTGATCCTCAGTATGCTCTGCTCTCTCCTTAATCGCGTGAAACGCGTAAGCACAAATCTTTTTTCTCTGCTCCCAAGAGAGGAAATTAAATATCTTCCCCAGATCTTCCCTTAGGAAGAATGGATGCAAAGTATAAAAAAATAAAAGAAGATATAAAAAAGGAAAAGACAGGGTCGCAGTATTTGACGGTTCGGCTTTCTATACACACTTTGAAGTGACAAAAAAAAAAAAAAAAAAAAAAAAAAAAAAATCAAAGTATCAATTGAATAATACCGAAGTAGAGCTTGTTTCGGTAACTTACTCCATGATAAAGCAATTCCATAATGGGTGAATGGTAAATGGCTTCAATCTCTTCCTTCTTCCAATCATAACGTAATTCGCCATGAGCATTCATCGCAGCAGCAGAAAGTTCGCGTCCATAGACCATCTGCTTCTGAGCCCTGGGACTCTCGTCAATCGTTGCGAATTTAGTAGGTGTAGAAGCAACGGTGTAAGAAGCGCGACTCAGCTGAAGGGCAGCATTCTTTGCAGAAGAGATCTTGATGGCTCTAGAGGACAAGGAGCGTAATGAGACAAATGACATTGTGTCTGTTAGATTATGTTGTGCGTGAGAGAAAAGAGAGTGGAGAGGATAAAGAAGTGGAGGAGAAAAAAACTGACGAGTTAAATCATACCATCAATATCATACCAGTAAAAAAAAAAAAAAAAAAAAAAAGCTAGAATGATATTTCGGGACCTCAAAAAATGAGGGGCAGAAGATTAAAAAATTATTCCTCTCACACACCATATACACCCAACAGCCTCTTGGTGATCTAATTATTGAAAATTGAAAATGTAAATCTCTTACTCATCTCGCACCTCATACACACAAACAAACAGGAAGAAGAGCAGTATCAAAAATCACTTTTCTTATAATACAATATCTCAATTTTCAATTTTTTTTTTTACAGTGGTTGGTTTTATTCGGTTGTCAGATCCGAACTTTATTCTCCTGGGTCTCGATTCACTCCTACATGTATCGTGTCTTTTACAATGCATCCGATCTATCACCACTAGATCAAAATTTATACATGTACCAAAGACCTCAAAGAGAAAGGCTCGGATAGTATCCTTGGCGATGCAAGGGTAATGACGCACTGGCATACAAAGAACTACATGTGTTCATATTGATTCCCATCATTCACAGAGTCCGAAGTTAAAGCCACTCGCCTTTTTGCTCAACTAACCCCGCATCCCCGCATTCATTCTCCAATCTCGTTGAAATTATTCTCACGGTTAGTCTGTATAATAATTCAAATTTTATTTTTACTTTTTTTTTTTTTTTTTTTTTTTTTTTTTTTTCACAAGATCTGTTAAATCCTTGCTGGTTCTTGCTTGAACTGGAAATACAGATCATTTGCTCATCTGCCTTTCTCTTAGAAATCAAGTAAACTACTATTGGATGTTGTTACTTTTCCCGACAGAGATCCATGGCCGTGTCCATGTCCATGAACATGTTGATGTCCACTGCTATCAGGTCCTTCTGTGCTGCAGCTTGAAGTGACCGCTCCTTGGATCCCAACCGGAGGAAGCCCCATCATTTTACGTGCCATTCCGCTTGCTCCTGGTACAGAATGTATATCAACCTTTCCACGGGCATTAATAGTATTATTATTATTATTATTGCTGCTACTACTACTGCTCCCGCTATTGTTGCTATTGACATTACTTCCACCTAATGGCTTCCTAAGAGATCCGGATGATGCCCCAACATCTCGCCTAGAAAATGAGGATGGTGTTGAGGATGAAGTAGCACTGGATCCTGTCTTTCGATCTGATAACGATCCCGCAGATGACGATGGTTCCGCTGACGTTCTCCTCTGTCCCACACCGCCTTCGGGGGGCAAATGGAACGTCTCAATAGTGAACCGCTTTCTTCGCACCTTGAATCCCAAGTTATTGACTCCTTTACTCGAGCCTCCACTGCGTCCACTCCCTCCACTTTGTCCACCCGAGCCCTTAGCAGAGCCATTGAGCAGAACTGATAGCTTCGTGGAGGAAGAAACTAGAGCATTGAGAACAGGAACTTTGTGTACATGAAATAGACCATGATAATCCGATGCCGCTGATGATGCATTGGTTAAAGCACCCGCAAAAGACTCAATCCGAACAGAAGCATCACAGAGCTGCTCGAGACGATGAATGTATGGCGAAGTGGTGGAGCCATCCGTAGCATGTCTCTGATCAACAGTGCCATACAGATGTGCAGGGATCGTAATAACCGCAGCACCAAAACTAAACCGTAAAAGGCCACGCAAAGCATGCAAAAACTTGTAAAGATCCTGGAGAATCATATAAGAAAGAAATGGTTAGTTTCATACATGAGCCAAATGAAGGCTATATTTTTTTTCTTTTTTTTTTTAGAATGCTTAAATATACCTGTGGTGTTTTACTTCTCCAGCTTGGAGATGCAATCGAGTTGATTCCAATCCTGCAAACATGTCGCCCGGATAGATTGACAGCTCCAGGCGCTGGCAATGGCGCCAAGGGGTCCTTGACAAGCGTAGTACTGAATCCTCCATTGACGACTGTCTCTCTAATCTTGTCAAGCACATTTCGATACAAATCAGGCTGATTACTGACTATTTCGGCAGCTGATGGATTATCATCCTCATTTTCATTTTCACTATCGTCCAGATCACTCCCTGCTATTTCCTGGTTATTGACGCTGATATGTCTTAATAGATCTCCAGAATCAATCAGCGTCGTGTCGGCGGTCTCCAATGCCCTAGCTGAAATGCGTGTCGTGAGATCAAACTGTTCACAAAACGGGATTTGGTTTGGCGTTGGGACAGACCCATCTGAAGAGGATGGCTCTTTGTTAACACGCGACGATATGACTAGTAATATAATAATTGCTCCATAGTTTGAGTGTTAGGCTGTTGATTTAACTTTTTTTTTTTTTTTTTTTTTTTTTTTTTTCCCCCATTTCTAAATAGTGAAAATACCTGGCAGAGAGCGGCCATCAACCCCGCTTTCAAACTTTTTTAATCCGCTATATCTCCATGCGATCTTAAGTCTTCCTTGCTCTGAATCTTCGTCATCTTCATCCTCAGCAGATGCTCCTGATTTTTTAACCCTGCGGTTGTCCCCCTTCGCCTCATTGTCATCACGACTATCAACTCCTTGCTGCACCTGGCTTGAGGAACTCTCCTCACCGGCGATCCCCATCAATGACCTCATTATTGCCTCTGGACGCTCATCACCGCTCACAACCACGCATTTGTCGCCAGCCACGACTCCTTGTCTTAAAAAATATTTGAGTAGTAATTGGCCGTAGGATGTCTGGCGATCCTCTTGGACCAGGAGGATTGTCCCTAAAGGAAGTCCTCCCCCAAGAATATCATCTAACGAAGGAATCCCAGTCGAAATAAGAACTTGTCCATTATAGGCAGAAAGACGGCAGCCCGCTGGAAGACTGGTTTGAGCTGACGGCACACGCTTCTTGAAAGAGCTCATATTTTAGCTATTAACAACCCTCCGCTTATAATCGTAAATGTATTCACAGGCTTTTTTTATTATTGTTATTTTGCCTTTTGAATGTCCAGATGGATACATTAGCAATGAATGAGAATGTAAGAATGGCAGAGTGATCGCGGTTTTGTTGTTTCATCCCACCGTCACACCGTTCAGACTGCGCCACTGTGCATAATTAAATTATGTATATACTAATTGTTCTGTCCATTCTTCTTTGCACGACTGCGCTTGCCTACTGCTCTCCCACGACCCCTTCGTGAGTCATGCATACTAACGTGAACAGGCTCTGGCTCTACTTCATATGGAAAGGTGCCTAGGATTTGGTCTGGAGTGCCGACCCACTGCAGCTGCAGGTCGTCGTCATTTAACCCTGCTCCTCCAGCTCCACTGATGTCTGTGTTATTCTCGTTCAATAGCTGTGGCGAGCTTTGGTGAGCTGCATGTAGATCATATTGGCCTTTTGATACAGCTGTTCCTCCCTTAGTGACCCCCTTATTCTCTTTAATAGAGTCATGCGATAGATTAGACTCATCGAATCCCTCCTCTACCGCCTTGTAGATATTGGCGTTAATATCAGACCTCTTATGTCCCAGGATATACTGGCCTGGCCTAAGTTGTATTAACTTTCCGATGACATAATGGATTGATCGCATATTAGGCTTAATCCAATCTTGAATTTCACGCTCTTGCACGCGCAATGTACTTGCATCCACAATCGATATCGCAGGCAAGTCACTAAACGTTGCGCCTAACGGATTCTCTGGATTTGAGCTATGTGCTGAGTCAATGCTCTTTGGGTCCATATACCGTACAAATTGGTTTTTAGAAACATCTACGCGTCCTAGAGCGACAAGCCGATCATCACGAATCCATGTTGCCATCCACCAACCGGCCATAGTTGATTTACTTGGAAGAGACAGGCCAATCTCTGGCGCATAATCTAAAATAGATTTAAGGACTACCTGCCTACATGGCGCCTGCAAATTAATGGATGGACAAGAATGTTAGGAAGATGACAAAGAAAAGGAGGAAAAGTGCACATGTGTACAGGGGCTATCTTACTGTATTATCGAGATATCCGTGGATGCGGCTTCGGATCAGGATTCTCGTATCTCCAAATGTCCAAAGTGAATAGTCAAATCCGTCATTGGCATATTCATCGGAAGAAACTGCACCAGCCTGACTCCCCAAAACACCCTCTTCCTCATCATCAATATCCATGTTCATATCCTTATCCTCATCTTTATCCTTATTTTCATCTTTATCCTCTCTCCCCGTCATCATCTTTGAATGATTTTGCTCTGCATCCCCAGCGTTAGCAGGGTTTTTAAGTGATCCTTTGTCTGCCTGTTGGGACGAGATAGGAGGCGTCGATTCACTATGATCCAGTGGCACTGTGGGCCCATGCTCTAAAGCTATTTTTCCAGCATTCTCGCTGCGATCCTGTTCTGAAGAAGTTGAAGAGGGAAGTGTGATATGCTCCTTCAGAGGTGATGAAAGAATAGCAGCGTCTGTTGATGAAGTAGCTATCAAAGAAAGCTTTTTAAGTGCACCGTTGTAAAATGCTTGGGTCATCTCTAACGCTGACATCCGTTTGCGAATCAATGGCTTGTCGACATAAACCCGCTTCTGCATCACTCCTAATTACAAAAAAAAACACTGCCAGTATTAATCAACGAATGACCCATTGCCCCTGCAAGGGTACAGAAAGCCCTTACGACATTATTAGGTTCCCCACTACCTTCGTGATCTTCCTCGAGTACAACTTTCACAGGGATCTCCCATTCGGACGCAAGGCTAGGCAAGGTCTCCGCCAGTGTCACTAATGCACTTGCAGCAAATGCAATATGGATATTTTGCTCCTTGACAAAGTGCTTAATGGTTGGATCCTTGGATACTGATGGTGCAGGAGATGTGCTTGGTAGGTGGATGCGTCTGTTATCCCGCAGTCCATTCGATGCTTTTTGGGAAGTCGACGACTCTCCAGACTGACTCCAATACCGGCCATTGATATCAATTGACTTTTCATATGGTACTCCATTCTCATCTGTAGGCCAGATTGGCTTTGCTAAAGAAACTGGGCAAACTTTCCCTGTCCTCTTCAAAAGCCCGCGAGGGTGTGGTTCTTCTACTGAATTGCTCTGTGGTTTGTCCAGCCCTCCTGGTGGCGCGATCACATTTGCCTTTTTCCTGCTCAAAGTAGGCTCCTTCACTGAAGGTACACCAGGAAGCCGCAACCCAATGGACTGAATAAAGTCGTAGCGTCGAGGATATTCTTCTAGTACTCTCCTCCTTGCACGTAGGAACTTTGTCTCCAATGCAGCCTGGATAGCCACATTTGAATAGCTAGCGATCCTGGCCCTCACGGTCTCAGCGTTCCATTGACGCACACTCTGCCGCTCTTGATTCACCCTCTCTTGTAGAGAAGTCCAGAGCTCTCGATCTTCCGATCCTAATTGCAATACACCCCCATGCTTATGCAATCCACGGATAATACTATCATACATTATGTACCGGCAGTGTTCCTCGCGTGTCAAAGTCGAACGGTGTTCGTGTGAATAAATACATGGGTGGTAAAACCGATCCTTAGGAGGCAACATTTGTAAAAGCCCTGGCTGCTCTGGTTGCTGTGGTTTTTGCTGTTGAAATTCACTATTAGCTTGTTTTGGATCAGTACTGTGGAAAACCGAGGCAATCTCAGGAACGTATGACGAGACAGACGCCATCAAATCAATAATGTCAAATTTGCCTGTGGTTGAGGCCACTAACTCCGAAGAAGATGTAATCTTTTGATCTGGCCCATTATCTATCTTTAGAGTGGAGCCCGTTGGCTTAGTCGTATTGCTATACAATATGCCTTCGTTCGATATTGATGGCCTTATCCACTTTGAAGCCCTCTGCTTCTTTGTGGAAGTGTCACCCTCAACATCAGTGTGTGGCATGGGTCTAGATGGTTGTATCTCTTGAAACTGACGCTTCTTTTGTATAAACTGCTCAGTTAATCTCCCTATGCCGCCAACCGAAAGTTTGTTATAATGCTCTTCACTGAAAAATACTTTAGCATGCGAAGTTGAAACAGTGGCTTCGTTTACGGTTCCAGGCATTGGTTCGCTAGTATCTCCTGGTAGCTTTAGATCCTGAATTATGTTGATACCATTAGTAATACTTTGATCATCTTGACTACCAGAGCCCGCTAATTCAACCTGCGAACCCTTGTTGCTGTGTTTGTCCATGGTTTCATTCGCCATATTGCCTATTGTTTGCGTATCCGCACTGTCTTGCTCCGTTGCGACAAAAGGTTGATCAGATTGCAATTGTGATGCTCCATTAGAGTCGTGATCAACGTGCTCGACCTGATCTACATGGCCTGATTCATTTTTCTCGGATTGCGATTCATTCTTATAATCATGGCTGTTTTCATTATTGCTATTGTCGGCTGCATCAATAGAGCTCAAGGCCTCATGGGATATCTTTGAACCATTTTTGCGATTAGCACGCGTGCGGCCCTGTCCTCGACCTCGCACCCGACCTCGTGTTGTAGCAGATGATTTTGTGGTGACTGAAGCGTTCGTTGTGGATGTTGTTGTAGCAACAGTGCTCGAACGACGGGTGACCCTTCTCTCCATGCGGACCTTATTATTATTATTATTACTATTATTATTATTGAGAATAAAGGAATAGTTCTCAAAAATATACGAATAATAAAACTATAGAAATCTTTAATGTGGCTTATGGCCCATATAATGGGCAAAGTTGTCGAAAAAGCTACATTTTATTGGCGAACATACGAAAGGAAGAGAACTTTGTGAACGCAAACGAATGAAGGGATATGGAAAAAGCGTTAAAAAGAATAGCTATAATCGCCTAAATTTTTTTACAGGTCATCGTCTTCCTCAGGGAGAGGCATCTGTGCAGCACTGTCCAATTCCTGCTTGTACTGTTGCATAAGGGTAGCATCGACTGCAACCTCAGCGGGAGCCAAAGCAGGGGAGGCTACAAACTCCAGTGAATGGTGACCGGAAAGCTTACGAGCCAACCAGAGGAAAGGCTTCTCAAAGTTGTAGTTGCTCTTGGCCGAGATATCATAGTACTGAAGAGACTTCTTGCGGTGGAAATCAATAGCTTTGGGCTTGACCTTGCGCTCCTTGATATCGACCTTGTTACCGCAGAGAACAATGGGGATGTTCTCACAGACACGAACGAGATCACGGTGCCAGTTAGGGACGTTCTTGTATGTAATTCTGGAGGTGAGATCGAACATGATAATACCACATTGTCCATTGATACTGCATAAAAAAAGAAAGAAGATTGACGCCGCGCATCTGTGTTAAGTTTACCATTACTGTCACAATTAAATATACGCGGCAAGCTTACGACATAGTAGCGTCTCAATGAATGAATCACATACTAGTAACCATCACGAAGACCACCAAACTTCTCTTGTCCAGCAGTGTCCCAGGTGTTGAAGATAATCTCACCAAAGTTAGTGCTGAATCTCAAAGGATGGACCTCGACACCCAATGTGGCTATTCAAAAAGAAGGTCAAAAAAGGCATATTAGCACCAAGTTCTGTTTCCTTTACACAAAAAAACTGAACTGGTTTCGACGACATATATTGACATTGGCTGCTGAATGGAAAGACTGACGGTTCAGCAAATGCCATGTTAAACATTGGAACACTGTCGATAAATATCGTGATCTGTGTTGACTGTGATACAAATATCATGAAGATCCAATCGTTTAAGCTGCTATATGGTGTAGCAGCAGCTTAAATGGGAACAAACAGACCATAATAAAAGATAAAAAAGACATGCAATATTGAGGGATACTCTTGAAATTCCAAAGTGATGACCAGCTTTTATGTATTAATGCGCTGTAACTGAGTAAACGGTGAATTCCTGCTAATTCTGCCAATATCGCGTCATCCAGCAGAATATAACAATAGTAATTTAGACCGATCAAAATAATTCCACAGATGGAGAATGTGCGGAAAAGAGTGGTTAACAATTGTAGTGAGTCTTTACCGATGTACTTCTTCTCAAATTCGCCAGTCAAATGGCGCTTAACGAAGGTAGTCTTTCCCGTACCGCCATCACCAACTAACAAAGAGTCATAACAAATAGAAAATAAAAATCAGAATGTGGTTAAGTTGGATCCGACAGTTAAAGAAGCAATGCTCGTTCTGCTTAAAAACTGATTTCCTTGATCCTAGAATAAAAACGAAGATTGAATAATTATTTACCGAGGACGAGCTTAAAAGTAGGAGTCTCAGCCATGTCTAGTATTTGTAGGAAAGGGATATGGTAGGGAAAGAGAGAGAGAGAAAGAATGTGGTTGAGGTTGGAAACAAAAAGAAATCGGGCCAAATACGTCACTGTACATTAAAAACAGCATTTGTAACTTGAGACAGCCATGGGTTTTACCTCTAGTCTCAGGCCTTTATCCTGGGAAGAATGATGATTCATCCATTGGCTGCGCACAGCCCCATATGCCATCATTTTATTGCGCCCACACCATGTTCCAACTATGAATATTATGAGCCCTGTGTTCCATCTACTATAACTTTTTTACAGCACTATCGCCACGAGTACTGGCACTAGTAGCTTATATCCAAAGTAACTTGATCGAGGTTTTTCTGGTCAAATGTTTATTTTGTTTTATTCTTTTGCAAATCAGCACCATCCACTTGCATGCATATTTATTCCATCAACCTTTTGCTACTTTATTAGTCATCCAAAACATTTGTAACCAATTACGTGCGAACAATCCTCTTCCTTCTTCTGATCCTTCGCCGATGCTGATTCATTAGCTCTTGGTACCCAAGCGTCTGCTTTTTTTCAACAAACATCTGCATTGCCCACACATACAACTTGATTACTGTCATTGATTCAGCATAATCCTCAGCTTTCTCTTTTCCTTCCATCTAATTGTTTTCCTTATAACGGTCCTTAGTCATGGTATTCGTTAACGGTCAAAAGTTTGCATGGTAAAACTTTAATACCCCTTATTACAGCAATGTTTGTTCGCTTTATGGTCCTCCTAATTAGATGCATGTCTTTCCCCTGTTTTACATAGTGCTACATGCATCAAGGGACATCGTTCAACAACATGCAATCATGAGTATGAACAAAAGTGTATTAAGAAGTCATTTGTCGTCAAGATCAGACTCTAAACGTGCCACTTATAGCAACAGCTATTTCGTTTCATAGTGAACGACCATTACACGAGGTTAAAAAGAAAGGTCGTCCTTCAACTCAGTGCCTCCATTGCAAAGAGCTACGCAAGGCAAAGCAAGTCAGCGTTCGTTGCCTTTGTGGCAAAGAAGATGGTATGCTTAAATACAATAGGGATTTGATATAAGATTATGCGAAAAATATATACTAGCTTGTCTTTAACTCTGTTGGCGTAACTTGTAACTCTGCTATAGAATCCTCTCGGGCTGCTTCCATGGAAGATGAAGGTTTAAGTATCACAGGAGGTAAAGCGATTGTTCATCATATCCCAAACTACTAATTAAATATATGGATGGATATACCCTTATACAACCTCTATTTATGGTTTTACATAACATACAGGCAACTGTGGGTGTCTTGAAGGTTCAGTCTGCACCTGTTGTCGAGACCGTGCGGGACACGTAGTTTCAAAACCCGGTAAAAATTCGACTCGGCACGCAATATTCAAGAGCTACCCTGAATTAAAACATCAACGTGGCCCAGCTTTACTTGATCTTGGAAAATCTGAAAAGGCTCTCCTTCCAAAGGATGATTCCCCTTTGACATATCTCCAGACTTTCTCAGGGATGCATATGGCACAGAGTCCAGATGGGAGTGTGAGTTCAAACTCAAGACTCAATGGCACTTTTGGTGGAATGGAAATATCCAATAACGATCCAGTTAAACTTTCGACGATGTTGGGCACAGAATTACCGGGTCGCGACCATTCACCTTTAGCTCCCTCGACTTTGGGCGGAGATCAACAGAATGAACCACATTTAAATCTTTGTTCGGACCATATGAGCTCCTCCAATGGCGATAGCAGTCACTATAACAACCTCCCGACATCAGACCTGTATTTTCCACAGACTCTGGTGAACCAATCACTCGAAAAAATTGCAGATGATAATGATTTGACTGCCTATGAGGACACCATTGGCACAAGATCAATGTCTATGGACATTCTACCAACTGAGGATCCTACTTCTTTCTACACAACCCTTCGTGGCTTCAGCGCCTCACTGCCTTCGATGGCTATGCAGTCAATGCTAACGACTGAAATGTCGGCATCAACCACAAAAAAGTCATGCTGTAATAATGTTCTTGAGACTACTACTTCTTCACCAGCACTGTCGGTCGCACTTCAGTCCACTTCTATTAACAGGAGCGATGAATGCACAAATGAAAGAGAAAACAACGGCTGTGGTTGCGCCATTTCGCCCAACATGTGTTGCTGCGGTGAGATGTGTGCTTGCCCTGGATGCCTTGCCTACCCTAATAACCATGCTCTTCTCACAGCACCCAGCTCATCAGGCCTATACTCAAACGATACCATGGTCGGCAGTAGCTCTGTTTACAAAAATATCAGTGACTCTCGCAATATCACTTCGACCCAGCCTGCATCGACTGACCGGAAAAGTCCATGTTGCAGCTCTGGCAACCCCAATACAGCCCGTATAAACACTAGTACCGGCACGCAACATGCGCTCAACCTGAGCCAAGCCTTGAGCCTTATTGAAGCAAACAGTCAAATTGCCTCAAGTATAATAGACAGCAGCGCAAGAGAAGCTTTGAGACAAGGATTGGGTATGATGAGTCAAAATGGCATGGAGCCAGTTAAGCTACAACATCCAACTTTGCTCAGCGACAACGGTATTTTGATATGTGGCTGCGGTTGTGGACGTCCTACGGTAGATTGTTCAGATTGCTTCCGAGATATGTGCGAGTTTGTGGGAGAATCTCATGCAAGAATGCTGAAGGAGGAGCTTGAATTTGAGCTGGCTATGAATCGAAATGACGGGTTCCTGGCGGATCTGAACATGAGCCTGAACATGAATATGAACATGGAGTTGAACATGGAGTTGAACATGGAGTTGAATCCTGATGCAACGCAAGCCGAAGTAAGGCCCACCGAGGCCTCATCAACGTATATTCATGTCTCTCGAGGAGAGAACCAACAACAATCAAGAAGAGAACAAGGACAAGGACAACAAGGACAAGATCATTTACAAGTAGATCGACCTCACTTACCAGATTCGTTTACTGAAAATCAAAACGAAGCAACTCATTGGCAGCAAACTGAAGAACAACAACAGCGTCAGCTCGAATTGCTGGAACAGGAACATCGATTGAGGCTTCGGTTAATGGAGCAAGAGCAGATGCAACTTTCTCAACTGCGGCCAACTTCTGCACTGAATCAGCTTCAATTGGACTTCTTGGATGATGAAGACTGGAGCTTTGTAGACGAGATTAGAATGGACGGCCCTGAACTAACGCTGCCAGGGACCCTGAAATCATGATTTAATCACAATAATGGTCTAATGGTCTATACAGCCTTGAATTAAACGCATTAGGATGCCTTGTCATATGTATTTATTCATATGATTGTTTTTATTTTTAGAAAAATATGGATCCAATGCTTTTTTTGCCCTGAGGCGCGTTATTTTTCATTAGTCTACTGATCTAGTCTACGTGTAATCTGGGCCTTTGATAGACTAAAACTCATGAAATTCCCTGTCATTATTTCACGTACACGTACGACGCATAAGAAGGGAAGGAATAAAGGGACATCAGAACACACTAGTTTAAATACTTCCTTGGATGCAATATTTCTTAGCGCATGTCCGAAATTACACCAAGTACATACCCCCTGCTGCATCCATCGTTCTGTAGCGTCTGTTCCGTTGCTCTGTATATGCTATTCTACTAGACCGTATTTTTTTGGAGTATCTGTAGGAACTCGTCCTAGCGTGAATTGCTTACACCTGGGACCCTAGAAACAACCATAATCTAGTTCTTGTGCTCGATAGCACGATGAAATGATGCCTTTCTTTGCCCCAAATGACAAGCACATATAAAAAGTCAGAACTCCCTCCACTTTTTTTTTATTTTTCAGATCATACAGCATTCACAACATTATACTCTCCAAACACTTATACATTCAACACCTAAAATCTATAACGCGACGAAAAATTCATAACTAGCAACATGAAATCCTTGTCGACCACTCTCTGCCTTGTTTTGGCTTCTGCCGTCCTAGCTTTGGCTCTAGTGACTGCTGCACCCCCCAATGCCGTCACTACCACTGCTGATGTTATTACCACAACTGAGGCTGGTGATATTCCCGAGCCCACCTCCTCTGTTTCTGAGGGCGATGGTGGTGTAACCCCTACGACCGGGCCCGTACTCCCTCCTGTGCCCTCTGCTGGCACTAGTGGTGTCGTTGTTCCTCCCGTCCCATCTGCTCCTATCGGCACTACTGGTGGTGCTGGATCATCTACTGTGAGTGCACCCATTGCAACTGGCACAAAGCCCTCGAGCGCTCAGTCCTTTACATCGCAGGCTTCGGCTCTGCTTGTGGTTACAGGAGCAGCAACTGCCATTATTGTCGGCTTTTAGACAAAAAAAATAAAGTAGAATACCCTCCATTTTGTTCAAAAGCATAAACCACCCCCTTTCTCTTCCCTAATGGACTTCTTTAGTTTAATTGAGAAATTAATAAATAAATTAACAGTGCTCTAACAGCTTTATGGTGATGCGGATAACAAAAATATTGAATTTTGCGCAGCTACTACTCACTGTGGCAAACAATTGGAGCATTCGAAAAAACGATGTCAACAAAAAGATCATTTGGCATTCCTCAAGAAATATACATAAGTTTCTCCATAGTGGTAGAGAGAAAGGGACAGAAACAAAGAAGCATTGTTCATGACTGGTGTTGGAGGATGCTATCTGATACCTGCTGGACAACTGAATCCAAGAAGCAATCTAGAACCCGAAGAACCGAGCATCACCTGGGAATTTGAGCAATATTTAAAAGGGCAAGCTATTTCTACGACTGATTACCTACAAATGCATTAACAAAAAGAAGCAACCGAACATTATCAAAGATATTTTAACTTTACAAACGATCAAAGCCTATGTTAGCCCGAGACGGTCCAGCCAAACACCCTTGCTCTATATCTGAGGTGGCTAAATGCATTATCTATTCAGATGCCCGTTCTTCTGGGCTGCAATATTGCTTAGTCTTAAAAAAAAAAAAAAAAAAAAAAAAAAAAAAGAGCTCATGCGTGAACTTGCTCGTGTCCAGCTGCCTAATGTTTTCCAAAAATATACAAATGCACTTTACACAACAGAGCCATCAAGAGTTTACCCGAAGTCAACGTTTCTATAGACCAAAGGCATATGGATGAATTCATTTTTAACACTTGCCAATAAACGGCGCATTATTAGCCATGAACGGTTGCTTATCATCATCAACAGCAACTAACAATGGCCATTGTTTCGAGCAAGACGAGCATAATAAAAAGAGAGAACCCAGCAGTTTGTCCCTCTTATTTCTTCCATATTTATTTCCTTTGCTCTTCTCCTTTCCCCTCATACGCTCAACTATACGACCGATAGGATTAACGACATTATATCACAAAGCCTCGCTTTTATCCTTCCTCTCCCTGCCTCCTTAAGATTTGCTAATCCATTTCCTTGGCCAATAACCATCTCAAACATCATTAATCTTCAATAGCGCCTAATACTCCCCTTTAATAATGGTCAAGGTTCTTTCTACTTTCGCCATCCTGTCCCTCTCTCTCTCCTTGGCCTTAGGTCATGGCCATTACAATCTTGAAAAGCGTGCTGTAGCTAAATGTAGTACTACTTACAAGCCAGTGGCCGTCAACGCATATCCAGCCTTGGACTGTACACCTTTCATTCAGGACCCTCAGGTTCAGGCTTGGCTCAAGTTGGTCGATTTCTCAAAAGTCCCTGTTTTCCCGCCATCCAAGAACGGTGTCTGCCCCACAGATTTGACTACGATCCCAAAGGATCAATGTTGGTGGACATGCCAAAAGTGTGAAGCCCCTGGTGATATCACAAGCTGTCCTAAGACTGGAACATGGGGCCTAACTTACGATGGTAAGTTTTTTTTGTTATTAATTTTGCAAGAAAAAGTAATTTTATGAGTGTGTATACATTGTGGCTATTTGCAATCATTGCAGCACAAAAAGTCTTGTCTTCCCATTACAATACACATTATATATAATCATACTCATCACGCGTTTTCAACCATTGATATCAACATACATGTAGATGGCCCCTCGCCTGACTCGCCCCGCCTGTATGACAACCTCCTGGCCCATAACCAAAAAGCGACTCTCTTTATCGTCGGGTCTCGCGCCATCAGCTTCCCCAACACTCTGAAGCGCGCCTATCAAGAAGGTCATCAAATTGCTATCCATACTTGGTCTCACCCTTCCATGACCAGTTTAACAAATGAGCAGATCGTTGCAGAACTCAAATGGACTGAGAAGGCCATTTTTGATACCATCGGAGCAACTCCACTCTATTGGCGTCCACCTTATGGTGATGTCGACAACCGTGTCCGCAGCATTGCAACCCAGCTTGGCTTTAAGACGTCTATTTGGACCCAGGGTTTTGATACTGATGATGTAAATTCCGATACATGGGTGTATTTTTAAATTCTTGATCATTTGGAGTTCATTTCTTGATATCTAACTTGGACACACCTATTTTTTTTTTTGTTGTTGTTGGATTATTACCCCTGCTTTTCCCCTGTCATAAAAAAAATAGTGGAACATTCCTGGAGGCACCGCTACCTCACAGTCAGTTGTCGACACCTTTAAGGCATGGCTGACCAAGATTCCCACCATGAGCACCGGTTTCATTGTTTTGGAACACGACTGTAAGTTTATTCATATCTTTATACTTTTCCTCTGTTGCTGTTGCTGTCGGCCTTGTTTATTTTATAAGAGGCTAACAAGCTTCTCACTGGTCCTCCAATAAACAATTCGCAGTATTTGCTCAAGAAGTAGACGTCTCTGTCAATGGTATCTTGCCTATTGCGTATTCGACCAAAGGTTTAGTGATGCAGCCTATTGCTCAATGCTTGGGTGATGGTAAGCCCTATAAGGAAGGAGTTGGTTCCTTCGTATTGCTTCCTGGCTCAAATGGGACCAATAGTAATGACAATGGCAGTGGCAGTGGTGGCAGCAACGTCACTGAACCCGCCGCCAATAATGGAAACAAAAATCCAAATGCTGCTATTTTTGCAAGCCCATCATCAGCCCTGGTGGCTGGCATTAGTATGACCGTTGCAACCCTTGTAGCCTTTTATTAAGTATATTGATTAATTAATAGAAAATGAGGATTAACACGTAGATGGATGGTTGATCACTCGTTAAAAAAAAAAACTCGGGCCATGACCCTCTAATGAAATTACGTAAAAAAAACTCGGGCCATAACTCGCTAATGAAACCACGTAAAAAAAAGGCTGTGGCTGGTCGTATAACCTTCCAAGATCGCTACTTGATACCTTGGTTTAGCAATATAGCTGGTAACTACGTACTCTGCATCTGCATCTGCACCTGTATCGGAACCATGCTCACGTACTCGTTCGAATGTCAGAAGGAAATAGCAGGAAGACTATCTTTTTTTAACATTCGGTCGATGACAACTGGTTACTGAGCAATTTTTCCGGTTCGAGTCTGTATAAACAGACGAAAAATCAAGGGAAAAGATATTTGTACGACCTTACTTTCTTTCGGGTGACTGTAGAGCGGAATAGAGCGTGAAATATATTTTGTAGATAGTAAGCAGTCGAAAAGTAAGTGAGAATAAGATATGGGTCCACACGCCACACCCATGGGTATTTATTCATTTCTGGTAGAACTTGTACCAGGTAGCTACGTATCTATCTGTAAGATGACATTGGTTCATTCTAAAAACTTCATATCAAAGATTTATCGCGTCCATGTGTGGTGCATTATTGTCACTAATTTCTACCGCTAATCTTTTTAGCGCATTAATGTTTTTTACTCCTAGCTAGGCCATTATAATATTGCATACTGTGAAATATGCAACAGAGCGCGATGAGTATCGCAGCTCCCACGGCGTTACAACTTCCAGTAGTAATAATTCCAGACTCCTCTCTACTCTAGACTCATCTTTGATTATTTCCTTCGAAATAAAAAGCTAGAATCATGTAGTCTGTAGATACATATTGCCGCTTGTAGATGAAATAAAGACCCCGGAGCAGTGTAAATAAGGTGTGTACGGGGCAGAGCAGAAAATTTATTTGCACGGGGGCCGTACAAATAACTTCATCCAATAAACTAATAAAGACCCCGTGCAAAAATCTTCACCCATGTTTCAAATGCTCCTCGATTACGTAGCGTTCCTGCATCTAGTCTCCGTTTCATTGAAGGTGGGTTGTTAACACAATTTCTCATCAACAAAAAAAGTGTCAGATTCTAAAAGAAACTCTTTGGCCGGGAATTGAACCCGGGTCTTCCGCGTGACAGGCGGAGATACTGACCACTATACTACCAAAGACGATCACATGAGTGTGACGTGGAAAGATCTGTCAATGATCCTGACGTGGAAAGATCCGTCAATAATCCCAAAGATTGACAGAAAATGAACAAAATGATAATAAAAAATTGGACGAAGTGCCAAAAGATAAATTCATAAATGGACAAAGTGCCAAAGGAAGATAATCTGACAAATAGATCACTAAAGGATCATAAATCAACAATGATAGTCCTGGAGAATGCTGCAAAATAGCATCAAAAGTGAAAAGAGGGATCTTTAATAAATACTGATAAGAACGAGCTTGACTTAGTAGTTTTGGGCAAAGCCCAATGGCTGAGTAGTATACTCGTCAGGGCACCCTCCTGTCTAGCCCAGGGGCCGGGTTCGAGTCCTGGTTAAGGCACATAAAGTGAAGCAAACATGTGCCAGGTCAGGGATTTGCTTGAGTTTTTATACTTTCTCTCCGAGACAGCCTAGTGTTCTCCGCTACTTTTACTGCGGCAGAGGAGGACTACATTTGGAAAACTCTAGAGATGCATATCGATGGTGTGCGAGAAGTACGACGCCATGGTGATAGGAACGACGGTGATGAGGAAGAGAGAGAGCACACACCAGAGTGGTCTGTGCAGGACATTTACCATGGACTTACGCCCAAGTCCATTGCTCAGAGTTGGAAAGTTGGCTTCAAGACAACAACAAGGATAGCTACATATATGGCAGGGCGCTTCGTCAAGGCCATAGAGGAATTCGGTCGTACAGAAATCTGGAACAAACGGTGTAAAGTCACCGTTGAATGGGAAAAGGCTCGCGGAATCACTGCTATGAGCAAACGCGCTAGAGGACGCAACTGTGTTGGGGAGCACAGACGTAGTAGCAATGATTTCCTTGTCCCTTCCCTCAGACAAAGACAGAAGCTGAATGTAAAAGAGATCTACAAGATCGCGGATGACCGAGTCCGGGACATTTACCTTGGGAAAGCCAAACTGGACGTGATGGAGCGGCTAGGTGGAATGAAGTTTTTGATGACTATGGATAGCGGATAATTTGTCGCGTTGCGCAACAGGCCACGTCGGAAAGGTGGACTTTGAGTACCAACCACGGCGGCCAAGGTTTATGAAATCATGGATACAGCGGCTCTTGTCGTTTGTACAGTAATAGCTGTTTATTGACTATAGTTTCTGGAGCATTTTGTTCACAGAGTGTAGAAAATAAATCCCATGACCCTGAGGGTCCTTGTTATCAAAAAAAAAAAAAAAAAAAAAAAAAAAAAAAAAACGAGCTTGACTTAGTAAAACTACAAATAATAATAAAAGTCGCTCACCTGCAAAATAGCATCAAAAGTGAAAAGAGGGATGCTGTTTTGCAAAGAAGCCAAAGTGATTTAAATACTAGGATTGATAAAGGAAATAATGATAAAAGTACTGAATGATGATGGAAATAATGAAGAAGAGGATACGTAAATAGCAGATTTACGACAAGTGACGAGTGCTTTAGCCAGATTAAGAAGACAATAAATTGAAACACGTGACTAAAGGGTGCTTGTGTATTTTGCTTAAAAAAAAAAAAAAAAAAAATTGAGTGGGCGTTTGTTTTGTTACCTGAGGGTCCTTGTTATCAAAAAAAAAAGAAAAAAAAAAAAATGGGCGTTTGTTTTGTTGGTCTGTGCAGGGCATTTATCATGGACTTACGCCCAAGTCCATTGCTCAGAGTTGGAAAGTTGGCTTCAAGACAACAACAAGGATAGCAACATATATGGCAGGGCGCTTTGTCAAGGCCATAGAAGAATTCGGCCGTACAGAAATCTGGAACAAACGGTGTAAAGTCACCTTTGAATAGGAAAAGGCTCGTGGAATCACTGCTATGAGCAAACGCGCTAGAGGACGCAACTGTGTTGGGGAGCACAGACGTAGTAGCAATGATTTCCTTGTCCCTTCCCTCAGACAAAGACAGAAGCTGAATGTAAAAGAGATCTACAAGATCGCGGATGACCAAGTCCGGGACAGTTACCTTGGGAAAACCAAACTGGACGTGATGGAGCGGCTAGGTGGAATGAAGGTTTTGATAACTATGGATGACGGATATTTTGTCGCGTTGCGCAACAGGTCGGAAAGGCGGACTTTAGGTATCAACTACGACGGTCAGGGTTTATGAAACCATGGATGCAGCCGCTTTCGACGTTTGTGTAGTATAACTTTTTATTGACTATAGTTTCTGGAGCATTTTGTTCATAGAGTGTAGATAATAAGTCCCATGGTCCTGCAGGCCCTGGTTATCAAATATTTGTATTTGATAGTTTTATTTTATTTATGGATGGATGACCCACCCTCACTTCACAATAATTTCAATTGCCTATTTACACACTATTTTCTGTATCAGCATCATCGCCATCCCTATCTTCCTCACCAAGCTTCCTGATCTTTTTAGATTTCCCATGGCCAAAGCCAAAAGCGGTTTGCTGGATGTCTTCCTTGCCGAGTTTTCGGAATTGATAGTTACCTTCCCCATCGAACCGAAGCAGGTACTCGTGGTAGCGGATTAGCGATGGACGATGTGAGACCGTGAACAGAGTGATGCCAGACTGTCGCGCGTGTTCATACATGATTCCTTCGACATCAATGCTGACTGCAGACGTGCACTCATCCAAGATAGCAAACTGAGGACGATGATAGAACAGTCGAGCCATTGCTACACGCTGCTTCTCACCACCGGAAAGACTATGTATTGATTGGGTTAATGTTATAATTAATAGGGATGACAGGGAGATGAATTGGAATACTTCAAGCCTTCGATCTATATAGCATGATTTTCCGTAATGAAGCAGGGAAAACTTACACGTCAGCCCAGTCTTGAACAGAGTCCCATCCACCTTCGCGATCAATCAAGTATCCGAGGTGAACAACGCTTAAAAGCTCAAACAACTTCGCATCCGTGAATCCTTTAGCAAGCGCCTGCTGCTTAGTATCAGGGTAAATCACCTGGTCACGGAAGGTTCCTAACGCCAGGTAAGGTTTTTGTGGGACGTAGAACAACTTGGAGGGATGGGGCTTCGTTACTGTACCACCAAACAATGGCCAGAGGTCGCCCAAAATACGGAACAGCGACGATTTTCCACAGCCTGGTTTGATTCAAAGAAAGAGAGAAAGGAGAAAAGAGGGTTAGCACCCAATATACGAAAAGTTCCACAAATTGCACCAAGTTTCCTTAACTGTTGAATCAAGAATAAAATACCATTCGGTCCGGCAATAATGACATCTGTCCCTTTAGTGACCTTGAATGACAATTCCTTCACCAAGACATCGTTGTTGGGTGTCACGATGGGCACCTTCTCAAAAATAATAACGCCATCCTGCGTAATGACCTTGCCCTTCAAGTCATTTGTATCGACACTTTGGCTCTGTGACGATGAGGTGTCATTCTTTGCTATCATGGTTCGTTCATATCGGCCCTTTTTGATATCATCTAAGACATCAAAGAGTTCTGAGACGCGCGACGTATATCCTGCAAACCGCGTAAGATCACGGCCAGCAAGGATCAGACGGCCGACTGCCTGCGAAAGATTTACGAGGTATCCGGCTAGATTTTTCACAAGGATTGTTGATGTTGTCAGCAAAAAAAAAAAAAAAAAAAAAAAAAAAAAGTATGTTTCAAGTATTGCTATCCTAATGTAAATTGAAAGTCTTACAGTTTCGAGAATAATCCTCAACAATTTTGGTAGGGTCAGCCGAAACACGGCCCATATGCTCCGTAGCTATCGGTTATTGAAAATTGTGCAGGCGAAGTTAGCAAAAGCCGAATTTAACATATTTAGTGGTGTTAGAAGGGCCAATAAATGGTGTATACCATAAGCAGGATCAAAGACGGGTCGCGCCAGTAAACTATATGACATGCAAAAAAGAAAGGGGAGAATTAGACTCAAATTAATAGTCATTAATCCCATGAGTACTAATAGCATAGTCAGCAATCATCTACGTACTAATAGGCAGTCATAGTCGCGCAGTACTTGACAAGTACTGAATCCAGGATACCATTAGCGAAGCGCATTGTGTAGACCTTTTTGACATGACGCGAAATCTAATCCAGGTTATCCAGGTTATGTTTCAAGTAATGTCATACGAAAAATTAGGAAAAGAAAACCATATTGTGTAAGTTATCGTCATAACGGCCGCCCTCTTAATATTGTTACCTTATCAAACGCGTTATTGACACCGTCCTTTTCACGTGCAGCGCCATTGTAGAATGCAATCTCCTCAGAATGAGTAATGATACGCGAATGGGCAAAGCGGAAGTCACCTTCAAGCTTTTGTTCCAAAGCGGTATCTAATAGATGGTAATAATAAAGATTAATGTCCAATATGGCGTGGAATAATGTTCATTGACCGCTTCGGTGCACGTTGACGTAAATATTAGATTCGTTCCTTACATTTGCCGAATGGCGGGGAGAGAGCACGAAGGACCACGCCTGAGAGGAAGAAATATCCAATCATGTAAAATGGAGCCTCTCCACCACTAGAGCGGGATAATTAGGAGTAAATGATTAGCAGATGTCCAGCCCTGTAGATACCACTATAGTCCAATTGCTAACAAGATAACCACATACATAGCCTCTCCTAGTTTGTAGGCGAACAGGACAATGTCAACCAAAGGTTTGGCGATATCCGAGTACAGATGACTGAGGTTATCTGCAAACTTGTCAATGTCCTGTGTAAGTAGCTGGTCTGCATTCTGAATGCGATTGTCGATGTTGGAGACCTTGTAAAACGTGATTCCATCCAAGTATTGATTATGTGCAAACTATACCATGCATTTAAAAAACAAGATGAGATATGTCGGTATTACATTATGAAAAATCGCATAAATGTTCAGCGCTTGGGCGTCACGAACCTTTGTCAAACGTTCTCTGAAAGAGAGGGCCAAGGCGCTAATCGTGAACTTGAGCGAGTTATTTACGATGCTCATGGGCCACTAGAATAATAACAGCGTGTGCGTGTACCAACGGTTAAAATTTCATAATGCCAAAAAAAAAAAAAAAAACGTTTTGTTTCAGATAAAACATATTTCAGAGTTCATACCATCATGAGACCAAACTCAATCATTGCTTTGGCTATGAACCTTTTACGATCGCGAGACACAATAGCTTTGACAACTGAACCATTGAGTCCTGAAAACCAGACATCTAACCATGTTCTATCATGGTTTGTGGTGAAGGAAGGAAGCGCTTTAGTATAAACGCGATGTAGAGTGAAGAGACAATAAATCTTACAGTGCTGTATTCATATTCAAATGGGCTTAAAATGTTGAGTGGTTGTCGAGCACATATTGGCGATAATGTTGACATTGAATTGTTTACCTAGCAATCAAGATGGTAGCAAGGGCAGCTAAGAGTCCTGCTTCTCTACTAGCCAAGCCTGGGATACAAATGGGGAGTAATTTTTTGAGTTGCTCCACAAAGTGTCTATCGACTCCGACCCGACGAGGTTTGTTACCGGCAGAGCTGTCACTAGTACTGCCAGTGGCTGTGCCAGCAGCAGCACGCTGTTGACGAGCACGCCGCTTAGCACGAGTCTGCTGGCGGCGAACAAGGATATAGGCGAGGAGAATGGAGAGGCCAGCAAGGGAAGACCTTGACTTGCGATGTAGGCCCAATGGCAGGCTTACAACAGGAGCCATGTGCAAAATCAAATAAATGAATTCAGCGAGAAACAGAGGAATGAGAGTCGAGGAGACAGAAAGGTGTCAAATCCAACTCAGCCGAAGTTAAAGAAGAAAGTCATCAAGTCATCTGGCCATCCAGTCATCTTTGAAAGGAAGCCACCAGTCGCGAAAAAAAGACTTGACCATTTTGTGGGGTTGGATTTTCTGTGTTCGGCTCAAGAACAATCTGCATCAATGCGATTTACTAATTTATTTGTTAACCAGCGAATCCTTGGATGGACCGCAATTTGTGTTTTTCCACTACTCGAAGCCTCCTTACACCCCAGTGCCCATTTTAATACAAATCCCGGTCTTTGACAGCCAAAGTAGCGGTGAACTAACACCTAGACCAAAGGACTAGCCAATCAGCCAGCACAATCCTTTTTCTCGTTGGAGAAACACTTTCAACATACACTCTGATTTGCTTCAAGTTCAGCCTCAAAATCGATTTATTTTTTTTTATACACATTAGAAGGATGAAGAAGAAAGAAAAGGGTTGAAAAACAACAGGTAACTTATTTAACTAGCATTTATGCCTCAAAGACAAAAGAAAGGCCAATCTTGTGGGCGCCCTGGTCCAACTTGGTGGTATCAAAGAGCCCAGCAACAGAGACCTTGACACCCTTACGGAGAGCCTGAGTATATCCGAGACCGAGAACACCAGCGTTATTGACCTTGGCCTTGACAAAAGCATCGCGATCGAGGTAGTACTTGGCACCAACCTCGAGGGCAACGGGTGCCTTGTGGTTGTGGGCTTTCTCGGCAGCGGGAGCAACCTTGGAGTCCCAAGTAGCCTTGGCACCAGCCTCGAGATCAGCGTTGATGCGGTGGTAGTACGAAGCCGAGAAGACCTTAAACGAATTGTGGGCATGGAGAGCGACAGAGTACTCAGGGGCGGTGTAACCAGCAGCGGCGGCGAAGCGGGTGATGTAGGAACCGCCGACGTCGTAGGAGACATCACCTCCAACAAGGAAGCCATCACGGGCAACGACAGCATCACCAGTGAAAGTGGGGCCCTTGAAAAGATCGAGGTAGGCACGGGTGTTGAAACCGAGCTGCTTATATTGGACACCAACCTTAGCACTCTTCTTGCCTTCAGAGGGAAGGAAGCCACCAGTGATGTCGAGCTTCAAACCCTTGGCGACCTTGTTCTCAAGCTCGATCTGGGTGGTGAGAAGGTTGCTGGTGGTCCAGGACTCAGTCACAGTCAAACCATTCTTGTAGTCAACATACTTAGTCTTGAGCTCACCATTAATGTGGCCAGACTTGTTGTCTTGGTTGCCGAGAACGTTAAAGGTCTGTTGGTTGTAGCGTTTCAGTGACAATCGTTATCGACGGTGCAGGTCCCGAAAAGACGCGATTTGAATGTCCACATTTGGAAAAATTGAATATCATTGGCACGGAAAATGTCGTCATTCACGTAAATGCCAATAGCAGAGTTTGAAACAAGGAAAAAGGGACAACAAAGATGTAAAATAGAGAGCTGTCAATGATCAGGATTCAAAGCGATTGCATATAAACTCCCGAGATAACTGTTACTTAAGAAGATTTGAAAAAACATGGCGATGGACATACAACACCGTTGGGGGCGATGGTCTTGAGCTCAAGCTTGGTTTGTCCAACGGGGAAATCCTTTCCGAGAAGGTCATTGGCGGACTTGCCGAGATCAGCAAAAGGGACGGGAACGAGGGTGGCCATTTTGAGATATCTAATAGATAAGATAGCCGCCAGTACGGTCAATTATCTTCTTGATATTAAGTTGCCCAAGCAGTTATAGCCTTTGTTCGTAATCCCACATATCAATTGATTTTTTTTTTTTTTTTTTTTTTTTTTCATTATTCAGTATTATCCCAGTTTCGTAAGCTTTCTATACACATGTCCCTGGCGAGTCAATAACACAAGACCCAAATGTTCAAAGACGCGTGGAGAATCGTATTCTTATAATTCATTGAATGAGACAGATTATGTGAAAAATTCATTTTTTGCAGTAATTCATTTGTACCATTCTGTCAATCAGAGGTACATGACAAAATGCATAGATGGATGAGAGGTTTATGCTCATGGAATGGGTTTTACATTTCGCTGTGTATTCTCATATTTCCTTTTGATGTAGTATTTTTATGGATGATTATCGGTCAAGCACTTGCACTCTTGTAAAATTTTCATCATCCCATGTATGATCATCACCATATTCTTATTTTAGTGTATCCACAAAAAAAAAAAGAAAGGGCAGAAAAGAGAAGGAGTAGGATAGAGCTTACCTGAGGTAGATTTGAGGAGGAAGAGGAAGAGCGAGGTGAGTACAATAAGAAGAAGAAAAAGGAAGAAACCCAGAAACCCGTTTAAAAAAAAAAAGAGTCCGTTGAGCAGAAGAACCCCGTGGAAAAAAAAAACCAACGTCACTTTTGTGCATGATTTAAAGGGTCAAATATTCACATCTGTTTTCCAGAAGGCAATAATAAGAAGGCATAGTCAAAATATAGGAAGGATTCGCGTGTTGTATTGTGGTCGAATCAATCCTCAAGCGACGCATATAATTATTGGGAAAACATTTCACGCCTTTGTAAACTTGGCAAAGTAGGCTTTTTTGTTTTTTAATAGTTTATCTTTCATTATACTTGTCCAAGCTGCGCTTTGACTTTTTTGATAAGCGCTTTTTTCATGAATTGCTCTCTTGACAAGTTTCGGAGATGCTGTAGTCAATAAGTCATATTCGATGAATAAGTCATATTCGATGAATAAAAAAAAAAAAAGAAAAGCCAGCATTAGCAAAGAAAGTAGCCGAGCCAAATAAGCAATTAACGACCAATGTTTATTTCCATGTACCTTCATATAAGCTTTCAAATCAACCTTATCCTGACTAAGAGCTTTGCTTAAGTAGTAGATAGTGTCCTCTATTGCGATTTCCTCTGCTACCAATTCAAATAACCTGTAAAAGAGTATTGATTAGTATTGAAGGTGCTTAATAGCTAGATCCTCAAAGTGTTCAAAGAAAAAAAAAAAATTGACAGTGCAAATATTAACATACTGATTATGCACAACGCTACTGCCACAGATAATTTCATCCACTGGTTCTTCCGGCCATGTCCGTATCTGCTCAATCTTGGTATCCAACTGTTCAATTGACCTTGTAAGCGTTGAAATGTTGTATTGAATTTTGTTCTACAAACAGTAACAATAAAAGCATTCAAGTTGTCAAAAAAAAAAAAAAAAAAAAAAAGGCTCTTTGCCAAACCACATTCAAAAACGGCGTAAGTTCTCTTACATTCAGATCCCTGAGACTTTGGAGTTCAGTTTTGGTCCTAGTCTCGGCATCATTGAGTTGTTTGTTTACAGTGACAATGTTTTGCATTTCTCGTGACGATGTCGAATGAAATTCCATCAATGCAGCCTGAAGTTTAGTATACAATTGAGCTTGCTGGGGCGTAAGTTGCTGAGAAGATCCGAATGAACTAGAACCCGAGTATCGGTTATTCTGAGCTGACGGAGATGTAGTAATAGAGCTGTTGGCTCTAGGAGAGTATGATAAAATGGGTGGAGCTGGCTTGAGCTACATTCGGTAATATCGTACAAATCATAGTGATAAAACAAAGTGTTAAAAGTAAAGAAGCGATCAAGAACAGTGTTCAGTCTTCTGAATCCTCATTTCAGCGTGTCAAGGAACAAGGAGCCAGATTTCAATGTTTTACCGATGTTGGTGAGGGGTAGGCCCCAAGAGTTGGGCTGGATTGCGGTTGTTGCTGAGTTGATACATTAGATTTTGAATATACAGGCGGATCAAGTGAAAAGACTTTTTGCATGATGCCGATGAGTTCCACAAGATTCGACTATTTAAGAGTTCAAAGCGCACAAAGAAAAAGCCAATGATAGAATGACGATTTTGGCGTCCAAGTCGGTATTAGTTAATCGATGAGTGGTATGATGGCTGTGTGATCTGATCAAAGGTATATAGTATTTGGACATACATCACTCTTGTTGCTCCAATATGCGAGGTATGGGTGATAACATCGTCCGCTAATGTCGACATGTTTCCCTGCCCTGACTAGCATCAATGCTGTTGGTGTGACGAAGACTATGGGCGCTACAGAAGGATACGAGGTCGGGAGCCAGAAGGCTACAGGGATGTTGTAGGTGGCAGATTGGTACACGATAGGGATTGTGCCAACAAGGGAGAGCAATAGCTGGGATCGTCCATTGTCATGGGCTATGGCAGTATTAAAAAGTATTCACAGATATCGAGTCCTGATTAATCTCATGTATCTTGCCCGATAGAACTAATAAAAAAACAAGGACATGTCAAGCAAAGCTGCGATCCGCCAGTACGCTTGACAAATAGGACAAAAGACTGCACAGGATCCATGGCATACTATAAGTGTCTGCATGTGGCACGAGAAAATTTTGGAATCGTCGCAGAACTGCCTCTACGTCGGCATACATGCGCTCCTTGTGTTGATACTACAAAAGAATCGCGACAAGAACATTTATTGAAGAATACAAGAGTAAGTTAATGGTACCAGTCGACCTGAAGGAAATGAAGGAATCTCTTAACGAACAGATGGGATTGCTCAGAGACATTTCATTGTTCAACCCATAAGTCATACCCCGATGGTCTGAAGCACATGCTGCAACCACTCTGCAATTTCTGGGTCCATTCGAGGAGTTCGTTGTTGAGTCAGATAAGCAGGAGGGATTTTTAAAAAAAGAAAAAAAAAAAAAAAAAAAAAAAAAAGAAAAAGGGAAAGGAGACGTAATGAAGAAGTGTGGCAATTAAGAGTCGAAGGATGATGCAACTTTGCTTTGTGTTTGAATGTTGTATGTCGAGTGGCGTTTTAAAAGTTAGGAGGAATGGCCTACACACGCCCCTCTGACTATGATTATGATAATGATGCATGTCTAATGAGCTGTTTATATCCATAAACTTTTCTTTTTCACACGATCAATTCAGCTTCATTACCAGTTCATTCCTTCATGTCTTCTTCTAACTCTTCTAATGGAGAGGCTGTCATCCTCAAAGACCGTGCTCAGGCCTTGGCTCATTACCCTCATGCTCGCACCGTCAACGGCATGATCTACGTTTCCGGCATCTCCTCCCGACGACTCGATAATACGTAATAAGAGACATATAATTATCGGCCAATTCAATTCTTAAAAGTTTTTTTTTTTTTTTTTTTTTTTTTAACTTGAGTGGGTTGTTATGTTATTGTTGCATGGATATTTAGATATGAGGGTGTTACAGAGAGTGCAGATGGTACTTTTGAACTCGATATCAAGGCGCAAACCAAGGCCGTCATTGAAAAGTAAGCAGTGTGATTAACTCTATGGTATTCCTTTGGGGCTCAATTGCCTTTATCTGATCCTTTTTTCTCTTTTCTGTAGCATCAATGTAATTCTTCAATCGAAGGGCGCATCTCTGAAAAATATTGTCGATATGACCGTCTTTCTTACAAATATGAAGGATTATGGTGCAATGAACGAGGCAAGTAATCAAAAATCAATCAATCCAACCAAACTATTGTTGCGTTATTGTCTGTATCCACAATTGTCTATCAAGGCTAACAATGGTCTATGGATTCTCTAGGTTTATAACCAGTATTTTGATGCAGAAGCAGGTCCTTCGAGAACGTGTGTCGGTGTGCTCTCTCTACCTTCTGTAAGGACAATTGCTTGCTTTCAGTGGGACTTTGCTCATTTTCATAAAAAGAATGGCAGCGCATAATTGTAGTTGTATTAATACGTGCTTGTATCTATTTCACTCGATTGTCCAGCCCAAGCTTCTCATCGAAATTAAGGCCATAGCTTTGGCTCCTACAAATTAATCTCAGAAAAACATACATCGAACATTTGAATGTTTAAAAGTAAAAGAAAACAAAACTCTTAAATAGGAAAAACCCAATCACTAGTCCCTATTATATGCCACCTTCTTTCCAGATCGCTTCTGGCTCTCCTCATCTGAAGAATGATTAACTTGTATAGTACGCTTCTCCCTAGTTGTCAAAGTAGGGCTACGGCCACGACTCCTACTGCGACTGAAGCTGCGGGATCCGCCTCTGCTTCTGTCTCGATCTCTCCCACGACTAGGGCTACGACTTCTGCTCCTACTCTGGCTTCTTTGTAATGTGCGTCCGCGTGGATGGTCTGGAGAGATACTCCTGCTTTTACTACGACGAGGGGTGTAAGAGTCATTTTTCTTCGCTCTTGAATGTCTGTCCTGACTCCTACTCCGACTTGCAATTCCTCCATGGCTTCTGCTCATACCTCTACTGATTCTCCTACTCCTGCTGCTACTCCTACTCCTACTCCTACTCCTACTTCTACTCCCGCTATTGCTACTTATGCTTCTGCTCCTTGAAAGGGACCTCGATAGGGAGCGAGTGTATGATCGAGATTGAGAGGATGATACTGATGAGGAGCGTGAGGAGCGTGAGGAGCCTGAGTAAGACCTTGAACTAGATCTAGACGAGCTAGAAGATGATCTACTGCTACTTCTATCACTCTCGCTTGAGGAAGTCTCAGATCTATGAATAACACACAAAAAAAAGGGACGAAATCGTATGAGTAAAGAAGCGCAACTACTAGGGTGCGCGCGTGCATTGATGGTAAATACTTTACCTTGACTTGTGATCATTCTTCTTCCTTCTCTCTTTGTCATCTAGGATTTTGGCAGCTAAACCCTTCCTGTGATCGATTTACAAGCCAAGAACGCCGGTGCAATGGTTAATACATATATTCCTTCTGCTAGTATTGGCGGAAAGAACTTTTTGTAATGTGATGAAATTCTGATATTACCTCTTTGGCAAAAACTCCTCTGGGACTTCAACTTCAATCCTCTTGATAGGCTTCTTGAGCTGCTGAGTTCTAGTGGGACGTGGTTTGTAAACTCTCTCAGCTTTGCAGTCATAGGTGTAATGACCGAATTCAAGACACTTTTGGCACTGCTGTGTCGCTGGCGCCTTGGCACGCAATGCTGTAGCAGAGAACTTGGGTCCGGTAGTGCGGTTGTATTTGTGCATCTTTTCGAGATGAGAGAAATGGCAGTTCGCATAGGCTGACAGATTGAAAGGTCACCATTAAAAAAAAAAAAAAAATTGGAAAGGAGGTCCGGAGTGGCTTAGAATAATTTTTTTTATTCATGGAAATATCTGTTGATCTGTACGGTTTTTAAAGTTAGTCCAGAAATTCGGGGGCAAAAGATTAGAGAGGATGGATACAGGAGACGAAAATAAACAGAACTTACAAATTTTTTGTGGGTGTGCCGGCACCCAAATACTTGTGTCTAGCGTCGTGCGCGCTTTGCAGCCGGAGCAGGCGACTCTTCCGTGGGCTTGTACTTTGCAGGTCTCTCTTGTCTCTCAATTTGAGTAAGACCGATTCTTGCGATGTTTTCCGCCCCTACTGCGTCACGGTCGAAGAATACCTTACATGCCCGGCAATATTTAGAGCGAGGGTACACCGTCTCTAAAAAGCTATCACAGAGGGTTCGGGGACAGCGGGCGCTGGTGTAAAATTCGTGCGCTCCTACAGCGAAGTGTCCTCGCGCTTTGACCTAAGTGTTTCAAATGGCAGTCATTTATTAGCAAGGGTTCTATGGCTTTCCAGCTTTTCTTGCTTTTTTTTAAAAAAAAGCCATACCTGTGTGACAAGGTGTCTCGTTATAGCAGTGTGCTTGCTGGGAACTCCTTTACTACTTTCAAAGGACCCTAGGCCGACGACAAGCACTCCTTTATCCCCAAGCATCTTCAACACTCGCTGTACTGCGTAGTCGAACGTAGCTCGTTGAGCCTTTCGTAGGTCCCATTTTTTTTTCAGATGCCATCTGGATTCGTAGAACTCTTGAAGCACATCCAAATTCGTTGATCCTGTCTGTGTCTGAGACTCCCCGTTCATCCATTGAAAGTACTCATTATACGTGTCCCTTCCAAACACAGGGATGGCGCTCTCAACCTCAATCATTCCTTTTTCACGCTTCCTTTTGTTCAACAGGTGATTGAAGCGGAGGACGGGGAGGTACAAGAACCTGCTTCTCACCTTTACCGTTTGCTGCAAGTTAGGGTTGTGAGGGTCCAGCGAGGAAAACGTAAGGGCGTTAACAATACCAGGATCACATCCGACGATAGTTGTGGTGTTTGCGGATGGGCATCGCCCTGGTTTGTTGAATGTGAGCTCAACGTTTTCAAGCAGCTTGGAGCTCCTCTTCCAGTTTATGTTTGCATAGTCTTCATCTGTCAGGTCTTCACCGGCTGCCTTTGAACACGTCGTGTTGAGAAATCCCTGAGAAAACTCCAGTTCTTGGCTGGGGTCTTCTTCATCTACGTCAGACTGCTGCTGTCTCTTCGTCTGGGTTGTGTCATAGGCAAGTAGATTCAGAACTAGACCGTTGGTAGAAATCGTTCCTTTGAGTTTGAACCGAGTTAGATCTTTGTCCTGTGACTGCAGGGATACTTTGTCTTGATATCCACGAACCATGCGATCACCTCCAATGTCACAAAAGAGAGCCTGTATCAAAACCCCTTTTGTTCCCTGTACACACTCATACATTGCAGTCTTGGAAGGGTTATTGAGAGGCAGAATACGCTCCAGCAGCTGCTTGGTATCTTCGTTCGCCCAGAGGATGTCAACTAGGGCGTGTTCAGACAGATACACATACCCGGGTGACCAAGGGGACGTAGGAAAGTCTGAGTATTTTTTCACTTTTTTGTTCTCTCGCAAAAAAAAACTCAATGTCGCTCATATCTTCGTTTGTTTTCTCGACATCAAACTAGAAAAAAAAAATAAAAAAAAAAATAAAAGGTGTGAATAAAGAGCATTTGATTGCAGAATATGCATGAAAATACCCCTACACAAGCTATACCATTGCGTTCCTGTAGTGCTGCCTTAATGATGTCTGTACTTGGCCCATTAGTAAGTCTGACGCTCTTGGAAATGCGATCTTTTTGGGATCAAAGCCTTGGACGTCCCCCAATGTGATGTCTATTTCCTTTATTGGAGAAAGTTCAGTGGTGGCCTTGAAATGTTCATAAGCGAGGAGATAATGGGGCGTTTCTACCGCCTTTCCTTGTTTTTTTGCCCTCGCGTAAGCTGAATTGGGGCCACCTTGACCACTCAAAAGAAGGGTGGTGAGACGGAAGGAATAATCATTGCTATCCAAGACCTCGTCCAGTGCCTTTTTCCTCGACTTTGCTGCCCCTGGTAACCGCATGATCCTCTCAATGTCCAAGGCAATCGCCCAGTATGCATAGCGGCGTAGTCGGTTGAGGACAACAACTGCCCCTCGGATCTGGCTTGCAATACTATCCCTTTCATCTGCGTCCAGTCCGCCTTTCCTTGCCATGGAGGCCTTAAGGGACCCAATTGTTAAGGCCTTGATAGGGTGCTTACTGCTGTAGCTGTGATCAACCTTCGTAGCATCCTTCAAGTTCTTAATTGGTGCACCTTCTTTTTTAGCCCTGTGGGGCTTCTTGCCTTTGTGCTTCCGCTTTTGTTTTTTCTGTTGCTTCTTTTTTGCCTTTCTCCGACGTGGATGCCTAAGGCCCGGCCTATCGTGCTGACGGCAGTTACTGATATCAACTGTGCGCCCATTCAATATACTCGGCTTGTCAGAAAAGATGGGCCGGAACTGGTTCCTATGTGACCCTTCCGCTATATAGAATGATGGTACGCCTCTACATTATTCAAGAAAGGGACTAACGATTAGTATTGGGGACGTCTGGTTTCAAGGCCAAAAACTATAGCTTGAGCTTTCTTACGTTCTGCGGCGCTGCGCTCGCCTTTGCTGAGCCATTCTATGGCGAAGATCCTTTCTATTGAGTAGACGCTGCTTGAAGTTATCGAACTCATTGTTCGATGGTAACACTTGGGCCGACGTTTGATGGCCGGAAGTAAAAATGCGGAGAGCTACACTGAAACGGCCTTCCTCAGAGGCTACGTTCCTTCCCAACACCTTACTAGCTTCCCTTAGGTAGCCCCGAAGCATTTTATTATACTTCTCGTTCCACGCAACCTTTCGAATTAATCGAAGATTAGTAATCAGGCCTAACGTCTCGAGGTTCCTTGAGTAGTCATTGCCTGCGATGGCACAGAATAACACCAGATGCGCGTGTGTTGGCAGTCTTAGTGCTTGGATAACGCTGTCTACGGTGCGGAAGGGGTGGCACTAGGAAGCAGACTCGTTCGTACGCAAAAAAATCAGAGTCTTGGGATATCACGATCCTATCATTCTCCTCATCATGGCATCCTATGCATAGGTCCGCTTCATATGCACACAGACAGACATCGAAGACAGAACTAAGGCCTGTTGCCAGCTGATCCTTGTCCTGGACGCTCAGGGTGTGGACTTCTCGAAGACCCTTCTGGATGCGCCTCATGACTTGAGGACGAGTCCATACCTCACTCCGAGAATTTCTCTCGAAGGTGCTCATATTGTTCTCCAAAGCGTTCATATTTTTTTGTCTTATGGCTTGCCGTTCTGTCCTTGCCTTTTCTTTCTCAGTACAAGGTTCCCCATCAATATGTATAGTCAGGTTGTCCGTTGTGAAAAGATCCTTTATCTCGAGTGCCAGGGACCTTCCTACATCAATGATGGTTTCGTTTTTCATCTTTGCATGGACGACTCTGCGGAGGATGTCGTAATAGAACGTACCTAGGAGATCTAGATGAACAGAATGGTCAGGATTTGCCGCCAAGAAAGTGCCCACGCCAGTTTCCGAAGGTAAAACCCCGCGACCCGCAACCAGTTTGAAGAAGGACTTCAGCCCCATGGTCAATATCTAAGCGAAAAGAGAAAGAAAAAAAGGAAAAATGGTGGTGATGAAAAGAAATGAAAAAGAAAAAAAAAAGAGCGACAAAAGTATAAAAGGATGAGCTTTTTTATGGTGTAAAGATTCAAAGCGAATAGATAAAGAATATTGAGGGAAAGATACAGGAACAAGTGGCAGTGGTAAAAGGGATGGGACTTTGAAGGAGGAAGACAATGATCCCTTTTTATATCCTGGATTGATGATGAGTTTTATCATTGTCTCATATAGTTTTGATATCGATCCTTTGCTTCACAGGCCACATCAATCTTTATTCAGTTCCTTTGTTTGGATTGGGGTTTTGTCCCAGTCAATAGCAGAGATTGAGAAATAAATACAAGCTCTCGCTTGAACGACAGATTGGTAACAATAGTATTGAGATACCAAAGTAAGCATTCGAAAAAATATGTACAGTATCGATGTCGATCCTTTGTTACACAATTTTTTTTTTTTCAGTTTCTTTTGTTTGCACTGGCTCTTGTTTTGTGCTTTGTGAGGAATTTAATGAATAAAAGAAGATTTATAATTTTGAACAGGGGTAATAAATGCACTGACAGATATTATATCCTTGTCAAAGGTAACAACTAAAGAAAAAAAAAGTCTTTTTTATTAGAGAATGGCTTCATATGATGCTCTTTGCTCCAACAACCCAGTACTATTGCGTTAAAGCAGAGATATTCGTTGGCTCTCAGGTTCCAGCATCAATGGCGGAGATAGGTGATGTGCTTATTGCTTGGAGTAAAAGCTAGCTAAGCACCCTTTCTTACTGGACGGTGCCTTGTTAATGGTGATATTGCGCAGCGCCTTGTGGATGGAGGGAGAGCAGAAGCGAGAGTGGTGGTTTTTGGCGGTCGTTTGGCGTGTGTATGTGCGAACTTGATAGTTGATACCAATCGCCAAAATATATGCATTTAGAATTACAGAAGCGAGATTAATACCGACACGTTTCATCCTTTCCTAGGGATTGTTATAACCATGGCATGATTGTGGAGTGGCCGCCAAAATAAAGTTTGTTTATTTCTTCTGGAGGCACCAATGGAAAACGCTTGCTTTCAAGTCGATATCGCCAATTTCATTTGGTCATGATACCTTATATTTTTAATCTAAAAACGATGATTGAATTGTTCTGGTGGCATTTCACTACGTGACGGACTTGCAACAATACTCGCAACAAGCGAGCCAATTGGCTGCCAATACACTCGAAAGTATTCAAAAAATATAAGGTATCATGACCAAATGAAACGGGCTATACTATGGCGAATATTATCACTTCTATTACACCAGTCAATAAATAAACAACACAATGGGCCCCCCAAGAGGATGCTAGTGTCATGCGAAAGCCTTCAAGAATTTTTTATTGGCACAGATAAAGAGGCCAGGATAGCTCCATGACAGTTTAGTTTTCGGTCATTTATTTCGACATCAAAATAAAATTTCAAGGCAATGCCCATGAATTGCTGGATTTTAAGCCCATTTATAATGGCAAATTTGCCAGGTTGACGGTTTAAAGGATAGTCCATCATTAAAAACGAGACATTCCATCTATTGTAAAAAGAAGAAATGTATTAGAACACAGAAATAAATAAATAAATAAATTAACCAAGAAAAAAAAGTATTATCAAGCCAATACTTACAATTTTTTTAAGACGGAGGCCTTTCTGGACCTAGTCATGTTTGTAGTAGATTGTGTCCTACTGCTGTTGCCGGCTTGTCTCTCCCCTCCCTTCTGGACCCAGCAAAGGTCCTTTCGGTGGTCTTGATCCCTCTACTCCTCCCCCTCCTTCATCTGAAAATTTCCTTTTTGTGGTTCTGCTACTACCACCACCACTGCCACCGCTACCTCCACCGCCGCCACTACCGCTAGAAGCTTGGCCTTGAGTTCCTCCGTCCGGCGGCATATATTTGCAGGTCGTTTTTGCTCTCTTATCTGCGACTCACAGACCCTTGCGATGTTCTCAGCACCAACAGCATCTCGATCAAAGTATGCTTTACAATTTCGACAGTACTTGGATCGAAAAGGAACATTCTCCAATATACTGTCGCAGTGAGGCCGTGGACACTTGGCAGATGTGTAGTATTCATGACAACCTGCAATGGGGTAGCCTAGAGATTTTGCCTGTTCGAGCCAGATTTAATACTCGTTAAAAAAAAGACTCAAAAATTAAATGTCATTGATCAAAGGATTTTTTTTTACCTTTTCAACAAGCTTCTTCATCAATATCCCATGCTTCGATACTTGTCCTCGGTTTGTCTTGAATGATCCTAGTCCAATACAGATCATCGTATTCGTATTGGCATCTCTTCTTCTTCCATTGCTTCCGCCCGCAAGCTTCAGAATTGCCTTGATCACATAATCAACGCATCCGTTCTGTGCTTTTCTATTATCCCAGCTATTCCGAACAAACCACCCGTCATTATAGAAATCGACAAGCGCCCTATATATAGTCTCCCTATTGTCGTCACTGGTCCCAGATCCACTGCTACTACTGGCCTCAACTCCACTGTTACTACCAGTCCCTGCTCCACTGCTACTACTGGCCCCAACCCCACTACCAGAGAAACTACCTCCAGTACTTGATGGAGCTTGATTTGGCGGCAAGCTCATATAAGCGAAATACTGTGTTAAAGTAGGCCTTGAGAATGACGGAATATTGCTTTCAATCTCTGTAATTCCTCTTCTAAGCTTTCGCCTCTCTAGCTCGCCCTGAAACTTCTTGGATGGTTTGTAAAGGCACGCTCTAGAATTCCGGAGGATCTCACGTTCGTTAGGTTTCCTTGGATCCAACTTTGCAATTGTCATCGAGTACCTCTCGCCTGGATCGATCCCAATGATAATGGTGCTTTCGGGGGGAGGGCATGCTGCCTGGGTGTCATATTTAACTTCTACATTCTCGAGGAGACGGGATCTCTGCTTCCAGTTGATCTCACGCCGGGGACTGGGACTCACCGGGGACAGTGGATTTGTGCTCGATGTACCTTCTTCAGCTGCTTCTTCTCCCTCGTCGCCATCTAAGAATGGTTCATCAACTTCCAGCAAGTCAATATCGCTGATACCCAGCAAGATATCGTCATCTTCATTTCCGTCGTCGTCTCCATCATCACCACCATCGCCTGCACCATGGCCTGAAGACGAGGATCCCTGCTGAGCACTTGAAGAAGCCTGGACTGCTTGAGATCTTTGAGTATCCGAAGGTTGGGCAGCTTGCGAACCTCTACCTCTTTTTTGCTTCGATGTGTCATAGGCAAGAAGTGTTAGGGTAAGGCCGTTTGTAAAGAACGATGTCCGTAGTTTCCTTCTAGGGCCATCATCAGATTGCAGTCCAACGTCCTTGTATCCTTTCAAGGAAAACAGCTCCTGCAACAATATCCCCTTGTGGTTAAGGATCTTGTCCTCTGCAGCCCCCTTGGTACTCATATTTAGTTCCAACAATTGGACTATTTCCTCTCGAACTGTTGGGTTAGACCATAATATATCCAGGAGACTGGCTTCCGTTAGGCAGAGAGACCGAGGCGAGAAAGCAGACGTAGGGAAATCCAGATATTTTTTGGCAGTTGCATTTTGCTCAAAAAAGAATTGGATGGAACTTCTTCCATCGCCTGGAATATCTATGTCAAACTAGACATTATATTGAAGAAATGATTAGGAACATTTCTATAAACATATTATAAGATAACCTCAAAATATTATAATATTATATTTACCTGCGCATTCCGATAGTGAGACCTTAGCGCTGCTTGAACAGGATCTGGTTTAAAGGACCAAGCCCTGTCTTTGCATAGAAGTATTCGTATGCTTTGAGCTGGGACGGCTTGGCTACGTTCCCTTCGCCTTTTTTCTTCACTTCCCTGCTATACCTAGATAATGGACTCATCACTCCGTGATACAACAACGCAGCAAGGCCGTAAATAAAGTCCCTGCTATCAAGAACTTCATCTAGGAGTTGTGGGAGATCAGCTGGATTGGATGGCCCAGTGGTAAGCAGGTTATCGATCCACAAGGCGCAGGCCCAGAAAGCTCGAATCCGCACCTCATTCAACATTTTAATAAATGATTGAATGAGCCCCTGAATTGTTGCAGCAAGTTGCTCGGGATTGAGATTGGGATCGGAAGTAGAGTCCAGCTTGGCAACTACACATGTCTTTAACGTGCCCAGAGTTAATGCAACAGTGGGGTGGGCCCTCTTCAACCGTCGGTCCTCGGCAGTAGCCTCCTTCACTTTCCTGGTTTCATCAGTCTTTCTGATATACTTGGCCTTCCCTTTGTTCTTCTTTTTTTTCTTCTTTTCCTCCTTAACCTCCTCTTCTTTCTCATCCTCTTTTTTTCCTTTTCCTTTTTTTTGGGGGACTTTCTTTGACGGCTGGAGCTGACGGGACGGTCGTGTTGTTTGCAGTTGGTCAGGTCATTTTTCTTAGGGGAAAGTTCCTTTTTCTGGGTAGGGAAAACAGGCCGATAGCGATCCGGCTTTGCGCGTTTAGGGATATAGAATCTAATTAGGAACAACAATGTCAAGGGTTAGATGACTTTTTTTTTTTTTTTTTTTTTTTTTTTTGTATATGCTTTGGAAAATGTTCATTTGAAGGAGCTTACCTGGGTTGAGGTTGATTATTTTTATTCTGGTACCTAGCAGATATCGCAGTCCTCATTCTATCATGGTAATGAAGGAATCTTTCAGCGGTTGCTTGCTGCGAGGTCTGGGTTTGGATCCCACCAAAGAAAACATTAATTGAATGGTCAAACTGGCCTTCTGCAGGAGTTCGACGGCTACGGGCATGGACCTCACGAACATATGATACCGTCAACTTTTCGGCATCAGTGTCAGTGAGCGCAGAGATAATCTCAGCATTTGTAGCAAGACCAAAGGTTGGGATATTTGGGGTGTAATCGTAATCGGATATAATGCCATAGACCAAGAGTTGACTGTTCCTTGAAAACCCAAGGGCTTGCAGGACCTCTTGTTTCTCATAGAGTGCAAACATGTGATGGCGACGAGGGATTGGACGAAGAACTCTTTTTATAGAAGGATAGATGAGAAGGTCAGAGTCCCCAGACACAGCGATACTGGTTGGTGTACATTTGGCGGCAATACACACATCAGCCTCATTTCTACAATGGCAAATCACAAAGTTATTGTATCGACCGA